CATTCACATGCTTTCGAACTGCTAGGTTGGCAGGAGCTGGGACAAGTGATGGAAGCTCACCCCATCACCTGGATTCGGTCTTACGACTGCTGGTCTTCTGACCTTGCAGCACAGAGGCTTCTGCGGTTTAATCCTCAGCACCACCACATCCCCTTACTATCAATGCATGTGCAAAATGCATATGCAAAATGTGGCACAGCTACTACTTTAAAGGGCTTCTTTTAAGATCTCATTCTGGAAATGACTCTTTCTGGTGCAATCCTTCATGCTCTTTATGTTATAATCTGATTGATCATCATTTGCAGGACAATTGCTTAGTTTGGAGAGTCCTAAATATGCTTCTGTGGTGTTTATTTGAATGGCACTTCCTTATTTCTAAGGGTTGCACTGGAAAAACTGATGTGTGTACAAAGTCTAGAGCATTCTGCCCTCCAGTTAAGAACATTAAACAAGGAAGCATTAATTTGTCTCACTGCAAACAGCAATACTGTCCAAGAAAGAGTTGGATAAGGCTTTAAGAAATTAGCTAGGGTATGATACTGAAACAGAAAGCACTACTAGGTCTTTCAGCTCCACTGTTATGTTGTCCTCTCATACAACTGCCTTCCCTATTCTCTCAATTCTGTTTCCAGGTTGTGGTACCCATTCTTTCTAATAAAACAAATGATGGATCCTGGCCACAATTTATCTCTCAGGACATGGAACGGCATGTGGAATTAATGAAAAATAAGACCTACATTATGACTGGGGTTATGTCGGGCAGAACTCTTCTTCCCATTCCAGCAGTAGCTGGAATTGAATTGCATGAGATGTGTACTGAAAATAAGTAAGTGTGAGAGGAAAGGAGGAAAAAATTGCCAGAGGAGATATATGGGCCATATTTGTTGCATCAGAATGCATTGATTTAATGCATCCCTAAAAATGCGAATAAATCTGACCATTGCCAGTTGTATGGCAATGTGATCAATGCATAGCTACTTGAATGTTTGTATTGACAGAGCAGACTAACCCTTGAGAACAGGATTATTCTGGAATGGAGCAGCTGCCTTATATATAGCCCTGCTAACTAAGCTATGGGACGACAGGAGAAAGACAGCTTAATAGTAGGGAAATAATTGCATCAGCCTTTCGGGCTGGGAAAGTTTCAGCCCAGTTTGAGAGATTTGTTAGGGCAAGTGGTGTATAGTGAATTTCTGGCTATATCCACTGATGGAAAAGGCTTCAGTAGTCAACCTCGAGGCAAAATCCGGAGCCGGAGTCCCGGAGGCAGTTCATGTCATTCTGGCAACCCCAGCAACGTCGCTGGAACCAGTTGTATTAGCTCTTGCCTTTCCATTCAACTATTTCAGTGACGTGGAGAGGGGATTTGCTGCTTGGGTAACAGCCTATCCTCCATATTATTTTACCCAGGCTTCATGTCCTGGAGAGGACACTCCAGCTTCACGTACAGCGTCAAAACACTAGACGCTGTTCCAAGTCCTCCATACAGAGCATGTTACCATAGTATCTCGAGACTGAAGGATGCCTATGATGATGACCCACCACACCCTCAGGATACCACCACAGTATTCATTCATCTGTATCAGTTGTGGATAACATGTTCCATGGACAGTAGGTCCCCCATTACCCCTGAGACATCTTAATACGCCTAGAAAAGATATAATATTTTTAAAAATATTGGCTCAAAAAGCCACCCTTAAGCTTTCTAGGGAGTGCTTGACCCCATTTCTACCCACTATTTTTCCACTTCAAATTACTCTTTCCTTATAGTCCATTCTTTAGGCTTTTATAATGGTATATTGGGAGGTATTTTAGCTTAACCTTCCGATAGTAGGGTGTTTTCACTTGTAAAACATATGTAGTATCTGAGCTTCTCTCTTTCTGCATATGTTAATTATGCCTATGTATGCAACAAGTAAGGCAGAAGTAATGTAATGTGCATTAGCATTCGGACTGATTAAGGTTTTAAATTCACATTATACAGAGAAATGAATCAAAAGCCAAGGACAGATGTATGTGTGAAAATATCCTTGGACTTACTTTCGTTAGTCTTCTAATGATAATATCATTCAAACACATCCTCTATACTTCCAGTTGATAAGGGACATTAGTAGTAGTGTATACAGTACTTTTGCAATAAAACAGTGATTGAAATTCTGTTCATGTAGCTAGGACATGTAAGGCTGATGATGTCATTAGCCACAGCATTTTTGGGGAATAAAACATCCCTAATTTCTCCCCTGAAAGTCCTAAGGTTCCAGTGGAATTTATTGTTAGGAACCTTTTAGAGGCCATGAGGCAGGAGGGGGAAAATCTTAAATTACGAAAAATTACCACCTCCTGCATGATTTTGCCAGTACTGGCACTTTTTGGAAATTAAAGGCTGCCCTATCACATAGTCTGCAGTGGCTTCCTTATAATGAAATGGGTCCCAAGAGACCCTCCGGACTTTCAAGAAGGGAGGATTTTTAGTTTCTGAAAAAGACCCATGGCTGATTATGTCATCAGCCTTACGCTGAGTTAAATTATGCTGCCAGATTTCAGCCATTGAGTGAAAAGGGGAATGTGTAGACCTCCAGATATTGTTGGAGTAGAATGGCCATGATCCCTCACCAGTGATTATGCTGGCTAGAGTTTGCAGAAATTACAGTACCACAACACCCAGAGAGTCACATGTTCCTTGCTCCTGATAGACAAAACTTGGTACAGAATATACGCATAATGGGACATACTATAATGTGAAGCAGTTAGTTCTCACAGTGCTGCCATATAGAGGAATAAAAACAGAACAGAATGTAGAGGAATTACATTCAGTGTAATTTGGCACTGTGTGTACATGAGTGAGAACTCTTCCATTTCCCCCCTGACCTACAGCCAGGATTCTTATACAAGATCAGTACTACATGCAATAGAATCCATGGTCATTAGATGGTCACATCAAATACGAGACATTCTGGAAAAGAATTCACCTCAGATGCTTCTTCATGACTGTCAGCCAGTTCCTCAGAATGAACTCACATTTTGGATGGAAAGAAAAGATAACCTCCTGTCCATATATGACCAGGTAAGCATTTCTCAGCATGCTTGTGTACTTGTATTTCTGTGGGTTCAGGTTGAATGTTGAAATATTAACTCAGAAATTACCAAGTGAATTCTTGTTTTAGGGACATGACACGGGGCTCTTGTGTAAGTAAGTGTGCAGTGAGGGTGAAAGAGCATATTCACTCTCTGCAAATTTATATCCATAGTGCCATTTAGTCTTATGCTAAAAAAGCACACTTAAAATTTCCAGACAGTTTCTAATTTAGTTCTGTCACCTTTTACATTTACCAATACCTTTGTTCTGGTTTGTTCTGTACTAACGAGAGATCACTATAATCTTTCCCTTCTTTAAATGCATTGGTTTGGTCATTGACTACCAATATTGTTAGCTTGTAGTCTATAGCAATGGTTTCCAACCTTGGGCCTCCAGATGTTCTTGGACTTCAACTCCCAGAAATCCTGGCCAGCAGAGGTGGTGGTGAAGGCTCTGGGAGTTGTAGTCCAAGAACATCTGGAGGCCCAAGGTTGGGGACCACTGGTCTGTAGCATTCATCAAAGGAAATCTTCCCTGCATGTCAGACTGAAATATTCTACAACCTGTTCCTTCTTAAGCACTTGGTGTCAGCACTATGTTTGGCAGAAACAGAGGAACACAAATAAGGTAAAGTCTGAGGACCTTTGAAATGAATGCTTTTGTTTTGATGTATTGTTTGGCATGCTGTGCCACCCAGGTGCCGACATAACAAGATGTAATGAAGAGAACTACGTTTGCTTCTAGAACTGCTTCATGCCCTCCTTTCACACTTTTTCACAAACAAAAAAAGTTTTGATCAAAAGGCTTTTTAAGTAATGGTGTAGATCCCAAAATAACGTAAGAAAATTCATGGTAGGAAAGTTTCCAATTTGGTCTTTCTGTCTCCGGTGGATGCCTGAGGTCCCACTCCCTCAAGCTTCTCAGAAGGATCAAATGATGTTGAATGGTGCCCCACAAATGCAATTGTCTGTAGACAAGAGAAAGATGATTTCCTCCTACAAATTAACCTGGGTTAATCTTAAGCAGTGTGAGCAAACTGCTGTAAAGGCAAACGTGATCGCATGAGAAGAAGTTGCTTTAACAGGAGCAAGTTTGGTTCAAGTGACATTTCAATCCCTTAGGAAGTTGCTTCAATCTGGCCTCAGAAAGTAGAATTCCTACAGCTGGACCAAAAAGGTCCAGCTTGGGCATGGATCAGGGTCAGGCTGGAGCAGATTTCTCCACATGTCATGTAGTTGCTGGGAAACAGATTGCGCCAGACTACTCCATGAGTGGTCTTCCCCTCCCCATGTAATCACACCCTTAGCCACCTAAATAGATTAAAATCCTGGCCAACAGCAACTGCAAAAACAACATAAAGCAGTAACACAAAAGGTGATCAGCACTGTGGAAAATTGATAACATGGGGAGAGCCCAGTAAGCGAACTGAAGAATAAAATTGGTTTCACTTGATGTCTAGAAGCTAATAAAGCAGATACAGAAGTTAGCATTCCATAGACAAAGCCCCTGAGAATGAACCTCCATGGATGGCACCACAAACTTGGCATCTGGGCTCTAAAGCTGAGCTAGGTTCATATGAAAGGAGATAATCCTTCAGAGGTTCTTGATGAAAGTGACATAGGCCTTGAGCTGTAGTTATCAACAAACTGGATATCAGTGACTAAAAAAACAACAATGGTGAGATACGTTCCACTTCGCCAATTCTATACAATACGTAGTACATATTCTGGGCCAACCACTTCTGTTCTGTTTTTCAAGGGCGGTTCCAGGCACAACAGTACATATTCTGGGCCAACCACTTCTGTTTTTCAAGGGTGGTTCCAGGCACAACAGAACACACTGCAGTAACCGATTCTGGTTCTTACCAAACTGTAGCCATCTCCATTAACTAGGAATTAATATGTAACATCTGTGATAACTGAGACTTAGTACAAGAAATTTTAAACTCTGATTCAACTTAGGACGTCTGGGAGTGGAGTGTTTCTGGCTGCCGTCTATCCTTCAAAGTGACCGACATGTTCAGCATGACTTGTTTTTGTTTTGACTTTATTTTTGAGTTTGTGTCCAACTACTTATGAAAGCAGATTGCATGGCCCTTTCAAAATGCTTCTTTTATTCAAACACTGTCTGTTGTATTTTGTGGTTAAATGAGTTCTTAAAATATATTTGATCTTTACTGAAGATCAATTGTACTGTTATAATTCCAGCTTAAGAGGCCTGTTATTCAGGAAATGATTAGGATCTTAAAAGCCAAGATGAGCAGTTATTATCCTACTTTTCAAGACATTTACAAGGAAGTGGAAAATGGTAAGGATTTTTTAAATGAAATGTATAAATTCTGTCTACATTTATGTGTGCATGTTATGGAATAATCCATAATATGTTTGACATATCACTGTAATATGGCATTAATAAACTGTTTGGGCAGTTGGGACGTACCTTAAACCAAGTAATCTTGGTTGTTCTCATAACTATGTGTATAGAGTTTGTCTAGATATTTTTCCATCCATGGGGGAAAAAAAGGATACACGTGTAATTAAATTAACATATTGTCTATCTTGTAAACATTATTTTGAGATTATTGTATACAGTAAATTTTTTCTTGTAACATAAAAATGTTACCTGGATACCCATGTTTTACTGTTTTGTTTACATGTTTATGAGATGAAATATCAATGAAATGTAAGTATTGTGCTTGTTATTTGATAGGCACTTTATCCCAAATGCACAAAAGAATTCAGGAAATAATTAAACTTTATATGGTCCTTGCTCATAAGGTGAACAATATATCCAGTTTGATAGAAAGGCTTCCCACTTATAAGTTGCACAGAATACGAAAGTTACCTGTATCGGTTAAAACAAAAGTTCCAAAATCTGTATTAGTACAATATCTTACTAGGTCAAGCAGAATATCTTACATTCATCTGGACTCATCTTCCTCTGGCTAGTTGCTAAGTAAAGCAAGTGTATGAGTCTGGTGAATGCTGGCTGACTCTGAAATAGTGGTTTCTGTGTTCACATACCACAGTCTTAAGGTGGAATGAGGAGGAAGGGAAGGTTCATAGACATTCAACTTTGGCTGTCCAGCAGGGGCTGAGATAGTGTCTTGTTGCATTTAAGACTGCCCCAAGGTATTTGGATGAGGAAACAATTTGAGAACATCAAAAACATTAACAAGGATATAAAAGCAGCAACTCTAGGGTACCTAATTTATGTTAATATCAGATATTAAAACCTTTTGGACATGAAATCTTTCCATATGAACCTACCCGGCAATTAAGATCTAGCCAGGGGGCCCTTTTGAAAGAGCCATCCCTCAAGGAAGTAAGAGGGATGGTTGTAGACAAAGGGCCTTTTTGACAGCTGTCCCTGGACTATGGAACGCCATCCTGAGTCAGAGTCATCTGGCACCGACAATGACATTTAGGCACCAAGTCAAAACCTTCCTGTTCCAGAAGATTTTTAATTGAAATAATATCAACTGTGGGTCCTGATGGCAATTTTTAGAGCAATGAATTTGTAATTGTATTTTAATTGTTTTATCTTTTTATCTTTTTATTGTATTCAAATTGTTGTAAGCCGCCCAGAGACCTTTGGCATATAAGTTAAACCAATAAAATAAAATAAAATAATAAAATAATAAATAAAAAAATAGGAGAGGGGTGGCAGCCTAGCCTTATGTGAGATAATATTCCATCACCTGGGAGCAAGCATCAAAAAGGCTGGTCCCCCATCAAATGTATCTGTAAGGGTGACATTTGAGAAGAGGGTCTCCTTGGAAGATCTTAAGACCCTAGGATAATTATATGAAGAGATATGATCTGTCAGCTATCCTGGACCCAATCCATAATAAGGTTTTGTAAAACATAACTGGCATTTGAATTGGGCTTGGAAAAGACTATGGCTCCTTTTGAATCAGTTGGCGTTTTTAGTGGCCATAGAAATGGGGCTTGCATTTGTTTCTGTGCACTAACTCTCTCAAAGTCTGTCAGACTCACATCATCTAATAGATATGCCCCCCTCTCTTTTGCCTTCCTTCCTTCCTTCCTTCCTTTATAGCACTTGTTGAAGCCCAGGATATTGATCTGCACCTGAGAACTTTGCAAAGACATATTCAGTATCTTCAAGAAACAGAATTTCCAGATATACATATTTTAATCCCTCCTTTGTTCCACACCATCTGTCTGATCTGGAGTCACTCTAAATTTTACAACATGCCAGCACGAATCATAATTCTACTCCAGGAATTCTGTAATCTGTTCATCGACCAGGTAATACAAATGATAAATCAAAAGCTAGATTAGTATGCAAAGTACAATTCTGTGCACGTCTACTCAGAAACAAGTTATTTTGAATTCAGTAAGGCTTACTTTTCTGCTCTGTAAGTATGGCATTGTAGCTTTCATCAATAAAACACAGTCAATACAGAAGAATGTTAAAAGGCAAGAGAGTATAAATTTGTCTGGTGTTAATTAATTTTTAGCTTCCATTTTATAGAGTATGTATCATGAGTTCATCAGCATCCTAGGGAACGCTTTCTACAATTAAAGCTATATAACAACAAAATAATTAGAGTAATAAATTCTGCTATTTTATGTGCATTATACTAAAAATACAATATGCAATCCATGTGAAGAAGAGGTGAAATTCTTTGAAGACCATACAGCCTATTATGGACTGTTTTTCATGTAGTCATGTAAATGCAGCATCTACTTTTAGTTGTTGAAATGATTACTTATCAGATAGCAAAACTGCGATAGCGATATTTCAAGACCATGGGTGATTTATTGGTGAACCAGTTGCTGACATCAATAAAACTGCCCTATTTGTAAAGAGGCAATCCCAATAATTTACTAGAACTCTTACCTCTGTCTGTAAAAAGACTCCCTTTACAGGATTTGTGATCAACAGAAAAATCTTTATAGGAAGGAAATGCATGCAGTTTTGTGTTAGAAAACTTAGTGACTTTTCACCTGTGCCACTGGTAAGAAGATTTTGCTCCCATATAGTTACCTATCCATAGCTCTAAGGCAGGTGTGGGCAAATTTGTTGGGCATAGGAGACATGTTTTTGCCCCCAGCAGCTGCCACCAACTGCAATAGGCCTGGAAATGATGAGAAATATCTGGGAAGTGGCAAGATTATAAACCAGAACCCCTGGGCTTGGGGAGAGGGTTTCTCTTCCTGACCTACCTTCAGCTGTCACTAAGAGTGGGAAAACACATTTTGCATCAAGATTTTTTAAAACCCAGAAAGACATGGGGGATCTGGAGTCCCTTTAAGATGCCTCTGATGGGTCATGTGTGGTCCACGGGATGCCCCTTTCTCATTTCTGCTATAGGAGATTAAATTAACAATTTTTTCTCAGAAATTATGTAAGAAAAGGGTTAGCAAGGTGTGGATTCCAAACTGCATGCAAGCCCCAGGACCATTTTTGCAGTCCTGAGGGTGTTTCAAAGCAATATTTCTCTTCCTATGTATATGTGTACACATTATAAAGCACATTTCTGGAACATCAATTTTTACATCACTCTGCAAAATGAAAACCAGTTATGTCCATCCTGGTATTTCCTGTTAATATTTCTTTAATAATTGTCACTTTGAGGTTCCCTGCTGGCCATGGAGAGGACTGGGGCCACAGATTGGGTGTCTGAACCCTCAGAGTTTATTCACCTTGATGTAGGAATTGGTGACAAAACATGTCATACCTAATTTAGGTATGTGAATCCTTGCTTGTCTCAGCCTTATAGGCAAGAACTGAGAATTGCCATTCTTTCTCTCATGGATTTTTAAAAATCTGGATGGGGAAAAAAAAAGAAAAGGAGAGAAAGAAAGGCAAAATATTGTGGTACTTTATAGTCAAACATATTTATTTCAATATGAGCTTTCAGGGACCACAATCTACTTCTTCAGATACAAGGAATGCAAATTCATGTTCTCTGTATTTATCCATATCATGAAAATCATGATGAGTTGAGGATCATGTGAGGCTGTATTTATCCATATCATGAAAATCATGACAAGTTGAGGATCATGTGAGGCTAGAGTTAATAGACAAAGTGACAATAGTTGATTAGAACTGGAATGGATTTATCAAAAATTTAATGGTTTGAGACACCAGACTTGCCTCCCAGGGCCCCCTGGCAAAAAAAATCATGGGTTCCAGCCTGGTTTGATCATTCACAGCAGTTTTTACTAAAGGCATAGAATCAGCCACCACTGCTCCTTCCCCTACATTCCTTGGGGTTTGAGCTTCTGGCACTAACCACTTGGTCATGGTCAGTCAGGCTGGGTCCCTAGTGGACTTCACTGAACCCAAAAGTCCAGATCCAGAGAAGAGGATAGGGAATATGAGTCCCAATCTGGGGTGCAGTCTTTTTAGGGGACGTTGGTAAGGATGGTTGATTGGAACTAGGCTCTGAAATGCTGCCCTTCCTAGAGCCCTTAATAAATCTGCAGCCAATCCCACATCTCCTTTTTTAGGGTTGATAGGCAAACTTGCACTTGCATGCTTGAGTACAGCTTTAATCTATTCCATTTTGTTAGCCGCCAAATAAGACCATATTCTTAAGCCATTTTATTTATAGTTTGGTCTTTTGGATTCATTAATTTCCCTCCATTCATTGTTAGTACGCTGTTACGTTAACTTATTTTTCTCCTTAGGCAATGTCATACCTTTCTCCAGAAGATATTATGAAAAGAGAAACTGAAGAAGCGTTGGAACAAGTGCAGAAGGCTCTTAATACGTTAAGGAGATTTAAGGACGCATTTTTTAGACAAAGAAAAAAAATGGCACCTTATTTCATCAATAGTCAGGATGTTAAACCGTGGGATTTTCAGCCGCAGCTGGTATTTTCCAGATTTGATCAGTTTTTAAATCGCTTGGAAAAAATAGAGGTATTTTTAAAAACTACAGTACCTGTTATTATGTCTACCAACGTTATGGTCAAAGGGAGTGTGACGTGGCAGGCCACTCTGATGTCACTGCCAACTCAGGCCTCTCAGAATGCCCACCACACCACTTCACACTCACTGCCACCAATTGTAATGACTATTTAAGAAGGACAAAGGTTTCCTTCAAAACAAAACAGGTTTATTGATAACAAAATAAAATATGAAAATCACAAGTAGCTAATCACGATGTCAATCACTGTATCTTTTTTAATCAATCACAGACTTCCCTCACTGAACACTTAGGCACGCAGGCCTCTAGACAAGCTCTTTCTCTCTCACACTCCAGAACTCAACTCCCACACACCCTTCACACCCCTTTTTCTTCCAGCTCCTCCCTCTTTAGTCCCACCCTCCGTCACCCCATTGGCTGATGATTCACTCCCCAGCTGTGACGGACAGGTGAGGTCAGGGCTGCCTGTTACAGGGAGCATGACTTTTGAGCTTCTTATGGGTTCCTTCAGTCTCTCTTCCTGTTCACCCTCAACCCTCTGAGAGAACCTGCCTACACTGCATCCTTAAGCATGCTTACAAAGCAATGCTATGTGCTGATTTATGGTGAAAGTTAAAAGTAGCATTATATTGAAAGAAGAGGTGTTGTCTCCTATATGTCTTTAGCCTAGGAGAATAGGGAAAAATACACAACGAAGAAAAGGCCAGAACACTAAATAAATAAAATAGTAGGCATGCCTCTGGTGTTCACCATTAGGATAACATTTGCAATGACAGGTCACACATACAGTGAGAAAATGCCTTTCACATACATTGTTTTCCACGGGATATATATTAAAAATGCAAGAACACTTGCTGTATATCCAGTCCACCAGGCTCAGTTGCATAGCCAAGAACATCCAGGCTACTGCCAACCCCCTGGAATGAATATACAGGCGTACCTCGGTTTACAAACGCCTTGGTTAATGTCATTTTTGGTTTCTGAAGGAATATCCATTGATAATAGTGCCTTGGTTTACGTTTCTTTTTCGCAGTACAAAGCAAGTTTCCCCAGGATGCATTGTGCCTGGAGGTTTATAGCGCCACCCCCGTACCTATGGTCATCTTCATTTCGGATTACGAATTTTACGCATTATGTAACATCCCAGAGAACGTATTGCATTTGTAAAGTGAGATAGGCCTGTAAATGGAAAGCGTGGTGTGATCAGGATCAAGAAAGTTCAGCCCTCCAAATATTTTCAGTTTGCAACCCCAGTAGCCTTAGCTAGTTTAATCAATGTCAGGGAATATTGGTAGTTGCAGTCCCAGTCTTTAAAGTGCTTTATTTTGTCCATCATCATTATATCCAGTGTTAGTTTTAAGTAAAATAGAACTATTGAAATCACTGGGACCAACATCATGGGTGACTAACAAGTCCCATTCACTTTAACATACCCTAAACAAAATACTTCCCCCATTCCTAATTCAGTGATGCAAATGTATGGGTCAAAAGGAAGAAATATACTAGGATCTTAGAATCAGTGTTATTGTTCTTTGTTTTTGTTTATGGGTTTTATTTTTTATTTTGTGTGTGTGTTTGTGTGTGTGTGTTTCGGTACAGTAGTAGTGTGTGTGTGTGTGTGTGTGTGTTTCGGCACAGTAGTATTAGTTTTGCTGTTGTTGTTGTTGTTGATTTTCAGGGTTTAGCTTCTCTCCCCCTGGCTTTCCATAAGAAGATAATGATTGTGTATATGATTTAACTGGATGATTCAGGTTTCAATATTTATAATTTTTAAATTGTCTTTGTTTTTAAATTGTTTTTTAAGATGCCTTGCATTCCAGTTTCTGTGGTGAGAGAAATCAACCAACTGCTCAATCAATAATGAATATGTTCCTTATTTAACTGGTTAATTCATGTCTATATGAATATACTTGTGTTGTTGTTGTTTTTTTTATGAATATGTTCCTTATTTAACTGGTTAATTCATGTATATATGAATATACTTTTATTAAATGATATTGTAAGCCACCTAGCATCCCAGGTTCTGAGGCAGGATAAAAATCAATCAATCAGTCAATCAATCAATCAATCAATCAATCAATCAATCAATCAAAACAGTCAGTCAATCAAATACGCAATCAATCAATCAATCAATCAAAACAATCAGTCAGTCAATCAATCAAATACATAAATGTACTATGCAACCAGTTTTAAATTACCTAGTAGCATTCAAAGTTGTAGAATAAATTGGGCATGATTTTGGAATAGTGTAAGGATATATTTTACTCATGGTAATTGTTTATGTCTTCAGGGAACAAAGTTAATGATTATTTTACTTTATTTAGGATATTTTTCTTACCATGCTTGACTTTGAAAAGCTGGAGAAACTGGAGTTTGGTGGTATCAAGGGGAAAACTTTGAATGACAAAATAAGCAAGTTGAATGAAGAATTTATTGAGTCTTCTACCATCTTTAAAGAAAAGACCTATGATCCCTTAGATTACAAGAATCTGGTAATGGTTTTTGCTTATTTGTATTGATCTATTTGTAATCCTTAAACATGAAAGTAAACACAGTGACTGTGACTAGGAGGGAGGTGCAATACGGAAAACAATTTAATCCTTGATCCAAATACAGTTAAAACAATTTGATGCTTTATGTATAGGTTAAATTTTTAAAAGAAAAAAAAAGCTCACTATTCCAGTTTCTCATTGAAAAGTAGGTTTCTTAGATAGCAGTTTCTCTTGATAATAGCAAATTGAGTTTATGGATAGAGAACCAGTGCCAAACTCTTTGTATCCTTATCCATATTTTATTTTCTGAATTTTCACTTTACCATTTATTAATTACATTTGAAGTACTGTTATCTGTATTTTACTTAATTGGGTATTATGAATCAATTTTATTTAATTAAAATGCTGTTAAAATTATAGTACCTCAGAAAACATGAACATGGATTAACATTTTATTTTGTTCAGTCATTCAAGACATGCCTTTAATACAGAAAATGTTCTGGTACATTTCAGAACTATAATTCAGTTCTTGTTTGAAGCCTGTTGACTTTTGAGCTTAATTGCAGCTTAAGAATATTATACTGCTAGCTTTCTTACTTTGCACTTAGCAGCCTTATGGATATATTTAGCTGAAGTATTGACTGATGAAATGAAACAATAAAATGAGAAACTAATTAGTTGTCCTTTATTTCATGTCATGAGAATAACCTTCAGGAGCTATTTGTCTTTGGATTTTGGAATGTTAACTAAAAGCTTTTCTAAGTAGTGGCTATTAAGGGAAAAGCTAATTATGTCAGAAATCTAATGATCAATGAGCTGGTTAATAGCAAAATAAGAGAACTTCATTATTATATTTACAATTCCTGCAAAAATATTTTTACATGTATCTGTGTAGCATCGTGCATTCAGGAATAAAAGTATAAAAATAATTTGTGATAGGAGTTACAGACTAGTGGAATACAGTGTTCTGTGGACACAGTAACGTGTCTGCAGCCTGCACAAATGTTCAAAATACACAAATGGAGATCTTTTTTGCAAATGGCTATTGGATTTCTTCAAGGAAGCCTGGATACCTACTTGTGCAAATGCTTTGGAAGTCAGACTGTTTACCATCCTGTCCGTCTATCTCTCTGTTTATTATGCAGTCTTATGGACATACATTCAGACGTACAACAATGTGATGTTATTACATATACGCATGCATAACATTCTGTCCCTACTCAAATAGCACACCGAACCACACTACTTATGTATTACTCTTCTGTTGGCTGATGAAACTGTGGTCCACGAATGCTTATACTATAATACAGTGAACCCTAGCTAGTGATATGTGTCACCAGTGCAGTGCAGCAGTATACAGAGTATTAATAACAGTGTTTTAATGGAAAAGTGCTAATGGAATGACTATTTTTGATCATGTTTGCTCCTAATAATAATGAATAACAATGACCTGCCATCAAGTCAATTCTGACACTTTCTGGGTTTTTCTAGGGGCATAGAGTTATCAAACATGTATTTATTCAATGTTAGCTAGCCCAAAACCACACAGATTGGCTTTTCTTCTACAGAAATGGCTTCGTTATTTCTGCTATGTTGATATCTATATTCTTTAATAGAGTGAAGCAACCCAAAATAGGAAAGATTGGGAATGTCAGCTTTAATGCATGGTTTTCTCTTTAGGGTCCCTCAATTTTTTGCTTCCAGTTTACGTACAGGGAGAGGGATACAGAGTTTACTCTAAGTGAGCAAATGTAAGGCATCAAGTAAAAACATTCTACCTAAGAGACAAATGGCCATTCCGCAAATTAAGAAAAATTAGATGGTATAATCAGCTTTTTTGCACAAAAGCTGCTGAGATTGGTCTGTAGTCACACACTGTTTGTTGTTTCAATCATAAATTTTCAGAGAGCTCATTATTAGACTTGGACAGTTAGATTCTCAGTACACTCAGAATGCAAAATCAAGGTAACTGAACACAATTATTCAATAAAGTCAATTAATACGAGGCCAGAAACTAATTTTTTTCACTTTATTAGGTTATAATGCCAAAAAAGGTTTCCATCCCTGGCTTATCTCACAATGTATTTTAGATAATGCAACTTTATTCTTTGTTTTTATTCTAAGTTAAAGGGCCACCCTTCCTATTTAGTTTATTTTAAACAAAAGAGGGTGGTTAAGTGTGCCCCTTATGTCTAGTAACATGTCCTCTGACATTTTAAAAAATTGGCTGTTAGATTGATTCACAACAGTACCTCATCCTATTTTCATAGCTTTAGTGCCTTTCTCTTACCAAATATGTAATATCTCTCCAGCTCCCGCCCTCCCCTTGCAACGGCTGCTTCCTGTACCCAGTAGTTTTCTCCGTTGCTCCAAACAGAGTACTGAATTAAATGAAATATGGTCTCCAGAGACACTGGCTTGCTTGGATTCATATCTGCTTATAAAGTTTAATTTACCTGGATGAAAGTTGAAACAAAATATTCTCCCTTTTATATTCAATAGATAAATAACAATAATTCTCCATCAAGAATTATTCTTTTATAACATTTATATATGCACAGAACATTAGAAGTTTTTTTTAAAGTTACTGATTACTTGGTGAAGTCCATAAATGACGTAGCTCAGTTTAACAGTATCTTTACGTTCATTGCTTACTCTGTGGGCATAAAGGCAAGAATATTTGCACAGCATTCTCACGATACCAGACTGTAGGAGCAACAGCTAGGAGAGTTGTAAGGCTTGTTGAGACTTGTTGGAAAACTCACTTGATGTAGAAAAGGGCAGTGATGACCATTTCTCAGATGATGTTTATCTGTTTGGAGTGGACACTTAACAGTTGCAGTTAAGTGAGTAAGCCAAATGGGATAGCGCAATATTACAAAGTATTGGAAATGTCTGTGCTTTTGATGTACTTTCTTTAAGGTCCAGAAGGCACTTAACATGAAAATGTCCACTTTATCTTGCTTTTATCTGACATTCATTTCTCCAGACTGGGTGCACTTTTCTGGCCTACTGTATTTAGTGGGATTAGTATTGGAATGGGTGTTTTATCGCCTATTCTAAGTACCTTGAGGTAGTGACATTAAATGAATTGTAAGTGTGATATAGTGGATACAATAACAGATTAGGACTCAGGAGACCTGGATCTGAATCCCTGCTTGGCCATGGAAACCTGCTGGGGGTGGGGATGGATGTAAAACCACTTATCTTGAAAACTCTGTTGGGATTTCTGTAAGTCAGTTCTAACTAGATGACACATAAAACAGACATGCACAAAATAAATATACTCTGTTTCAGCTTGCAGAGATGCCCATTTACAAAAAGCTTTATTTTCTATGTAATTTTAATATGATAAGATGTGTTTCTTAAAAAATATGCTAGCTGCAAATTTGTGTTCCACAGGAATTTGAAGAAGACTACATTGATTTTAAACACAAAGTTCTGGAGTTTGAAAGACGTCTTGGATCAATTTTCTGTGTAGCATTCCTTGATTGTTCGGGTTTAGAGTCAGCATTTAAGGTCAGTTGCTAAGCGCGTAGCTATGAAATAATGTAATTGGTTGTTCTAACTACAAAAGTCAATGCATTTACCTGTATATTATAGAATTTAAATTAGAGAGCAGGAGAGCTGTTACAGTAAGTAAAAATAAATATGTGTTTTATTGGCTTTTACTCTCAAGTTGCACATTAAGTCCATGATAATATTTGTTGACTGGGCACTTAGCTATCATTTTGGGGCGTGATCATGGAAGTTGAAAGACTTGGAAGTTACTTATTACAAAGGATGCTAAAAGTCAATGAAAAATGATCATTGGCAGAGGCAAAATGGTGGTATAGAAGCCAAACCTCCATGTGCATAGGTCTGCTGAATAGTAGCTGAGTCAAACAACATGGCACCCTCCTCAGTACCTGGAAACAGAAAACTAGTTAAAGGTCACAGCTCAGGCCACTTGACACACACATCCCTCAGATGGGGAGATTTGTTTCTTCCTTACTCCCTCCAGCAGCTGCTTCATTTGGCCTAGTGGTAGGATCAGCCCTGAAAATCGCCCATTCTCTGTCCTGCTGAAATGAATGGAAATAGCTTAAGAACATTCATTGTTCATAACAGTTCTCCCTATAGTGACAGCTTCCCAGGAATTTGCTATATTTTAAAGCCGTTCATTTAATAAAATTACAGTAGTATTTATTGTAGTAATACTAGTAATAGTACAAAGTCTAGGCTATGGTCCTGTTGGTCTCTAGGCTGTGGTCCTATTGGCCATCCAAGAGGTTACGGGATACTATGAACTCTGTAGCTGAATCTCTATGGAGATTCTTTTGTGTATAGCAGTAAGTTCTGACACCATGGCTAGTCTGGTGATGGTGGTGACTGTAGAGGGGAGGCATTCCAGAATGTATCAGGAATGGATTTAGAGGAGGCTTTGGATCTTTTGGAACTAAATCCTCTTTTCGCCGGGGACCCCTCCACACACAGTCAAAGGTACACAATGGGCAGAAGCAGACAAGAGAGCAGCTTCTCAATTATAAGGTAATACAAATATGACAACCTTCAGGGGAAAAAATTATATTCTTAGCTTCTGTGATTGTATAATCAACTTAAAGATAAACCCCCAAGGCCTCCTGTTCTTTACTTCCCAGTGACCAAATAAAAACAAGCCAATTTGTGGAATGGTGAAACTGAAATGGAATATAATCAGAAGTCCTTTAATTCTTAAGGCAGTTTAGAGTATTTCTGCTCTACGTCATCCTGAAGATAGTGTGGAAAAGTAATTTTTTTAAAAAAGATAAAAGCTGGCACAAATCCAGCCAGGAGCAGGAAGTGGTGGTCCTTTTGCAATGGATTATTCCTCCCTGCATCCATATTATTACTCTCATTAGCATGTGAGGTTGTAGTATAGATTTACATTCATTAATTTGTGGTCGACTTTGTTCATAGATAGGGCCGTGGATGTGCTTAATTTCTGTTGTGATCCAGAGTTACTTTAAGTAAATATCCCAAATGATTTTTAAAATTTTGAAAAGCAGAAAAGTATTTTTTTAAAAAAAAATATTAAATTGTCCATGCTATCACAGTTATGACAATTGCAGGGGTTTGGAGACCCTCTATTTAAGAAACACAAATCCAAAGCTGCTCTGGCCCATTCACACTGTTCTCCACAGCAGTGCATCCATAATAATACATTGGAATCCCAAGAGTGGAAAGAAAACTCTGATCATTTAGGAGTTACTGTTTGATATTTGGCATCTTGCATAATTTGGTCATCATATACTGACAGCAACTTCATATTCTTCAAAATAAAAGTAACCTTTTCTGATATCGATTTGATATGTGAGAATTTTTAAAAGCAAGTACACACTATATTTAGCTTATTTAGTCCACTGCTGTGAGGAGAATGATATCTGCAAACATTTTCAGTGCTAGCTTTAAGCAAATCATTAGCTAAGGAACAGTCAGAATATAAATATGTTTCCTGTCCTTAAATTGAACATATGAAAGGAAAGTTTGATTCATTTTTCTTTTCTCCAATATACCGTATTTTTCACTCCATAAGACGCACCTTTCCATAAGACGCACCAAATTTTTAGGAGAAGAAAACAGGAAAAAATTATCTGCTAACCTTTTCTGATATCGATTTGATATGTGAGAATTTTTAAAAGCAAGTACACACTATATTTAGCTTATTTAGTCCACTGCTGTGAGGAGAATGATATCTGCAAACATTTTCAGTGCTAGCTTTAAGCAAATCATTAGCTAAGGAACAGTCAGAATATAAATATGTTTCCTGTCCTTAAATTGAACATATGAAAGGAAAGTTTGATTCATTTTTCTTTTCTCCAATATATGTGTCTTATACTCCTAGAAGAATAATTGTGTACTTTTTTTCTTTGTAAATCTCCTGTTGCTTAGTGTAGTGAATCACATCAGAGTAGACCCATTAAATTAGTGGGAATTTGGTATCAACTCTCCCCTAATAGGCCTATTTGAATCAATGGCCTTTGATTCAATGGGCCTGTTCTTGCTGCAACTTAATTTAGCATATTAAGAAGCCGTTAGAGTAGGTCCTTTTGAATCAATGGAACTTCTGGAAGGGGTTGACTCTAAATCCTGAGGTCCATTTGAATCAATGGAACTTCTGGAGGGGTTGACTCTAAATCCTCATTGGTTCAATGGGCATATTCTACTGCAATTTATTACGCTAAGTAACAGGATTTTGGTCATTATTTATTAAACATATGTTGAGCTTTCATATCTTTCTATTTGTGTGTGCACGTGTTGTAGTCAGAATTTATCAGTTTTTCATCAGTGTTGACTTAAGAAAACCTATTATCCATTTGTTTTACTGTAGCTAGGACTAACAATTGGAGTTAAGCTTCAGTTTTAGCTGAAATAGGAAACTGTGGTTTAATTTCAGTTTAATAGTCAAGAATTATACTATGGTCAAAACAACATTAAATCACAGTAGCTTCAGAGTTTTATCACAGGAAACTGTGGTACAAGATTCAAGTGCCAAAGTTGGTGCATAAAGGATGTGTAGAGGAGTGCACAGGTTCAAGGCCTATTCCTGGCTTAAGCTGGTCAAGGTCTATCTAAACAATCCTATTCTGTCTAAACTATTCCACTTTTTCCTGTTTTATGTTTTGTGGTTTGTTTGGGCATTGGATTGGTGTTATTTATATATACCTTTTTTTAAAAAAAACAGTCAAAGTTTTTCCAGGAAGATAAATGGAAATCTGCGATCTGTACCTATTAATCGGATTTTTCTGGAAGGTGAGTCATGGCAACTGGACTTTTCTCTTAATTAGGTTTAAACTGTTTAACTCATCCAAGTAGCTTTTTCAGTCTTAGGAGAGTTCGTAGGAGACCCCTGATTTATCCCCCACCTTGGTTTCACTCCCCCCCATCTGAATAGGCTCATTAGATGGACAAAAGAGGGGATGAACGAAAATCTCACCTCTGTAGGCCTTCTCCATCCAATGTCATGGGTTGTTAAAAGTCATTAAAAGTGGTCTTTCTGGTGGTGTGGTCCTGTTCTTCCTGGGGATGGATGAAAGGGCAGCATGATAAATAGGAGACAGATTGTCTCTAAGGCCTCCGTCTCTCGAGTGAGGGATTTTCTACATGGACATGATTGGCCTCCCTTACCCCTCTTTCAAGCCACCTATCTTCTCAGATATATCAGGGATTTCCTACCAACTCTCCTCAGACTGAAGAAGCTACTTGGATGAATAGTGAAATGTTTCAGCCTAATGAGAAAGATGTCCAGTTGCCATGACTCATTTCCCAGATAACCTCACCTGGATGACTGAGAATCTTCACAGATTAATCAGATTTGTTTTTCTTGCATAATATTTGATTCTCATTGCCTAGAATATATACAGCCATTGTCTCTGAGAAGAAAGTAGTGAAAGAGGGAGTATAGTTTGTTACTGTAACTATTTGATTTTGCTTCTTATGTATTTTACTAGAGAATTTTCATTCCAGCAATATATTGTCTTTCAAGTGATTGTTCTAACTCTTTGAAAAATAAAAATAAACCAAACCCCTACTGTGTTCTAAAACGGGCATTTTCTATTATCTCTGTGTTTAGTTTGGAAAAAAGAAATGGACTCATAATGAACAGATATGCCATTATATTTTATTTTTGCAGGTTTTAGCCATTCTTGGATTTTTTCTGGAGAAACCTATTATTGCAGATATCTTTAGCCCAAATTACAAGATTTTGTTACAGTTGTTTGATGATGAACTGAATAATTGTAAACACATGTATGATGAGCACATTAAACAGGTATGTTGCAAACTAAATGAAAGGTTCCATATATAAATATCATATCATATAAGTATCATTTTTCATTCCATGTAACTCATACATTCCTTAACTGTTGCAGCTTGAAAACGGAAATGAAATAATAAATAAAAATATGCCATTTACTTCAGGAAACCTTAAATGGTCCCAAGAAATTAAAGCCCGTATACAATCATTCTGGTCAAACTTCTCTTTTGTTTCCTACCCGTAAGTATGTCTCTTTAGGCTTCAGAATTATTCATCAAAATAGTGACTTTAGTTCATAGCTGTATGTTTTGTGTCTTTGAAAGGTGAAGAAAGAGGGGATAAAGATATTTCTCCTGTGCTTTAGTGAAATGTATAACTGTTTGTGAATGTGGTTGCAAGAAATTTCATTTTTTTAAAAAAACATAAAATCAAAGATTCTTTAATGAAATCCTTTCCCTTTTTTGGGTGCATGTGTGTTATTCTTTTTTTTAAATCCAAGTAAAGCTGTAAAGGATCATAATGAGCTACTCTGTAAGTCCTATTGAGGTTAATGAAGCTTATTCTCAAATCCATTTGTATCAGATTGAAGTCTAAATCCACTGCTTTAAGAATTAGCCCTAGTGATCTTAATGGGACTTACTTCTCAGTAGACACATATATAATATTGTACTGCCAGTGAACCTTAAAAGGTGTTTATTCCCTATGTCTTAATGAATGTGACTTTGTGCTTTGCATTGCCAGGGTGAAATCCTGAATTTCCTTTTGAGCTGTGCCAAGTGTAAGCACAGATTCACAATGGCTGGAAACATGACACAAGGAGAAGGCTATAAAATATATATTTTATTGTCTCTCCTTGCTGCTGTTTAAAGTTTGCCCATGCTTGTTGATATCCATAATAAATATTTGCGGAAGATGTCAGCATTTTAACCATGTTAAGAGAAACTTAAATTTTATATCTGAGCTTGTTTCTAAGGGGTTTTATATCCTCTGTAATACTGTTCCAGATGTCTACAGTTATAAATCTGTCACTCTTTTTATTTTTTACAATTTGCATCCCACACTGCCTCCAAAACCTTTGGCACAATACATAGTCCTCCCCTGCACCACCGCCCACTTTATGTTCTCAGGAACTCTGTGCGATTGATTTGGCTGAGAGACAGTTGCTGGCTCTAGTTCAACCAGTGAGTCTTGTGACGTAATGGGGATTCAAACCTAGGATTCCCTATCTAAGTCTAAAATGCTAGTCTCTGCATCTCACTGTAATTTTTCCCCCCTGGGAGAAAACCCCCCTCTTGCAAAATGAAGGAACAGACTTTCCTGCAGCAAAATTAAGGGCAATTAATTTATCTGCTTCCTACACTCTTGTTTTGTATGACCAAAGTTTCCCAGTGCCACCAGCAGGTCAAATGGCTTATTACTGGTCAACCCCTCTTTTAAAATGTGGACCATCTAGAAAGGAAAGGGTACAATTCTACAGAAAGGCTAAGGGAAAGAAAGATGAAAGAGATCCAGCTGAGTCACAGCCCATCTTCATGGTGATATTTCAACCTGTGTTTTAAGTGTTAGTAGCCAGATAGATGATATTTGTGAACTTGGTCACAAGGAAGAACCATAGCAAATCGGTATGACATTGAGTCCTGAAAATATTATGCAGTTAAGGCAGTATGGAAGAAGCAATAAAATGAAAAGGGAACAGAAAGTGTAAATAAAGCTGGGCTAGTAGATTGTTGAGAAAGTCAAGTAGAGACTGGAAGCCAAAGTGTAGAAGAATTAATTTTTCCAGCAGTTCCTAGAATGCTGCAGACACAATGGCCAACATCCATGTTGTCTGTGAGATTCTAGGTCTCTTCCTCCACCAAAAACTTTTCCAGTTAGGTTTTGGGAGAACGCCTAGTCCTGTGTAGGTGATATAGCCTGACCTGCATCCCCTAAAAGGGTGTGCTTGGAGAATACTATTCCATCACTGAGGTTGAAGACCTGCAACTACCTTCTAAAGGTTAGACAGGGTTCAAGAGATCATACCCGTAAAGTACAATTTCAAAATTGTGGGCTTATTTCTATTTGTATTTGCACCATTTGTATTTACATCTCACTGATGTAAAATTTCTTTCTTTTCAGAGTCTTTGAAAGTTCTGAAGCGGCTTTAATTTATCAAAAATATATAGAGATGTTGACCTTACTGGATCAATATGAAGATCAGATCTATTATACATGGAAATCTCAAGTGGACAATGTCTGTCAGTTTAATTTGGATCAACCCCTTATTAAGCGCAACAATAAGGATGGCCTTCTTAGTGTGAATTTTGATCCCAAGGTACAGTTCAGAACAGTAGTCTAGACTGGAATGGGTGATGTCAGCAGGTCCAAAAGCTATATTACAGATTTGCTGGCAGCCCCAGAGTCACACTCCCAAGGTACAAGGGGATGACCAATGAGGCTAATTTGGATATTTTTTAAAAAATATAGTAAGAAGATATTGAAAAGGTTGCTGCCATGAGTTTTGAATTGAAAAGGCCCCCTTGTGCCCTCTTGTGGCCAAATATATATTTATAAATGTTTATTGTGGCTGTGCCTGAAAACATGGCAGAATTGTTCCCTAGGGCCCACAGAAGGTACAAAAAGACTTCTGAGGCAAAAGAAAAATAAACACTTTTTGTCTGGATATGTCATTTTTAAAAAACATAATAAAGAAGGGGGAAATCTGAGGAAGGCTTTATGTGAATACAGTCAGATGACTATCTGCTCAGAAATAAATCCCATGGAATCCAAAGGCATGTGTTTCCATGTGAGTGCAACCATAGTTGTTGATGATAATGGCATTTTTAATGTTAAGAAAATGTCATAGATTTTGAGTATCTGTTTTAGCTTTGTGTCTTATTTTAATTAACTTGTGCTGTCACTAATATTTAAAACCACCTTAGTTTTCTTTACAGTAATATTGCCTATAAAAGAAGAGTAATTATTTTATTCTAGAAATAGTCAAGTGCTGTTGCTATTATTACTCACAACTGCAGGGGTGGCTGGCAGCCCCAGACAGTGAGATTATGATAAATCTCATACTGTCTCACTAAGATCTGTTTTACACCTTTCTACCTCTAAAGCTCCTCTAATCATGCCAACCCCATTTCTACTCACTGAAACTTCTCTTTTCATGACAGCTAAAGAAAATTTCTGGGTTTTTTCTAGGAATTTCAGATACTAACTACAAATGAAAACTCTCACTTCAATGTCTGGTCTTATACAAATCTTTTTAAAGTTATTCCACTTTAAATTTTTAAAGTTATTCCACTTTATATTTCTTTCACCACTGTCAATGGTGGGAACACATGAAGAATGCAATTGGATAAGACTAATATATTTCAGTATTCTATTTTCCTTTCTTGCTTTGTTTCCCAGCAAGTGGTATTCAAACCAATATTGCTTTGGATTCTTAGAGCAACAAATAGTAATTGTGGCATGATGCCACTAGTATCCATAATCTGCCCTACTTGTCTGATCCGCTTATAAAGGTGGCAAAGTTGGTAGCCTTCATTTCTCATAGTAATGTATTCCATAGTTTAAGTAGCTGCTATATGAAGAAAACCTTCTTTCAGTAGAATAAGCTATTATTAAAATTGGCATGATATGTACAGTAAAGTTTGCTTGTGAAAAATGGCATGCAATTTTGTTTTGTGCAGTTGGTGGCTGTTCTAAAAGATGTAAAATACCTCTTGCGTTTGGATCAACCTGATATCCCAAGTTTGGCACTTGAATTATATAAGAAGAGGGACATGCTTGATAAGGTAACCCTATTTATTTTGATCTGAGACTCTGATTGTGCTTATTCTCCTTAGACCAATTCACATTCTGTTTTCCTGATGGCTATTTGTAGCCTTAACTATTATGTTATGGTTCTTAATGATACAACATGTTTCAGTATTTGAAATATTGGATATTGTGGGTGTAGCTCTATGTGTCTTTAAATGCACTAGCCTCTTTTTTTTTTAACTTGGGGCCCAGTGTTACCAATAAATTTAGTGAGAGGTGCAGTTGATCTTGAGAAATTATAGGCATATTGCCAAAGTGGAAATGGTACTTCCTCAACTTCCTTAATGCTTCCATTAAAAGTTTCCAGGCATCAGACTGTAATTTGTTAAGTTTTCTGACAGTGATCTCAGCCTTTTGTTGCTGTTCCTCTTCCTTATGTTAACAGTATATCGGAAATCTAGAACTTATTGTCCAGTGGTATAACAAGGTTAAACAGACTGTTTTGGAAGTGGAGTATCCTCTAATTGAAAAAGAGCTGAGTGCAGTTGATGCTGAGCTGATGGAAGCAGAAGAAACACTCACATGGCAGGAAGAGGACTGCTGGGAGTATATTGAGTTTCTAAAAGCTAAGGTTCATGACTTGGAGCAGAGACTTCAGAGATCAAAGGACAATATTAAGGCCATTCAGCAAATTATGAAGGATTGGATGGAACATACTCTCTTTTCTAGAAAAGACAACAAAAAAGAAGCTTTGTTGAACCTGGAGGATAAAGATGACCGACTTGCTAAAAAATATGCATCCTTTAAAGAAGATGGATACAAGATCCATAGTCTTGTAAAGGTAATGACCAGAATGAGTGGGCGTGATAATGATAAGAGAATTTGGTTTTTTTTGTGAAACAAATTTATGTGCTCCATTCACTTCAAAATGTCATTTCATTACAAGTGGCAGTTTAATCATGGCAATTAGTATGGGAATTCTTATCAGTCAGATTCATTTATTTTGCCAGTACTATTTGTAGAAATGAAACTATCTGCAATTTCCCATGTGGAGATAGGGTGCCAGTACCCAGTTTACTTTTTTTAAAATGAAAGTTGTCATAACAGTAAAATTAATGCCCATGTATGTGTGTTGTTTGTCTTTTTTTATATTTTTAAAGGAAAACTTCAACTTCTTCAAAGCAGACCCAGCTTCAGATTCTTGGAAGATTTACTTGGAATACATTGATGACCTTATAATTGATGGTTTTTTTAATGCCATAATGTATAATTTAAAGTTCTTCCTAGAAAATACGGAAACGGGCTCAAAGCCATCTCCCTTCTTTCAAGTTCAAATGCTCCTGAGTGCCCTAGAAATTGAATTCAGACCTTCATTGGACAAGGAAGCAGGAGATGGGTTTTATGATCTAATAGATGAACTTTTGAGCAATATTTTCACAATATCTGCTCAGGTGGAAAGAGTGGCACCACATCTGGAAATACCACACTACCAGGTAATTTACTGCTAAAAACTGAAACAAGCCTAAATTAGAAGAAAAAATAATATGCATAGAGCAGCCTATTTTTTTTAATGCTTGCAATATATTTATACAATGAAAATAAGGAGCAACAGTATTACATTATAGAAATAATTGTTCTCACTTTATTTTATTTTGTTGTATTTAGAATGAGATGGATAGCATATCAGAACTATCTGAGACCAGGGAAAAGATTATGGAAAGAGTGGCAGATGTTATCACTAAAGCTGTGGACTTCAAAAACTCACTTGACTCTTACGCTTATCTGTGGATAGATGACAGATCAGAATTTATGAAACAATTTCTATTCTATGGTTCTGTGTCATCTTCTGAAGAAACAGAGATGTATGCTGAGGTTGCTGCCACTGATCAACACCCAATGACTGAGCAATTTAAAGAGCAGGCAAGAAAGCAGTTGCTTTAGCTTGTATTATATTCAACTTCACTTTCTCTCCCATAAAATCAATTAGATTGTAACATATAGTTGTCTGTTGTAGATTGACACCTATGAAAATCTTTACATCAAAATGAGTAAATTTGACGACACCAGAATTTTTGAAGGCTGGTTTAAGGTGGACATGAAACCTTTCAAAATTAATTTGCTAAATGTTATTAAAAAATGGAGCTGGATGTTCAAAGAATATCTCCTGAAATTTGTCATTGACAGGTAAAATCATGTTTTTATGAAAGCATTGATGTGATTTTTCTTTTTCTAGGTTAGCTTTTTCTGATGTGTTCCTTTTTCTAAGTGGCATGTTGAGGACTGAGAAAATTCTCTGTGAGAGTAGGGTAAAAACAGGTTGAAAGCTCCAGGATTCTTCATAGAACCAACACCCCCTCCCAACAGTCCTTCACAGTGAAGGATGGGCAAAGCTTCTGAGGTTCAGAGACCAATCTTCCCCACTTAGGACAGACTTTAGGCTATGCCACCCCCAAAAATAAAACTGGAAGTAGGTGGAAATCCACTTCTGGTTTTGTTAAAACAGCTGTGAAACAGCCAAGGAATCTCGGATTATGTCTTGTTTTAATGGGGAATCTGCACTTCTGAAGGCTTTCAGGAGTAGCAATTCTCATATTTTGTCATTTTGTTTCAGTCGAGATTGTGTGTCACAATGGATCCTTTTGGGATATGGAATTGGTACCAGAGAGCATATGTCAGTGCATAAATGAAAACAAACAAACAGTCATGTGATCTGTTTATAGAAACAGAACTACCTATATTGGAGTCATTGCTGAACTTAATGGACCTTTGTTTGTTTGTTTGTTTGTTTGTTTGTCTTAACCAAAACCAATGGGGTCTAAGTGCATCACCAGCACAACAGAGGGATCCTCATGCTGTTTAGATAGGCTTTGGTTTACAGGTGGGGAGTTGGTTTCCTAACTCAACTTCTTTTGGTTCTGGAACAGCAATCTACAGATTGCTATTCCCATAGTCTGCTTTCAAGTATAATCACTATTACATCTAACAAAATTTTGGGACTTCTTGCTTGTTTCCTACTCCTTGATTCTTTTCCTACTTGTAATATATGTATGTGATGAAAAATTTGAGAGGAATTAAAAGTTCACCTTCATGATAACTTTTCAGTGGCCCTATAAATGTATTACCCAGCCCAGATAATGAATGAAGGAAAAGATACTGAGAAATAGCTAAAAAGAAACAGAAGAGCAATGAGTTATTCTGTTTTATTCCTCCTCTCCTTTATCGCATAAGTGTAGGATATCCATACTGTTAGCAAGCAAATTTAAAATGACAGTGTAAATAAGGCACAATGAAATCAAGTTCTCAATGCATATTAAATGTTGACATATATCTAAAAAGATTCCAGCATTTAAACTCTCTCTCTCTCTCTCTCTCTCTCTCTCTCTCTCTCCTACACAGCTTAGCTAACCTAGAAGAATTCATTAAAATGACTGATGCTGGGCTCCAAAAAGAGTTAAAGGAAGGAAATTATAATGGACTCATTGATGTTATGATTCACATTAGGGCTGTGAGAAACAGGCAAGCTTCTACTGATGAGCTTTTTGAGCCTCTGAAAGATACAATTGCACTCCTAGAAAACTATGGACAGAAGATACCAGATCATGTTTATGTTCAAGTTGAGGTACTGACATTAAGGAAAAACACTTGAAACCTCCACGTGTCCCTCAAGATCATAATTAACCAACCATCTATTATTATCAGAAAAGAAATAATGATGAAACTTGTTTTTCTCTGCTCAAACAAGTATTGATAAATCGTTTGTGTGTGTGTGTGTGTGTGTGTGGTTTGACTAGACATTTTTCATTGGTTTTATCATCATTAATTTGATGAGTATAAAAACATCACCGAAAGCATGAGATGCCAAGTAATAAGCATCTTAATTGCATGAGAAGAAACCCCCAACTCTATCTGTTTATTACAAGTAAAACTCAGTGGTAACTATTCTGTGCAGGGCCAGCTAAAATGACTTGGAGACATACAAGAGCTCTGCTCTGTTGGGCTTGGTTTGAAGACTTTCGTAGTAGATTGTCACATTTGCTCCTCTAGTTTTGTTGTTGTTGCATTGTGTTAATGAATTGTAGTTTTGAAAACTGGTGCAAAAGTGAAGCAAGGACTCCTGACATTCATTTAAGCTGTTGTGTGATCATGTGAACCTAGATGTATTCTTACAAGCTTTCATTTTCTTCGCATGTACATTTTGGTCCCACTGCTCCATAGTGAACTGGTGGCAAAAAAAGTAAAAAATTTTTTGGAAAAAAAGGTAGGGGGGCAGGAAAATGTGACTCATTAAACAAATGGGAAGTAGAAAATTACTTCTATGTTTTTGTGTGTAGAGTATATAAAAAAATAAAATGCTGGTCAACACCCAGTGAACTACATAACTGGCTCTTTGTGACCATTGTTACTCTTGACCTTTCTCAAAGGCTATCTCTAGGAGTTTACATTGGCGATTAATAAGAGACCATGCAAGGGCAAAATAAAGCATTATAGATAGCCTGTAATTGGAGCTGTAAGTATGTTATTGTTGGAGAGTTGGGATGGAGGATCAAATCCGATGTTAAGACAAATGTATATTTCCTCTTTTTACAATGTTAAAAGTATGCAGACGTTTCAGGGATACATGCCTAAGACATCAGAGATGCAAACATGTTGCCTCCTAGTTGACCACTGAAAAACAAATACAGCTAATCTTCTGAATGTATATAGATACAAGTTAGTATTTAAGTAATCTTTTCCTCTCAGGCAATTCTGTTTCTAATGTCAAGTCAGGTGTGTTGGCAGTTTTGGTCCTCTGGCAGTTTTTTAACTTTAAGAAACTGGGCTTCAAAAAAATCCATGGCTGAAATACAACTGCTTAGTGTGGTAAGTCACAGCTAGAATAGGCCCATTGAATCAGTGGGGATTTGGTGAATCAGCTCCTTTATAAGTTCCATTGATTCAACTCTAGTTGAGATTTATCACACTAAAGTTGCAACTAGACTAAGCCTGTTTGAATCAATGGAAATAACAGAGGAGTTAACTCATCAAATCTCCAAGGATTCATATTCTAGCGTGAATTGAATTGCTAATCCCATGAAGAGCAATTGCACCAAATCAACAATATTTACACAAGTGTTGAGTTACCAAGTTAGCATTGATTCCAATATTTTGTAGCTGGGACTAACAAATCAGTACAGTATTTTGATATTGTATCTGGGACTAACAACTGGATTTATACCTCTGCTTTTATCTCTTCTCACACATACAGAGAGGTGTCATTGTTTGTTTTTAAATGAGTTAGCAACCTAAGTGTTAATTGTAGTTGCCTTTGAGCCAGTCAGTTTTATATGCATTACATAAAGTATCCCACTACATGGGAAGGACTCAGGGACAAGCAACTCACATGCATTTGGCAGAGTGTAAAAGGGAGGCTGACTAAGCTGTCGTTCACAGGGGAGGATTAACAAACTTTTTGTATGCTATTTGTCTTTGCTCTACAGGAATTGCCAGAAAGATGGAATGCCACCAAAAAACTTGCTGTATCTGTAAAGCATGAAGTGACTCCTCTTCTGACATCTGAGGTCACCCTTCTCAGAAAAAAATGTTCAGCTTTTGATGTAAGCCAAGGTGATTTTATTGCATTTTTTTTAAAAAAAAGCACACCCACACACATGCTTTTATGAGGACAAGATTGTTGACAAAAATTTATTGCCTACATTTCTTTCATCAGGGGAAGCAGATACGATTCAGAGAAAGATTTAGAATGGAGGCTCCCTTTCACTTTGATGCCAAAAACCCATATGCGCTTCTCGATAAGGTAATGGAGAAATCTCAGAGGTGCATGTTAGGCTGGTAATCTCTCAACACAAAAACAGAGATCTCTGTTTGTGTGTTGTACAATTTGTATTTAACATTAAACTGTTTGGTAGAGCTTGATATTTAAGTGGCATATTATGTGCCAGTGCAGTTTTAAAGGTGTGTGTTTTCTTTTAGACCATCTCATTGTTTCAGAGAAACAATACATTGACTTTTTTTAAAAAAAAATGCTCATGATTTTTGAAAAACAGAGTTTGAACATTTTGAACAGAACAAATGGCACGTTTGCACTCTTTACATATTATTAAGATGTTAGCTGTAGTCCCAATCTGTTAAGGCAAACATGACATTAAAGCAACCTTAAGGTAAGATTGTTGCACTGTTTTGAAGATTCCTATAAATCTGAGTGGACAAAGTGTAGCCCTGGAATTGCATGTGACCCTGGAAGTTCTAGCTTTGCATTTGCTGTCGATGCCGTTTTGGCAGTCTGGGTATCCCCTAGACCAGTGGTCCCCAACCTTGGGCCTCCAGATGTTCTTAAACTACAACCCCCAGAAGCCTTCACCACCACTTCTGCTGGCCAGGATTTCTGGGAGTTGAAATCCAAGAACATCTGGAAGCCCAAGGTTGGGGACCACTGCCCTAGACCTTCCCAGTCATTTGTGCCTGCCAGTGATGTCTGTCTCACAGGTCTTAGGGCCTGTCCAGAGAAGTGAATTTGGAGCTGTCTGGTTCAGGTTTAAAAGTCTCTTATCTTCAATGTAGTCTGTCTTATCTTGCACTTGAGCGATCCTTCTATTTGCACTGTGAAGGGTCCACACAGGTCTTTGGATTTTGAGTTTACTCATGGGTAACATTCACCTTGCCCCCTTGCATCTTTTCAAGGAGAAAAGGGGGGGATTTTTTTAAAATAAATGTAAATAAATTATAAATATCTGGTTTACTTGTGAATAAGTTTACCAGGTTAACTCACAAGTAAGGAGACAGCAGGAATAGCAGTAGAGGGCAATGGCAGCATGGCAAGCTAACCATAGTCATAATAGTGCAGGGGGAAAATTTTGGGGGTGAAGGTTGGGGAGACAGAAGGAGGTAGTTCCTCACTTTCCCCCTGCTGTCTACTCTGCTGGGGCTGCACTGCCTTGTGGGGGCAGAACCCATGCAATCAACATAGCCTTCTTCCCCTCTTTTCCCCACAGCTATCATTCATGTGGTGCTTTCCTTTTCCTTTTTTTGTGAAATAAAGTAAGTTTCATAGCAAAACAGCAATGTATCAACCTAGCGTGGTATACCAAGCACCTCCATTGTATTAGAATTGTGTTGTATCAGTTAGGGAAATATTTTTTTAAAAAAAGGAAAGAAGACAAAAATAGAGGAGGGAGTTTCTTCATCCTCTGTTTTAATATCACAGTCCACCAAATACGTCACAAGGTTGTCACCTTAGATAATGCCACTCACAGTTGGGTATATACTAACCATCCATACAGGCTAACCAATGGAAGCATGCTGAATTATGCCAAAAGAAAACCCCATAAACCATACCACTGTGCCATAAAAGAATGAAGTGGCTCTAAAAATGGGTGGGATGGAGTCCTGTAAGTCAAAACACATGTGGGCACCATAATTTGGTTTGAACCAGACCGCACCAAAACAATCAAAATAGCAATCTATATATCCACCTGGACAGGTTCTGAAATAGTGATTGGGTTGTGCTTACTGTCTTTGTTCTAAAAGAAAAAAAGAGTATCAGCTAAAATCATGGTGCTATTTAGCGCTGGTAGATCATAGAGGCACTTGTTTAGCAATGTGCAGGCGTCACTACTGGGTAGCATCTTTCCGCACTGGGATTGTAGCTCCATCTGAGGTAAATAGCAACAAGGTTCTAGTTTTAACATCAATTTGTATTTAAGTGGAAAACTTAATGGAAATGAAATGGGTATGTCCTGCCAGAATACAGGTACACTTTTTAATTGCATATAGCGTGCATCCCTAGAGTTCCTTTGCATCTGTATATGAAGATGCATATCTATAAATCTAAAGAGGCACAGGTTTAGCTGATGTAAATCAGAGCTACTGCACTGAATGTGATTTATGCTAGCAGAGGAATTGGCCTATAAATGAACCTTCTATGTCTTTTGGAACACCTGACAGGAACATGAAGCATGCACTGCTCCTATAGTAATTCCTGTAAAATACCTTTCCGTTAAGTAGTTTATCTGTCTTAGTATATGCTGATTGGGATTTTAACTAAACATGTTGGTTTGTTTTTGCTTCTTCAAGGCAAATCAGGAGTTAGAGGCATTGGAAGAGGAAATGTTGCATATACAGGGATCAGCCAGTCTTTTTGAAGTGGTCATTCCAGATTACAAACAACTGAAACAGTGTCGCAAGGAAATAAAGTTGCTGAAGGGAATGTGGGACATAAATATTTATGCAACGGTAAGAGTTCTGTTTGTTTTTCAGAAGAACATTGTATAGCTGGCAAGTTGTGCTGTTTGTTAAGTCTTAGAAGACTGGGATTTTAGCAGCTCTTGAACTTTAATACAAAAAAGAAATTGCAAATATTTTTAAACAACTGAATTTTGTGTATCTATTTATTTTAGACATTAATATACTGCATTCTGTTTCCAAAATCCCATTGAGGTTTATAGCATTGCAGCATCAAAATCAATGAAATATGTTAAATGAAGTAATAAAATCAGAAAGCAATAAAACATTTCTTTTAGATAACTAAATTCGCTAGCGAATTACTGATCAGGGAAATGGCTGGATAAACAACTTTTTGGTTGGTAATAGCAAAACTATTCATTGAGAGCCTACTTGATCTCAGGGGGGAGATAGTTCCACATGGTAAGTGTGGCCAAAAAGAAGGGTTTTCTGTGCATCACATATCAACAGACTTCCCAACAGCCTGCAGTCTACCAAGTGCCATTACATTTCTCTTTGTTCCTCCTGTTCCAGAGCAACATCAATGATTGGATTAAAAGCCGTTGGAAAGAGATTAGCATGGAGCAGATGGATGCAGAGCTCAGAAGATTTGTTAAGGCAAGTCCCCAAGCGGTTTTTACACAGTTTGGGACCGCATTTAATTGTGCTATGAGTAGAACCATCACATTCAATAGGTTTATCTTGGCGATAGAATGCTGAATTTAGATCCAGCTCTCTACTTCCTCTCTTTTGCTGCTTTGGTTTTCTTCCCCCAGCTCAATGTTTCTTCCACCTTTACTTTTTATTAATACTCATTTTTAGTTACAAATACAAACTCATGCTGCAGACATTTTTCCAGAATGGAATATAAAACAAAGTTAAAGCTAAATAGATAATGGGCACATTGTTTCTGTTGCAGAATTTCTCCTCAGTCTGATGCCCTCCAGGTGTATTGACTACATCTTGCAGCACATGATATACTTCTGGTTACAAAAAAAGTTGTTTTGATTATTTTTAAAGAGTAAAATAAAGTGTGTGGGACTCTGTGCTTTGGTTTGAAGAGGATCACACTTTCTGGAGTATCATTATTTTAACCAATTGTTTTCTGAGGAAAATCTAGGGTCCACCAAAATATGTGGGTGCTATATATGGCTCTTTGCGATCTCACATCTACCCTCTGATTTAGAACTTTAAAGATAGGTATTGTACTGGATGCAATTTATCAGGCAGTTGGGCTTGTATACTCCTGAGATCCTTTATGAGTCTCTATGTAATCTTTTTGAAATACACAGGACCATCTGCTTAGCAAGCACACATATAAACAACGCTGGCCCTAGCATCTCATGATTCCATTGCTGCCTTGCAATACTGAAAGCTAATGGCCTTATTCAGACATTCTACAGCCTGGTGTTATGAAGAGGCTTAGAGGGGAACCCTTCACTCCCCACCACCAGTCATTGCATACATCATGCTTTCAGCACCAGGTCTGAAAAGGAGAGATTCCTCCTCTTGGGTAAGCTCTACACATGAACAAGAACTCTGGAAAACACTGGATTCTTGCTCATATGTAGAACCTGCACACAAACTGACACTGACACTAGGATGAACTCAGTAACCAAAGAGTGTGGGGTTAGTTCTCAGTGTCTAAATGAAGCTAATGGTGAGATTCCTGCCCTACACTTTAAAGAAGAATGAATGGCCTCAGAACAATTCCTGGATAAAGTAAACCAAAATAAATATGAGTTAATCAGTTGGTATGACAGAAGGGATATTTTATCTTTCTGTCTCAGAGAGGATTATTCATTTCTGCACACACTTCTTAGCTGTTGTATTTGAATCATCTAGTATTTCCTGGAAAGGATAACCTGTTACGTTTTTCTGTAAAAATACTAAATTGCACAGAGATTATGATGATGATTACAATTTCTGTGCAATGTGGCACCTATCCAGTATGAGATTCCCATTGAGCTGTAAAAAAGTTGCATTTTCTTGCAGAAAAGAAGTGAAAATGAAAACAAATAAATAGGAATAACAAGATTCACCATTTTGTTCTTGCAGGAAGATAGGAAATCTTTCTGGTTTACCAAGGAGTCTTGCTATGGAAAGATTCAGGAAATCTCTGAAAACAAGAATGTTTTCATCTAGTCACCACATCCTTGTTCTTATCTTTGTTGTGATGCTCTTCTTCAGGAGATGTGGGCACTGGATAAAGAGGTTCGCTCCTGGAATGTTTATACAAATCTGGAATTAGCAATAAAAAACTTGTTGACATCACTGAAGGTTGTTACTGAGTTGCAGAATCCAGCCATGAGAGAGAGGCACTGGTATCAGCTGATGGGTGCAATAGGTGTAAGTATCTGTGTGATGCATTTTGGATGGATGCAGGTTTAAACATTGAATTTGCCCTTCTTTGCTGCAACAGCTCCCTCTCACTCCCAGAAAAAAGCACAACGGGCGTAAAAGGTCTCCTCCTGTGGCATGGTCCATTGTGTGGTATATGCACAAAAGGGGGGAGGCCGAAATTGGCAACTGGCACTTTCATTGGGTGGACTTCAGCTTGCAGAAATTGTTCTCCCCTCCTGGTGCCATAGGTAAAGGTTCCCCTTGACATTTAGTCCAGTCATGTCTGACTCTAGGGGGCGGTGGTCATCCCCATCTCCAAGCCGTAGAGCCAGAGTTTTTCCGTAGACAGTTTCCGTGGTCATGTGGCCAGCACGAGTAGACATGGAACGCCGTTACCTTCCCACCGAGGTGGTACCTATTTATCTACTCACATTTACATACTTTCAAACTGCTAGGTTGGCAGGAGCTGGGACAAGCGACAGGAGCTCACTCCGTCACGTGGATTCGATCTTATGACCTTGCAGCACAGAGGCTTCTGCGGTTTAACCCGCAGCACCACCACATCCCTATTGGTGCCATAGCTTGCCCCATTTAACAAGATGCACTTCCTCAAGGGATGGGGGAGAAGAGACAGCCATGGGGGAAAGGGACAAGAAACTTCCCCTTTAACAGCCTAGTTGTAGGTGCATAAAATGTAATCCAATGCATTGTGAAGAACCTTCTTCACCTCTTCCATGATATACTGCAGCGCTGATCTTTTTACCTCCTTTGCAACATATGGAAAGAAGTCAGCCCGTCATATTTTGATTCTTTATTAAAGTCAGTTACAGAAACTTTACAACTTATGCTCATGATTTTCAGAAACACTTCTGAAAAGCACAGTGCAAACAGCTTTTGGGAATCTGCCCTCTTTATAAATGTTAATGAATATATCCCAATGGGGGATGAAATCTATCAGTCTCTTTCCTTCATATGGTCTGTGGGATATATTCAGACATGAGCAAGAGCATGCCAAGGATAAAATGCCAATGATTTCCATTCTTTAAAATTTTTTTCTCCATGGAAATACTGCATGAGTGTTATTTCATATGCAGATACTTCAGACTATGTAGTTTTTGGGTCTGTTCAACACTGGTATGGATTGATAGAAAATATTTTGTAAATAATTCATTTTCATTCTGGAAAATATTAACCATGTCAACTGCAAAGCCAACTGGAGGAATGTCTTCCATAGGAAATAGAAAATGATACCAAGCCAATAATATTTTGCCCATTTTGATAGATTATCCACAGTGCAATCACAGGGGTCCCCTTCTTCCAATCAGTCATTAAAATACAGAAAGCCAAAGTTGCCTCTTTCTTGTTTTTACTGGAACATGCATGGATTTTGACCACTGGTTGCTGTTGGCTTCAGAAATCCTTTAGCTATAATTTTTATTTGGCTTTTCTCATCACAATTTTAAGGTACAGAACTGCTTCTTCACAGTACTAATCAAAGGCAGCTTGAGTATCTATCCTTTTGTATAAAAGATCCTCTGCTAGTGCTACTTTCCATTACTGCCACTGCCCAGCAGCCGCCTTTCAACAATTCCTCACCCTCATCACCACTTGAAGTATCAATTCTCTTCTTCTAATATTTCCATTAATTCCTGAAAAGGATGAATGCATCTTAGTCAATTTTGACCATTTCTCCCTGGGTGACCCGAATAGGAATCTGAGCCTGTAACAGAGTGTTTGAAATTTGTAATTTTATGATTTTATATATTTTTATACTGTTTTGTTTTATTTTGTAAGCCGCCCCGAGTAGACATGGTCTAGAGGGGCGGGGTAAAAATCAAATAAATAAAATAATAATATAAAATAAAATAAATAGCCTCCAAATGGTATTACTCTCAACATCCAGACACACTCAAACCTCCTCACTACATTATGAGGTGCATACAAGATGATCTGATGATCTGTCTGTCTGTCCATCCTGCATGTAGTACATATAATATGAAAATCTGGATTAGATTCAAATGGAGGAGTGAAAATTGGAGGAAAAATCAGGAATCTGAAGCCACCATATTACAGGCAGAAAGCAGCTGTACATTAAGACAAAAATAATGACTGCAGAAAATTATATAACTTTAATGTTGACCATAATAAAATCAAAATGAAGGTTTTTTATCCCTTGGTTGAATTTTCTTTCAATTGAAAGAGAAAGTACAGCCAAGAACACAGAAGACAACTATGATTTGGAAGAATAGCTATGAAGGAGCTAGAAAAAGTTCTTAAGAGTAAGAATTTGTCACCGGAGACTAAAACCAATATCATCTATACTATTGTATTCCCAGTTACTATGTATGGATATGAAAGCTAGACAGGAAATATTGATTCATCTGAACTGTGGTGTTAGGAGAGAGCTTTACTGATATACCAAGGATTGTCAGAAAGACAGGTCAGACCAAGGCAAAATTCCTTCCAAATGTGATAATGACTAAATTGAAGCTCTCATGCTCTGGGCATATCATGAGAAGATAAGGCTCATTGGAAAGATAATGATACTAGAGAAGAAAGGAGGCAGTAGGGAAAAAGAAGATTGAACATAGATTTCATTGACCCAATAAAGGGAGCAATGGCCTTTAATTTGCAAATCCTGAGCAGGGCTATCAAGGACAGGGCCTTTTTGAAGTCACCAGTTCATGGAACAGACACAGATCAGAATCCACTAGATGGCATATAATAATATCATCACCATTATTATTTATTTGTTGACAGATACATATTTATCCTGCCTTTTAAAGATGTTCATCTTTCTAATGCAGCTTACAAAGCTACATAGGAAATTACTTATCTAGATCATAAAGTATATAAAACATCAACATTGCAAGCAGCGACATCTAGCAGTTCTCTGTTTGCACTTAAGTTTTGAATACATGATGTATTCAAAGCCCTGTTAGGACCCTGCCTATGGAACAAAACTGAAGTAGAGTGCCATTCTTCCAATTTGGTATGTATCCATGTTTTAAAACTATGCATATGGGACTGGGTTTAGATTTAGTCCCAAATAGGTTTAAAGACTAATAGCTGTGCTTTAAATTTGATTCATTAAGAAACATAGAGCTGGGGAAATTGAAATACAGAAGCACAAATTTATTGTTTCTTTGGTATTGTTCCTTTGCAGATTCAGTTTTCAATAAGTGAAGATACAACACTAGCAGACCTGTTGGAATTGAAGCTGCACAAAATGGAAGATGATGTCAGGAGCATTGTTGACAAAGCCGTGAAAGAACTTGGAATTGAAAAGGTTAATCTTATCTTTTGTTGGAAATTATCTAAATCCAAATTTGTTCCTGGATTGTATGATCCTTCCTAAAGTTTTTCAGCTTTCGTAGTGTATGATGCACTGGAATTCCATCTGTTCCTGCTTTTGTCGGATTTAATACACACCATGGAAAAATTATTTTGTCTTCTAGTTCTTCTTTCTTTTGTGAGAGAGTGCAAGTATATATGAACTCTCAATTGTAGGTATTAGTAAAATAGTTCAAGAAAAACAACAATATGATTTTAGATATGATTGTGGGCAAGAGTCTTTTTGTACTAGCGTGCATGCACACACCATTGAAACACCCTTTCAGAAACAAACATATTGATGATTATGATCAAAAGTAGGTAGACATGTGCACATAGGAACCTAGTCATGATGGTAAAGATGGCAATTGTAGGTGGAAGCAAAATGCTTATTCCTTAAATCCAGAATTTTATAAACACTTCTTATAAAGCTAAATCTAGAAGAAGTGGAATAAAGAGGAGAAGGAAAATCAAAGGTCTGTATTTCAGAAGTCTGTAGATTTCTGTCAAGATTTCATGTCTGCTGTCCTTGGCCTAAGGATCACATGAAAATGGCTCCTTTTAAAATACATAATGACAACGAATCTTTCCAGGACGTTCTATTGATTATAGAATCATAGAAAAAAAATATTTGGACTGGGCTCAACGAATCTTTCCAGGACGTTCTATTGATCATAGAATCATAGAAAAAATTATTTGGACTGGGCTTATAAGGCCATGGAGTCCAACCACCTGCTTAGTGCAAGAATCTAACTCAAAGTAGATGTCTGGACTGGGCTTATAAGGCCATTGAGTCCAACCACCTGCTTAGTGCAAGACTCTAACTCAAAGTAGATGTGATAGATGGTTGTCCAATTTTCTCTTGAGTGACTCAAGAGCTGGAGCACTCGGCATCTGTGGAGGTAATTGGGTCCATTGCCATACTGCTCCAAAAGATGTTTTTCCTGATATTCAGCTGAAATGTAACTTCCTGTAACTTTATAAGGCCATTGAGTCCAACCACCTGCTTAGTGCAAGACTCTAACTCAAAGTAGATGTGATAGATGGTTGTCCAATTTTCTCTTGAGTGACTCAAGAGCTGGAGCACTCGGCATCTGTGGAGGTAATTGGGTCCATTGCCATACTGCTCCAAAAGATGTTTTTCCTGATATTCAGCTGAAATGTAACTTCCTGTAACTTGAGCCGATTATTACATGTCCTTTACTCTGGGGTGATAGAGAACAGGTTCTGCCCCTCCTCTGTATGTAATGATATTTCAAGCATTTGAAAGGAATGATGTTGATCCAGAAGAAATATTTCTAACCAATATTCTGATGTGTTAACCAGATTCTCATAGAAATCAGCCAAACATGGGCTACCATGGAGTTTTGTTATGAAGAGCATTACAGGACCAGTGTTCCTTTGTTGAAAATGGATGAGCAGCTTTTTGAGACTTTAGACAACAACCAAGTAAGAAGTTGCTTCCTTACTTATATAGTAAATGTGCTCATTGCTTACTAATTGTTTTTATAATTGAACAAAACTTGTGACCCTGTTTCCAGAATTTGTATTTACAGTGGATCTTAGCTGCCCCAGATGTTAGTCTGTAAATTATATGTGTTCTTGACTGTATATGTTTTAACAAAAATTTCTGTCTGTGTAGGAGTTAGCAAAATTACAGGTCCTTGGGCTCTCTCTTTTTTCTCTATAGATAGTATGGAATCATTTAATAACATGCTGTCCATTTGCAAGGTTTGAAAATGTCTTTTGCTGTGATTTACTGTAATAATAGCTTGCAGAAGATTTTTTTTTTTTGCTAGAACTTTTGTAGCTGTGACTGCTGTGATGGCACAAGTAATTTTATTTATCCTTTCATTTTATTTCCCTTTGTTTTTCAAGGTTCAACTGCAAACAATTCTGCAAAGTAAATACATTGAGTATTTCATTGAGCAAGTTTTAAACTTGCAAAAAAGGCTAAATGTTGCAGACTCTGTCATTTTTCTTTGGATGGAGGTTCAGCGAACATGGTCTCACCTTGAAAGCATTTTCATTGGCTCCAATGATATCAGAGACCAGCTTCCTGAAGATTCAAAGAGATTTGATGGCATTGATGCAGATTTTAAGGTTACAATTAATCATTCTAATCACTAGACTATCCTGTCTCTTCTTCACTTCTTCCTTTTACTTAGAAAAAATATAATTAACAATAAGCATGTGTTGTCAGGTCAATTCCAACTTATGGTGACTAGAGATGGGCACATACTGCTGGTTTGGCAGTTCATGCCAGTTTGGTGCCTTGGGTGCACAGCTGTTCTGAGAGCACCCTGGCTTCCCAGCCCTGCCTCCTCTGGTGGGCGTCATTTCAAAGGCAGAACTGTGGCTTCTCAGCCCTGGCTCCTCCAGTGGGCGCCCCCTTATAGGCAGCAGCACCAGCAGAACAGCTGTGCACCTGAAGCACCAAACCAGCACAAACCGGCAGTTGATGCCAATCTCTAATAGCAACCTTTTCCAGGGTTTTCCAGCCACAGAGTACTGTACACAGAAGTAGTTTACAGTTTCTCTTTTCTGGGGTTATCCTGGGACTATACAGCTTGCCCAAGGCTACATAGGCTAACACTTTTCCTGGGACACATCGCGTGGGATTGAATTTCAAACCTCCATAGTTAAATACATTGCTCAGTGAGTGATGCACCCAGCTGGAATAAATACTGGACCTCCTGTTTTTATGACAGCGGCAAGTCCTCCTATTCAGTTCTTACTGTTCTATATCTAGAAAACCCTGGAAAGGGTCACTATCAGTCAGAATTGAATTGATGGATCATTATTAACTGACTGGATAGTTCAGTGAGTTAGCCATCTGACTGTGTAGCCAGAAGTTGGGAATTTAATTCCCTGCTGCATGTCCCAGGAATAGATCCAGCTTGTGTAGCCGTAGGCAAACTACACAATCCCAGTGTGCCTCCAGAAGAAGAGAATATTAAACTACTTCTAAGTGCTCTGCACCTAGAAAACTCTGGAAAGAGTCATCATACTTCAGAATTGACTTGATGGCATGTTGTTGTTGTTTTTGTTGTTGTTAAAGCAGTAATACTCCACTCAGTACTCAGGATATGTTCCAAGAAAATGAAGCACTACCTGAATCAGGGCAGATAAACATTATGCCTCTCCACCAATTGTTGTCCTGTTACCCTGTAGAGTCTTCTGCTTTCATCACGATCAACACACAATTGAGTTTTTTGGATATTAACCAATGAGGAGGACCAGGCTCAATTTCTGTTCTTGTTACAGAGTACCACAGCAGTATAGAAATATTATTAAACCAATAAGGTATTATTAATTTTTAAAATAAGAACATTAATATACGTCATCAAAATAAATAAGGAATAAAACAATCCTTTCCAACCTCTGCCATGAACGGACTAGATGATTACAGGCAAGCTACTGATCATGACTCCCTCTACCATTTGTGGTGTGAACTTAATACTATTCAGCTGCCATACAGAGCTGGATGTGATCCACTTGAAGGAATACAAGTCCTTGGCTTTCTCTCTCTGCCTAGCTGATCACTAGCAGAGATAAGTACTGTGAAGCACCACCAAATGGACATCTGAGCATCCATGCTATAGCAAACAGTGCTGTACAACACAGTGTTATATGGGGTACTAGTGTATTGCATGAGACTTAGGATATGGTGAACTAGTTGAAAGATTATATCATAATATATTTATGACAGAAGCAAAACATAATGCTATAGTACCTCTAAGATCTGCAGATTTATTTCAGTAGTATACACACTGAAGCAGACTAACATGGCTGCCTCTTTGACTGTAATAGTTGTCTTTAGGATGATATGAAACTGTGTTTTTGCTAGGATTATATATTAAATAACCCACATTGAACAAGCCATTAAAATTAAAGAAAACTATATTTTACATAAAACAAGGGAAATGCTATCATTAAAACAAGTTTTGTCACTGTGTTTTTCCTTTTTAAACTATTATGCATTAGCATTTCAAAGCACATAAATCTGAAGAACTATACATTTATTTGGATAATGATACTTTGTAGCTCCAGATTTTTCTTCAAATTCTTTACAAATCATGAAGTTTTTACTTGCTGAGTTTTCAGTTGTATATTTGAGGACAACTGCATGTGATGGTTTGTAAACTGATAGATGTGTATGTGCATAACCTATATACTTCAGATAATCAGTTGTCCGATAATACAGCTATCAGTTATCTACCAAACTGAAATTGTTTCCCCCTAATAGAGAAATATCTTGTTCCTATTCTTTATTTTTTTAAAAAATAAATGTTTGACAAGAAACATCTTTTGGGCATTGAATATGGAAGCTAATATTTCTTCTTCTGTATCCAGGAATTAATGAATGATTCGGCAGCTACAAAAAATGTTTTAGAAGCAACAACTAAACCCAAATTGTATGAAAAGCTTGAAGATTTGCAACACAGGTAACAGTGAGCTTTAATGTTTCATATAACACATCCCAGTAAACTGTAATTATCAGCAAAATGATTGCTAGTGTGGTGGGCTGTATATTTTGCTTTGAGATTTCTCACGGTTTATGTGCTTTCTTAGAATATTTTGCTGAATTTTTAAATAGACACCTACAGTTTTTGATAAGAGTGTTAAGCAATGCATCCTAAACAAAGTGCAGCAGTTATCTAGGCAATACTAGCATGCTCACTTGTACTTTTAAAAAATAGTCACCCATCGCTGCATCCATCAAGACAGAAAGAGGCAGTATGAGAAAGAGAGAGTGATAGCGCACCCACCTTCATATGTGAATTGCATGAATGGTAAACATGATGTGACTGGGAGCAGAGCCACACTGCAATTCAGCCTCTGGTGTCAGGCACATTTTCCCCATGAATCTGCACTGAAGCGTCCTCCCCACAAACAGCTGCTTTTGTACAGCCTTCTTCAGCAGACTTTTTGAGTGTATACATGAGCCTGGCTACTGTGTTAAGAATTTGTTGAACTCTCTGTTTTCTTTATGAAAACATGTAGTTCTTTTCATAAAGCTAAGACTGCAAAGAGGTACCCAGTGTAGTGTAGTGGATAAAGTACCGGACTAGGACTCTGGAGATCTGGGTTTAAACACCCAGTCAGCCATGGAAACTCACTGGGGGAGCAGAACCGGTAAAAACACTCCTTAAATATCTCATTTACTTTGATAGCCCAATTAGGGTCACTGTAGGTTGGCTCCAATATGATGGCACATACTAACAAGATTGCAAATCATATTCAATATTACTTTTTTCCATTTTCCTTCCCCCATATAAAGTGCTATTTTAGTGATCAGTACAGTTGTCCATTATTTACTCAGTTATTGTGAGTGATCACAGAACAAAGGAAGGCTAATTGACTTAGAACAAAGGAGTTGACAGCATGGATGTCCGAACCAGCGGAGCCTACTGGCAACGCCCTGAGAGCTCTTTTATTTACTTAGCATGATTACATAGTATGTTGTTAGAATTCAGATAGGATACTAGTTACCTAATCGCAACTAGGATTGGCTGAAATAACCCTTTGATCTTATGCTCTACCTCTAAGCGAAAGAGCAGAATAAGGGGTTACCCCGTCTGCTGGCAGCTGCCACTTCCTGCCAGGAGTGTATGCACATCACTGGAATGCAGCTACAACCTTTAAGCAGAGGTTTCCCACAACTAATTATTCTAGCTTTTATCTTTATTTTAAGGGCAATTCCTTATGTATTCTTGAAGGCTTTCATGCCGGGATCCGATGGTTGTTGTAGCCTGGTTCCCAGCACTGAAAAATACAACCTGCAGAAGGTCAATGAACTCTACACAGCCACAAGGACCAGGGACTGCACACAAAAGACTATTTAATGACACCCATCAATGACAGTGACAGACCATCCCCCCCTTATCACAACAAGACACCCATAACAAAAAACACCCTGATCACCATAATCACCCAATCTCCTGAAAAGGACAATAAGATGATCTCACAGCTACAAATACTCAACTATCCCACACACACACCAGAACACAGACAGAGTTCTAATTCCTCTCCTTTGAAGAGGCCGGCCACAGAGACTGGCAAAACATTAGGAAGAAAAACCTTTGGAACATGGCCAAACAGCCTGAAAAACCTACAACAACCACAATTCCTTATGTCTTCTGAAATTTCTGAAGCAACATTGTAAAGAAAAGTGAACCAAATTTTCTCCACAATGATGTGAGAGACTGATGAAGCCATAAAAAAATGTCTGATGACTTCGAGTTATTGCTGCTAAATGTGGTAATACAAGCTGATCCATTTTGGCTTTATTTTTATAAAATAAATCATGACACAGTGTGATGTTATATGTTGTTGTTCATCTGAGGTTGTGTTTCACTAATATTCAGACCTGCTTAGGACCCAATGATTTTTTTATTATGTCCTGATTCATAAAACCATAGAATTCAAAGAGGATGTACTTTCTTTTTCACATGCCTGTACACTCTTCTGCCTCTTATTAGTTTATTCATGAATTTCTGGTTAGGAACACTGAAAGCAAAGCCAATATGGTTCCTTTAATTAATGGAATATTGTTCTTGATTCTTCCAAACAAGTGAATTACGATAATCTAAACCAGCCATTCTCAACAGGGGCCATATGGCCCCCTGTAGGGCCCTGGCGCATTTGAAGGGGGCCACAGATGAGGAACAATTCTTCGCATACCACCTTATAAAGTTTGTTATATGACTTAAACAATCCTGATTTAGCTTATATTTTTTCATATTGTTTTTATGGCCAAGAATGGCTGATCTAAACTAGGTTGAGAATGGCTGATCTAAACTGACCAGCTAGCAGATCAGCTCTAGATCTTTAATAGTGAAGTTTTAAATCAGGGCAAGATCTGCTATTGTGAGCCATGTGATGTAGTAGATAGAATGTTGGACTAGAACTCAGGGGACCTGGGTTCTAATCCTTCGGCCATCAAATTTGTTTCATGAATGGCAATGGTAAGCCACTCCTTGAATGTATCACATATCTCAAAAATCCTTTTGGGAGCAGCATAATTTGGAAATGATTTGATAGCTTGCATATAAGAAAAAATGCAATTAGACTGAGGGAGGCAGCTGCTTTAGGAAATTGCTCTTAGGTGCATGAAGGGGGTACAATTTTTAGTTGTTTAATTTATTAGTTTTGCATTTATATTGACAGGTGTGCAGCAAGGATTTTTTTAATTAAAGATGCCAAAATAGAATTGGCTTGTGTACTCTGACTTGGGAGGAAGGCACTACTGGCTTCTCTGACTTAGGCACCAAAATCCCAATCACCCAAATTTAATGTTTGGAAAGTTTTTTGTTTGTTCTCTTTGTGCTTCCATATTATTTAAATTTTAGTCTGTAAACCTGTAAGCATCTACCTGTGATTAATTCTTTTGCTTGTCATTCTTCCTTCAAGAAACAGTTGAATCCACAAGATTAACATTTATACGACTTTGCTAGAGAATTGAAGCTGCATTTTTATAAACTCTTACTTAGGTTAATGTTCCAAAGACTGAAGTGGAACTACTTCTGAGCAGACAGGTATAGGATTATGCTGTTAAGGAAGGAATTTGAAACATTACTGCAGTTTTAGAAGAGGTAGCCATGCTCCACAAAAGGACACATCAAATTATAGCAGTTAGTCTTTAAGGTGCCACAACATTTTTCTCTTCTTTACTTTTTAAATTTTTTTTATTTGAAATATTACTGTATTTGATAGCCAACTACTAAATTCTTAGCATGATGCAAAATGAGCTGTATCCACTTAAATGCAAATGCCCTAAATGTTCCTTCTTAATTTTCAGGCTTTCCCTTTGTGAAAAAGCTCTTGCTGAATACTTAGAAACGAAGCGCTTAGCTTTTCCCCGGTTTTATTTTGTTTCATCCGCTGATCTGCTTGACATTCTCTCAAAAGGATCACAGCCCAGACAGGTAAAATTTCTTGCAATCATTTTAAAAACATTAGCTGTAGAGAAACATGATAGTAGAAAGTGAAAAAAAGGATTAAAATCTAACGTAAAGCTGCAGTGCCAGAGTTCCTTTATTGTATGCTGTTCTTTGAATGCAGGTGACTTGCCATCTTATTAAACTTTTTGACAACACTGCTGATCTCAGATTTCAAGATGACAAAGAGCTATCCAGGAATATCGTGTTAGGGATGTACAGCAAAGAAAAGGAATATGTCCCATTCAGTGCAGAATTTGAATGTCGTGGTCAGGTATGCTGGTTCTTTAATTTCCAAAATGAAAGTAGGCAGTTCTTTTACCTGCTGAAATTAGAAGAAAGTGAGTATATAAATTGGTGCAAGTTTAACAAGGCGTAAGTGTGCATGATGGAAAGTTGCCCACATGTATTATGCATAATCTTTTACTAATATATATTCTGAAAACAATATCACACAGCTTTAAAATGAGTACTTTAAAATATATCAGTAAAAGAGCTTTTAAAAACATCATCCTTAGACCAAGCTGGATTTTTAGCAACCAAGCAAATCTCTAGCATAATTTGGACCACCCATAGAAATTTCAGAATTATTCTCTCAATCTCTTGTTGTAATTTTGTATTTTAACTCTTCTTTCTTAAAGTGTGCATGGAATGTTCATATAACCAAGTAAATTTAATGATAGGGCAGATAAAATATATGCTGTATTTAAACAAAGAGGTATGTGTCTGAAGAGTCAGAGGCTGGGACTTGAATTCTCTTCTGTGCATCCCATAAGAATCAGCCTGTGTGGCCTCTGGCAAGCTGCATACCAAGATGCCCCCAAAGGTAGGAAATGGTAAACCACTTCCAAGTACTCTCTAGAAATCCCTGAAAAGAATTGGCTTGATGACACTCAATTATTACGATTTAAACACTCTTGGGAATAGATAAGACTAATTGGGTTGCACTGGCTGACAAATTAAATACCACAATATGGACCATTAAAATAGGCATTTCATAAATTTTGCTTCCAGTGCTTTTCAGATAAAAGCGGTCATGGTAACTAGCAGAGTCATAGTGATAGCAATTTAAATTGCAAGAAGGTTGAAGGTGATAATAATGGTGATGAAGATGATGATAGAGTGGGGAGTATGTGACTTCCTGCAGAGGAGCAGAGGAAGTGTTTGTCGATATCCTAAAATGGCTCATTTAGCTGCTTCACAATACTGGAAGTAAGATCTCTTGAGGTCGGTATGCCATTTGGACTCAAATGCACCAAATGGCATATTGCTCCTCCCCCTGACTTCAAGTGACCCTATTTAGACCACACCAGTGTACACCAAAAAGGTTAGTGTTGTTGCACTGTTTGTTGCCTTTCAGCCTCAGTGAATCAACTCCAGTGAACTAACTCAGTCCAAATCCGAACACAATATAATGGTTTACTATCTCCAAAGGTGGAAACCTGGTTGAAACTTCTGGAGGAAGTCATGCGTGAAACGGTGAGGCACCACATTGCGGAAGCTATAGCGGCCTATGAGGAAAAACCCAGAGAACAGTGGCTCTTCGACTATCCTGCTCAAGTTGCTCTCACTGGCTCTCAAATTTGGTGGACTACAGATGTGGGAATAGCATTCAACAGACTGGAAGAAGGGTTTGAAACTGCCTTGAAGGATTATCATAAGAAACAGGTACTGGTGTTTTCTATATCTGTGTGCTCTGAAAACAAAGAGGCAGATAATTATTTCTGCTGACTGTATGCAATAACCCCGTTTTATATGTGATTGAAGTGTGGGTATGTGTGTATGTATGCATGGACGTACATATACACATTAACACAGACATACACATTAAATCAACTACATGTAAAATAATCTAATATACACAACAAGCAGAGCCACATTAACACAGACATACACATTAAATCAAACTACATGTAAAATAATGTAATATACACAACAAACAGAGCCAGCTATTATTATTATTATTATTTATTATATTTATACCCCACCTATCTAGTCATTTCGACCACTCTAATTACTTATACATCTTCAGAATCAGTTCCAGCTACTAGTATGGGCTTATAAAGTCCTAAATAGGCTAAGGCATACTTCCTGAAGGTCATGCCTACAACTGAATGATCCTGTCTTATCATTAAGATAAGCTTTGGAGACTTTACTATCTTGACCATCAGTGAAAGCCATTGGGATGGCAGGTGCTAGAGATGGGGCCCACACCTTCTGGAGCTTCTTCCCTTGGGGATGCAACAGTCCTTATTGTCAAGATCTAATGTATGACACTCAAACAAAATCCTCAAGAGCACTATAAGATATATAACATTTCTAGATAGTTTGAGTCTATGGGGGTTTGTCACAGCTGATGTTTTTCCTGATATAGAGTTAATTTCAGTGTGAAATCAAATAACCATGTCCATCATATCCAAGTTCATATGGGTTAATACCAGGTATAAACTATTTAAATCACCTCTCTTCAGAGGATGAGATAAGCCATTGTTTCACTCATGTCTCTAGACATTCATATCCATTACATCAGCTTTTCTAATTCACAAGCTTTATTCATTGAATTGCTTGTATGTTCCACATGCATGAATATGAGACCTGCAGTTATTGAAAACATACAACTTGGAAGTTACAGGTATGGTGCGTCATCTTACAAATTAAGTCTCACAGGTAGGAAAATAAACCTGTAGGTGCAAATGCTAAAAAATGAAAAAGTCATTAAGAATTATTACAAATAAGGAAATTTGCAAACAAAATATGTAATTTTGTGGTGTGGTGATGAAGCTTGTTGCTCAAAATTTTAAAATATATAAAATATCATACTTTGACATTATTACTGCAAGCTTGGATAAAAAGCTAAATTAATTTGGCATTTCTTTTTTAAAAAAACACTTCAGCACCTAGTGATGTGAGCTTCAATTCTGTTTTCATGTGATTTGTAAATTACCTTTTAGAGGCAGTTCCTCTGAGACACTTTTAAAATGTCTTTATAATACATCAGTGTTAAAGTTTCATCTGAACTTTGCTTCTACAAGTTGCATGTGTGCAAAAATTCTCACAGCCACTTCCTGCACATGGAAAAATGATATGCCAAAGAAAGGCTAAAATCTTTGTTTTTGTCATGTTATTTTTCTATGTGAACAGACTTTTTCCTAAAGAAATATTTTTAAATTCATTTCCCATTGGCTGTGGCACTTGGTAGAAAATGCATTGGCACTAATTTTTTGCTAGTTATGTAAACTGATCTAACACAAAGCAAATATTTGTCAAAATCATTAGCTGGCACATTAGCTCAGCTGTACATATTAGCTATAGGGACGTAGTGGTGCTGCAGGTTAAACCACAGAAGCCTCTGTGCTGCAAGGTCATAAGATCAAATCCACACAATGGAGTGAGCTCCTGTTGCTTGTTCCAGCTCCTGCCAACCTAGCAGTTCGAAAGCATGTAAAAATGCAAGTAGATAAATAGGTACCACCTCGTTGGGAAGGTAATGACGTTCCATGTCTAGTCGCGCTAACCACATGGAAACTGTCTTCGGACAAACGCTGTCTCTATGGCTTAGAAATGGGGATGAGCACCGCACCTTAGAGTCAGACATGACTGGACTAAATGTCAAGGGGAACCTTTACATATTGGCTGCTTGTTTTATAACAGAAGTGTTCCCATTTCATTTAGCTTTTCCTGGATCCAGTGTTTTTGCATTGATAAAATCCCAACCATAGATTTTTGCTAGATCAGAAACAAGTATGAAAGAACTTACTCCAGAGCAGAAGTATTTCTTTGATTACAGTACCAAGTATTAACATTGTCTAGGCAGGCAGACAGACAAAATCTTTACTGCAAAATCAGCAGGTCATTGCAATATTAAAATAAGATTAATACACCGGCTTAATATGTCAATAATGTTATACCATAACTATTCATCAATAAATATACCACAAGGTAGAATAATACTGATATTATACATAAAATTAAACTACAAAATATGGTAATTATTTGATTATTTGAACCAGTCTAGGCAAGTACATGAACTACCTGTTTCACATAGAAGAGAAAAACTGAAAGCTAGTTGTCATACAATGAAACTGGGAGAGCAATTCATTCACTGAATGGTGTAGAACAAACTGTCAGTGGTTTATTGATGGTGTTTGGGGTATAAAATTACATTCCTTGTGCCTTTTTCCAGATTGCTCAGCTAAATGCTCTTATCTCTCTACTGCTGGGAGAGCTGACATCAAGTGACAGACAAAAGATCATGACTATTTGCACAATAGATGTTCATGCAAGAGATGTGGTGGCGAAGCTTGTTGCTCAAAAGGTAACCATAAAATACTACCTCAGCCTTCATACTGCCTCATGCTTATATGTTTATTTTATTCTTCAGAGTAAGTGCAGTTTTTGATATATCCTTGGAAGTAAACATCTCGGAAATAAGTTAGACTTTTATCTGAGTAAATGATACCAGGAACAAGTTACTACCTGTAATATGTGGAGTGTGATCTTAAGCATGTAGACTGAGATTAACCCCTCAACACGGTGGTTCTTCGCATGAGTTACCAGGCTTTTTCAGAGCTTGTGCAAGTTGATATTGATTACTTTTTTGTGCATGCAGAAGTCCTGTTACTTAAAACAGGGCAATCTTGGCTTGCTCTATAGCAAGTTGGAGGTCATGTGACAACATCATGGCTGATACATTACACTATGTGTGGTCCCAGGAAGATATTGGTCAGTGCTTTTGAAAAAACGTACATGCCTCTTTTGCACAAAATGTAGACCATAGTTAGTGCTATATGCCTGAGTACTATTGAGACTTGGGCTAGCCTGTTCCCCTGTTTCTCTGCAGTAAGGCTATAAGGAGACGATTGAAGGCATCCACTATATCTTATATACTAGAATTCCCTGTTATTTCTGAACTGAGCAAATAAACTTAAATGATGGTTTGTTAACAAGCTGAGATACTACAGCTTGATCCCAGCTTGATGTTGTGTGCAGATAATTAAAAAGACATAGTGCCAGGGATTTAAAAGATAAGAATCAATTTTCCAGATTATGTGCTGAGCTGGAATGGCTGCCCTGTCTTGAACCTTTACATATATAGGTGGAAAATACGTCTCATTAAGAAGTTCCCAGTTCAAGCAGGATCTTGTAAACTGTAGGGGATTATGGTCCCACCACTTAATAAACTGAGTAGAAATGATGTTTCTCTTCCCACCCACATCCCATGATGTACGAGTAGCCCTTAAGATAATGAACATTGAAGAGCATGTAAACAGCCAGTGTATGTAAAGTTAGCCATAAATGATATAATGTCCTTCAACCAAAAAACAATTCTGCATTGTAACAGAAGGAAAATTTTAAGAATGGGGAATTCTAGTTTAGTGGCTTGTTGAATGGAGCGAGACTTGACTAGTGTAGCATCACTCTTTGCTCATGCATTTATTACATAATGGGAGTAGAACTTTTGTAGGCAGGACTGATTCTACCATTAGATATTGTGAGATAGATGCCTCCAGCAGAAGCTACTAGGATGAGGGTAGTACTTTTAGCTTCCTCTCTGTTCCTCCTGAATTTCCTGGCTGATCTCTGCTCTTGGAGTTTAGGACTGCATGTATCATATGAGCTCCCTAAAACTAACCAGATGTTGTGAAAAATACGACTCCATTGCAAATGTTGAGATGAATTTGAACATCCAGGGCAAGTGGCTTCAGTGTGCGGTATAAGGAGGAGCAGGGCATCTTGTCCTTCTCCTCTAACATCAAAATATCTTGAGGCAACCTTGTTTGAAAGTCTAGTTATTCAGACAGGCCCTTTATGCTTTGCTTTTTTGATAAAGCTATGGTAGGTAGCTGTCGAGGTATAAAGAGGGAGAAAACCTTGAATAGGTGTTGTTGATGATAATTGAGGCTATTTCTCATCAGCTGAATATAGACAAGAAGCCTATACCACCAGCCAGTGATGTAAAAGGCATGGTTTCATTAGTATCAGAGATATTTTATAGGCAGTCCAAGCATTACATGATATTCAAATGACAGGAAAGAAACAAGTGAGACATCAAAGATTGTAATTGTTTTGTGGTGCTTAGGGATTCTTATTAAAAGAGAAATCAGATCTGAGGGAAAAAGTGAACAACGCTGGAAGGCAAACATAAAACTGAGTCATATCATATCTATGGAGTTTATTTCTTGTAAAGGAGAAAGAAAAATCTTGGCAGAAGAACTTGTAAAGTCTTTTGCAACAAAAGCCTCTATTTAAAAAAAGGAGATCTGACATTACATTTGCTCCTGTATAGAGCAGAGATGCCCAGGAGTGAATCTAATCCTTTATAATTGGCAGTGCGGGGCTTATTAATTGTGAAAGACTGGGAATGAGGTGTAAAAGGTTGTGATGACAGTTTGAGGCATTTTGGCATGTCTGGATGCTTTCATCTCTAACAGCATCTGCTGAAATAACAGTTGTGCAACTGTGGTGAGGTTTTGTTGTTTTTCAGGTCACCAGTTCGCAAGCTTTTGCTTGGCTGTCACAGCTACGCCACAGTTGGGATTGGGACCAGAAGCATTGTTTTGCCAACATATGTGATGCTCAGTTCCAGTACTTCTATGAATACTTGGGAAATACCCCTCGGCTAGTTATTACGCCTTTGACTGACAGGTAACATCTGTCCAATTAATCATGCTCTATCTCGGCTTGAACTGTCTTGAACAAAGTTAGTTAAATGTAACATCTCTGGGAGCAATTCTTAATATTCCAGATTAGACCATTTTCCTGAGAAGTAGTACTATCATGAGTAAAACAATTCCATTAGGATGTAAAATTTTCCTATATTATCTGGAGAGATGTGTAGTTTCTTGCCTGGTAGTATTGGCTAGTTGAGCTTGCCATAATATATTCCAGTTAAAACACAGGGTTTGCATAAAATTAATCGGCAATTGCAAGTTCTTTGTATTACAGTTTGGCTGAATAAATATTTAAGTACTGAAGAAAAATGAAGATAGCTAAACATAAACATTCTAATCCGGCAAGAAAAACTTATGATGCAATCCTTAACAATTTACTCAAAAATACATGCCATTGTGTTCAAAGGAGCTTGCTTTCAGGAAACTGAATATGCATAAGCTTGAGAGTAATCCTATAAGAATGCAGTATGAATGATTTCTTAGTAAACATGCATATGTATGTGTGCTAGATGGGTAGCCATATGGCTGTCGGTAGTATATAAATTTAATAAATGAAATGAAAGAAGAAGTGAATGAATACATTTCCAGGAAATGGTGAATCACCACCTATGCATGCTGGTACCATTCATCATAGTGTAGTATGCTCATTCTCTTCTTCTGTATCTTGCCTGCAGTGCATCAGTTTGCAGGACTTTATGATCATTAAATAGCAGAGTTGTGTTTTCTTTTTAAAGCATAGCCACAGTGGATATTTGGTAGCAGACGAAGAGCATGTAAATATACTAAATAATAATGATATAATAAAAGTACATCTTAGTGCAAGTCTGAACCATAAAGCTGTGGTTTACTTTTGTGGTTTTGGAATGTCAACTAATAAAGAGCCATTGTGATTATGCAATAATAACTGTATTTTTTGTTGCTTAAAGGTGTTACATTACACTCACCCAGTCTCTTCACCTAATTATGAGTGGAGCTCCTGCAGGTCCAGCTGGGACAGGCAAAACAGAGACCACCAAGGATCTGGGCCATGCACTTGGGATGATGGTCTATGTTTTCAATTGTTCTGAGCAGATGGATTACAAGGTATTATACCTATATTTAACAAAGGCTGTCCATAGAGGGAAGACTCTATACAGTAAGAGCCACAAGTTCTTTTCTGTTATAAGCAGTTACACATTGGCTGAAATCCTGTTTGTAGCATAAATAGTAACTTTTATTTCATTCTTCCCTGGTAAACAGAGTGCCCCTGCCACGATTCTCAGGGGAATGAAGCGTGTGCGCATACACTAGTGCATGCATGTCCTGAGAATCATGGGAGAGACACTTGGTTTATTCAGGGGCAGATCTACTGTGAAAGTAACACATCTTAAGCTTCAGGGCCCTTAATCCCAGAGGGGTCCCAGAAGCAAATTTAGTCCACATTTTTTTAAAAAAATTTGTGCTGATCTGTCATGGAACAACTCCACTGAAGAAGATAATGGTGGTTACCCAGATTCCGTTGCTGGTTGCAAAGGAGCCCCATAACAATTCAAGCTTCAGAGCCCAAAAAAGTAAGTCCTCCCCTCGGTTTATCAGGAAGGAATTGACAGAAAGTCCCAATTTGGCTTTTGCAGTCCTGCAAACAGGATTTCAGTTTGGTTTATGCTGCAAAAAGGATATCATTTTCCAGTCACTGTTCATGAAGGCTGGGACACCCAATAGCAGAACTGGAAGATTTTGTCCCCATTGCAGCGTTGTACCAAGATGTCCTGGCTTGCCTGTGCTGGGTACTTGTTGCCTCCTCACTCAAGTTCAAAGGCTGGATGCTCACTTTATGATTTGGAATGCCATTACTTGTCGGAGAGTCGTTTCCCAAAGTCATCTTCCCACAAAATCAGGTCCTTCCAGACTATGCTCCTCTGGGTGGCCACTCTGAAAGAGTATGGAAAATCATCAACAAGAAGTTGGGTCTTCTCAGCAGTGGCACTAACTCTCCAAGTCAAGCTGCACCTGGCCTCTTCCTCCCCATTTCTAAGAGGCTGCTGAAGACTTTTGAGAGGCCTTTGAAGGCAGCCTCACTTTGATTTTGGCCTCCTCCTCTGCTGCGTTATTGGAAACACTGCATTGTCAGCGTTTATTTTTCATTTTATTTTACTAGTTTGTTTATATCATGTGTATTGCTGTACTATTTTATTGATTGCTATTCCTTGTTTGATTTTATATGTAAACTACCCAGGATAGTGTTTTGCACTAATGGAATAGTTAGTAAGTAAGTAAGTAAGTAAGTAAGTAAGTAAGTAAGTAAGTAAGTAAGTAAGTAAGTAAGTAAGTAAGTAAGTAAGTAAGTAAGTAAGTAAGTAAGTAAGTAAGTAAGTAAGTAAGTAAGTAAGTAAGTAAGTAAGTAAGTAAGTAAGAAAGAAAGAAAGAGAAAGAAAGAAAGAAAGAAAGAAAGAAAGAAAGAAAGAAAGAAAGAAAGAAAGATGGAGCTTTTCTCCTTCAGAATGAAATCACTTATCAGAGTGGAGGTAAATTTATCCATTTTCCCTTTAATATGGTCTCTTCTTGCTTAGACATCTATTTTATTAGAAAATAAAAATTAGCTTTTTAAAACAATAAATAAGCCAACTGTTCATCTGTATACAAGAAAATAAACATAACAATGTGTGCCTTCTTGAATTCTATCCCAAATCACAACCTGGAATACTTTTTACAGAAATCTGTAAAAAAACAAAGGACAAATAGTGGCTCAGTGGCTTTGTTTGCACAGCTCCACATTTTCTTTTTGAATGCACTGAGATCCAATACATGGTATAGATATATAATCATATGGATTTTTGTGTCACCTGATATATATTTTCTGAGAACACAGTTTATAGTCCCTAAATTCTAATTTTATTTATTTCTTATAGTCCATAGGAAATATTTATAAAGGCTTGGTCCAGACAGGAGCCTGGGGGTGCTTTGATGAATTCAACCGAATTTCAGTAGAAGTTCTTTCAGTTGTGGCTGTACAAGTAAAAACAATCCATGATGCCATAAGAAATAAGAAAAAGCAGTGAGTATTGTTGGCTTATGACTCATTCAAGTGACTAAATATAACTCAAACACCTGCTGGGGCTAGCTTTCAGGTCCTCTTTGAAAAAAGCATTTGCATTTGTGCAATGTGTGACTGTATTCCTCCAATTAGAGTCATTTGCTACTACTTTCATTTTAATCTGGATATACTGCTGGACCAGCCCTAGACATTATCCTTACCTGAGGCCAAAGGAGCTCTCACTCCCATTGAGGTTGACCAGAGTGATAATTGAATTTCACTTCAACCATAGTGGTGGGACAACATACAGTTGTGCCCCGCTTAACAATTACCCCGCATTACGATGAATCTGCTTCATAATGAAGTTTTTGTGATCACAATTGCGATCGCAAAACGATGTTTTAAATGGGAGAATTTCATTTTGCGAAGATCGGTTCCCTGCTTCGGGAACCGATTCTTTGCAAAACGATGTTTTTTGAACAGCTGATTGGCGGCTTCAAAATGGTCGCCGGCTTTCAAAATGGCCCCCCGCTATTTTCTAGGGATGAATTCCTCGCTATACAGGCACCAAAAATGGCTGCCATATGGAGGATCTTCGCTGGACGGTGAGTTTTTAGCCCATTGGAACGCATTGAAAGGTTTTCAATGCATTTCAATTGGCTTTTTAATTTCGCTTTAGAACGTTTTCACTCTACAGCGATTTTGCTGGAACGAATTAACGTCGTTAAGCGAGGCAGCACTGTATTCTACCAAGGCTAGGAACATAGAATTAGTTTAGAAGTGCAAGCTGAGCTGCGTAGCACCCACAGTTATATCCGCCAACCTTCATTGCTGCATCTCTGTCCATTAGCATCTGTCAGCCCAGCAATACTGTGCATATACAGTAGAAAACTTTTAAACATTCTTTGTAGCACCAGACATTTGCCAGGGCAGTTGTTTGTGGATGGTGCTGTGAGGGAAGCAGACAGGCCATCTAGAACAGGAGCAGGCATGTGATATCTTCTTTTACCTTCTTCTCTGTTCTAGGAGTCTTTCCATCTTGTACTTTGTATATGGCTCAGACTATGCACATGCATGTACAGTATGTGTGTTTATATGTAACTTTCTTTGCCAGCTTTTCTCACTGTGATTGGATTTCTTTTTAGAGTGTTCTTAAAATATATGGGCTAAAATCCTGTTGCTTAACCTTGTGAGTTGCAACTGGGTTAAACCCATTGAATCAGTAGGAATTTGTTGAGTCAACTCCACTATAAGTTCCAGCAGTTCAGCTGACCTACCATATTGTGAGCCACTCTCAGAGAACTTCAGTAAAGTCTCAGAAGGTCTTCGTTATATATAGTATGGATACCATGTCATAGACATATTGTTTATCACTGTAAAATAACATATTCCACACTTCATATTTTTCCCCATTTTTTGTGAAAATAAATAAATAACAGTTTGGGGGGAAAAAACAGAAAAAAATCAGCTTTTTCCCCATGGGCCAACCATTATGTTCTTTATTTCTTTTGATTTCCTTTTGGAAGGAAAACTGAAATATAAATAAACTAGAGTAGAACTACTTTCAGCAAGTTGTAAGAGTTGAATCTCTCCAGTATTATATTAGATTTAATTTCCCACTTTGAACATCAGACTGTCTGTGACTTTGCCTTGAAGGTGGAAGAAGGGTTAGTAGACTGCTGTTTGAGAAATGCAAGCTCCCAGCTACCTCAGCTGTAAAGAACTATCTTTGGGATTTATGGGGCCCCAGCTATGGGCCTGTATTCTTAATATTGCTTTTGAGAAGAACGTTTGAATCAAATACAATAAAGTATATTTATGTGCTAATTTGTTTTGATGTTGGGTTATTATTTTTTTGGTTTTGTCTCTGTGTGTGTTTGATTGTTTTATTTGTTTGTTGTGTTGCATCATTAATACAGGTTTATATTCCTTGGAGAAAACATTACATTGAAGGCATCAGTTGGAATATTTATTACTATGAACCCAGGCTATGCGGGTCGAACAGAGTTACCTGAAAATCTTAAGGCTCTTTTCAGGCAAGTATGGAATCTGTGAGCATTCAGAACACTTATGCCACCTAATGTTAGTTATCTGGTTTGCAGCAGTTTGCGATTCCAAGTCATAGATACAAAGTCTTTGAGAGTTCTCACCATAGCTAACATTTTGATAACCATCAGAAAGACATGGGAGCTTAATGTTCTTAAGTACATGGAGGGGAGCTCAATATGTGTGAAAACCCGAACAAGACATGTTGCTCAAAGTCTCAAATTACTTATCTGCATTTTTAAAAAGCAATGAATAGCGTTCCTCTATTCATTTCTGTAAACAAAATTAGACTCGAGCCAATCTGTCATGTTTTAAGGAAAATGAATGTTGATGCAGTTAACTGCAGGAAAGTCATTAAAGAAAAGAAAATAATTGCTAAGAGGCATACTATTCTCATGCCTTGGAGAAATATTTTATGAGTTTACAGATACAGAAATCATGTCAAGTGATACAGTACTCTGTTTCTCACTGGAACTTAATTCTTCTTGTGTACCTATGTTACACTTACAGCTTTTTTGCTTGTCTGGGTAAAGGTGAACCTGTTATATAAACTATAGAACATGGTCTATACAGTGGGGTCTTGACTTAAGAATGGCTCGAGTTAAGAACATTTTGACTTAAGAACCACTCTCATAGGAAAATATTGACTTGACTTACATACTTAGATTTGAGTTAAGAACTAAAAAAAACCATGTGGGAGGCAGGGAAAGTGCAAAATTTGAACTTTCAGTTAACTGTTGGCCAGTGAAAAGGGTGCCTGTCTGCTTCCTCACTCCTCCCAGCGTTTAGAGAGTGGATTGGGAGTCTTCAGACTGCCTAGTACTGAACTGCCTGGACTATATTTTCCCTGCCTTCCCTGAACCTTTCTTGACCTAAGAAAAAAAGAAACAAAATAGCCCCCTCTAGTGGTCGAAGGCGGAATAGCAGCTTCCCATTAGTTTCTATGGACGGAAGAGAGCAGATACGGATCAAATGGTTTTCAATGCATTCCTATGAGAAATGCAGATTTGACCTGAGAACTTTTTGACTTGAGAACCGCCTTCCAATACGGATTAAGTTCTCAAGTCAAGACCCCACTGTATTTCCTTGGCATTAATTATACTGTAGTCCACCTGTCCTTTTTTGGTCCATATATGCTTCTTAGGCAAGAATGATAAAGGATTTATGTTTAATTCCCATGCTATCTGTCAAATAAAGAGAGAGGGTGAAAGAGGGAAGATACAAAATTGCTTGTGTACATAGTGAATAAAGAGATAGCCAATGTGGTGTAGTAGATATAGTAACATACTAAGAGGAAGCTTGGGTTCCAGTCCCCACCCAGCCATAGAAGCTCACTGAAAGTGACAAAACCTCACCTCACACATCTCACCTTGAAAGCCTTATTAGTGTTGCTATAAGTTGGTTCTGACTTGATAGCACATAACAGCATAGTTAATCTGCAATTTAAAAAGTGACATCGAGAGAAAACTGCAGATGCTCAATAATTTTAGGATGTTCAGAAACTGAAATCAGAATAATGATACAGTAGTCAGCTGGCCCAAGGGTGACGTATTGTTTCCAGGCCAAGAAAATTTGGTGAGCTTGATTTCAGAAGCATCCCCTGATTGTTGGAAATGTCAAATCCACAGTCACTTAGGCCTAACCACTTGCAGCCTATGCCAAGTACTCGTTAAGTGTCTTTACATTCAGGTCGACAAGTGGAGAAGTGCTTAACTTTGACGTAAGTGGGAACCGTAAGTGCACAGCCCAAATTTGCTAGCATGTGACATAGCATTAATACTACAAAATATTACGGGGATAGATTTTTTTTTTTAGCAGATGGTGTTAACAATAAAACCTAGATGCCACACTGTCTTTATTTTAAAATTCTTCACACTGAATTCACATACTCATATTTAAAATTTTCTGATTTCTGTAATAAGGGACAATTTTCATGAGTGAATGAGTCATCACTGATATTGAAACATTGGTCATATCATTTCACATCATGTGCATCTGTATTTGTAGGCTAATGGCTGGTAGATTTCTACCATTGTTCTCTTTTTCCTCTGTGTCCTTCTGCTTCACTGACTGTGCTTTCCTTCTAAAGTCATACAGCTTGCTGGGGGGGCAATATGTAGCCTGTATAATTAAATTGTAAACCACCCAGAGAGTGCTTGTAGCGCTATGGGGCGGTATATAAGTCCAATAAATAAATAAAGTCATAATGTTTTGTTAGAGGGGCTGCAACACAATTTTTTCTCACTTTTTTTTTACAGAGCCAACCCAGCAGGAAGCATTATTCAAAAGGATTAGTTACATTCATGCACTTTGGGGGGAAAAGACTGTGGGAATTGTATAATTTTCTCAGAATTTTATTTGGAAAGCAAACAAATTCAGAGTGTTGATTTGATTAGCCTTACATAAGGAGTCACCTGGAGGCCTGCCTGTTCAGTGATAGCCGCCTGTATTTATCAGCATGGTTTGTCTGTGAGGAAGCTGCGGAATCAGTCTTGAAAAGTTTGAACTCTTCAGCTGTTTTCTTTGAGATAACACTAGTAGGATATGTAATAATTGGCAATGATTAATTGAACATTTTTACTGTGAAGGAAATTCCTTGTTAGCACTGAGTGACACGTCTAATTGCGGTTCTCTTGAGTCTGCAAAAATACTTGAAGTCATTGCTGTTTTGAATCTGTCGGGGGTTAAATATCTTTTTCCCATTATGCTTAGATTGTAACTTCTGTCTCTGTTTTTTGTCTCATTCTTTTTAGACCCTGTGCTATGGTTGTCCCTGACATTGAACTAATCTGTGAAATTATGCTGATTGCTGAGGGATTTGTGGATGCACGCTTGTTAGCCAGGAAGTTTATTACCTTGTATACTCTCTGTAGAGAACTTCTCTCTAAACAGGTTAGGGACTTCCTTTGGACCTTGGGGCTTCACAAGTGCTAATGAAATAGCGTTGCATGGCAATGTCAACTTGAGTAATAAAATTGAGAATGGTTTTTAGGGTGCCTTTGAAAATAAATAATTGCTCAAGCTTGTTCATGAAATCTGGAAAAGCAGGTACTATTTGCAATGTAACATATTTACAAGTGCTGGGGGCCCTTAAATTTGCTAAGGTATGTCTGCCTAAAGACATGACCCAGCTGATTCCTTTCTATAAGGTTTTTGCCCCTTCTTCTAAAGCTCAATATGCTTTTCGAGCTGTCACTGATTTAGTGCTAATTTCAATATCAATAAGGGCAATAGGGGACGTGGTGGCGCTGTGGGCTAAACCGCAGAAGCCTGTGCTGCAGGGTCAGAAGATCCGGCAGTCGTAAGATCGAATCCACGCAACGGAATGAGCGCCCATTGCTTGTCCCAGCTCCCGCCAACCTAGCAGTTCGAAAGCATGTAAAAATGCGAGTAGATAAATAGGGACCACCTCGGTGGGAAGGTAAACAGCGTTCCGTGTCTAAATCACACTGGCCATGTGACCACGGAAAGATTGTCTTTGGACAAACGCTGGCTCTATGGCTTGAAGAGCGGGATGAGCGCCGCCCCCTAGAGTCGAACACGACTGGACAAAAATTGTCAAGGGGAACCTTTACCTAAGGGCAATAGCTTTGTGACAGAATTGCTTGACTTCCAGGGATCTGCATCCCCAGAATTTTGGAGGCCCTGACATCCCTCAATATATTGGCATCCACAGGGCAAAACCACACACTCCCAAATTGCACTGTTCCCCACCAGACTCTATCTAAGCCTAGTGGCCTTTTTTTTAATGGGAAGTGGTCGGCCATCTTATGATCTGAAGGTAGGTTTTTAAATGTGCTCCTATATCCAGTTAGTTGATCATACTTAAGATTGACAGATACATGGGTACCAAAAGGAGGACATAGAAAGACAAAAAAGAGGACAGAGGAGGATGTACCATAACTCCTGCTTTCCTCCACCCTCAGCCACAAACACACAACTCTCTCTGATGTTTTTCAAAACAAAACAAAACCCTCCACTGGCTGCGGCTGTACAAAGGCAGGAGCACTCCAATGCTTTCCAAGCTCCCTGGAAGAAACCTCGAGACAAGGAATGAGAGTGCAGGGAAAAAGCAATGGGGACATCCTGTAGAGGCGGTGGTTTTGTGGAGGGCTTAGCCACCCTAAGACGAACCAGCAGGGAAAGCGGGAGAGCTCAGGGAGCGGCCGGGCTTCCCTCCGAGCTGCCGCTGAGCCGGGTTTTTCAGCTGTGCTCCTCCTGCAGCACAAAGAGGAGAAGTTGAGCAAATAGGAAGCATGGAGGCTGCACACACAGCAGCAGCAGCTGCCACCGCCACCACTCTGATTCATTGGGCCTTGAAGCTGTCTCAAAGGGGCAGGAGAGGAGGAGGAGTTGCTGCTGCAACTGTGGGAAGGAAAGCGCCTTGGTGCGTGTTGCCGAAAGTCTCTCACTTGCCAGCGAGGAGCGGCCCCAGTCGGTCAGAGAAGTGGCCCCAGGAGACGTGTGGCTTCTGGCTCTTGCTTGCCCACCCACGTGCCCGCACCATGTGATCTAAGACATGCCCCCACAAGCACAACACACCCAAAAGCCGGACATTTTAAAGGTTTTTAGCTTTGGCTGCCGGACAGAGGACATTAGGATGTCTGGCAACCCTAATCATACTAGCAAACATAAGTGATATCAACATCTGATTGAATACGGTTTTGAAGACTTGCATGGCTGAATGGTCTCCCCTTTAGGATCTCTTATTTCCCCATCCAGGGTCTTTAGTCATAACAAGATTCTTGTCTATGGTATGAAAATTAAACCAGAAATGAATTCAATTGTTTTCCAATTTATGAAAATGCAATAGCTTGCACAATTTTTCATGAGTGATTTTTTAACATTTTTCTATATAACTGCATCACAGGATCATTATGATTGGGGCCTTCGTGCCGTGAAATCTGTCTTGGTAGTAGCAGGTTCCCTGAAACGAGGAGACAAGACCAGACCTGAGGATCAGGTACATCTTGAATAGGGACCTGTGATTTGTAAGAAAAACAGCTGGGAGCAGCATATCCCCAGTTTGATTTAAATAGGAAACATATCTTTTCAAATGAATGGATATTTTTGCTCTTTCTTCAGAGAAATAAATGCTTCTACTCTGTCAGTAACAAAACAAAAATAATGCTCCTATCTTGTTCAATAGCCATTTATTGAAAGCTCTCGTAGGTACAATATGAGATGTTACTGTCCTTTTTCAGGTACTTATGCGAGCCTTAAGGGACTTCAACTTGCCTAAGATAGTGACAGATGATATTCCCATTTTCATGGGCCTGATCAGTGACCTGTTTCCAGCTCTGGATGTTCCAAGAAAGAGGGACTTGCAATTTGAACAGATGGTTAAACAATCTACCCTGGAGCTTCACTTGCAGCCTGAGGAGAGCTTTATTCTCAAAGTAAAATAATCCATTGCCTTTAATTATACCCCTTAAGAATTTCAATCAAAATAATTGCAGACAGGTTGTACTGGATGTGAAGGTTACCCTTACATGCATTTACAGTGTTCATATTGTATTCTGAAAGTGCAGGTAATTCACTAACACTGGCCTTCTATAAATGTGCTGGGCAAAGTTTGTAAGTAAAGATGTGTACTTTGATTAAAATGCATAAGAAACCTTGCTCTTATCTGGTCAAGGAGATGCTGCTTCCCTAAAGTATCATTCAATAGCACATTCTTGATTGAATGCTTAAGGACAAATAGTTATTAACTACTTATATTAAATTTTCTCATAATACAGAATAAACAACAATGGGTCGACAACAGGCATAGTCTATTTGCTGTGTCGCCAGAACAGAGTGAAAATATGGAATAACACTTGTGGTACAATCATGGCCACTGGTGGGGCATTTTTCCTGTTGGCATTCAGATTGTGCCTCCCAAGATTCAGTCACTGAAGTCATACTTGGTAGTAATGTCGATGCAAGAGCACTAATTTGAGACTTGGTGCAAAGTGCAGAATCATACTGACCATCAAAGCCCATCTGATATGGTTCTGTTTATCAGAGCTGCAGAATAGCCAATAAAAGACCACACTGAGCTTTAGAAGTCAAACACTGCACCCGGTTTTTGATTTTCTGTGTGATTCAGATCTGCACATGGGAGGACAGGCTATGGTTAAATAGAAATTCATACTCTTCATTACGTCTTCAGATGTAATGAGTGATAAGCACCAACTTAATCAGCTTTAAAAGGTGTTCAGAAAGATCAGTTGAAGTCTTTTGATAGTTAAGCATCATGATAGATATGTATTTTTATTTATCAATATTTTTCTGGCTTTTTCATTTTAATAATGCTTTGAATGCAGCAAACATCTTCGTTTTTTTTAAGTCTTTATTAATAATGCTTTGAATGCAGCAAACATCTTTTTCTTATAAAGTCTTTACAATAAGACATAAAAACAATTGAAAAACCCAGGTTGAAGAGATGAATCTTCAACTTCTTCCCAAAAGGAGTGGAGGTGAAATTGACAGTAGTTCTGAAGGGAGTGTATTCCACAGGAAAAAGCCTTTTCTTAAGTGTAACTATCAGTGGGCTGCCTCAAGGTACTAGCTCCAGAGGCAAACTGAGAGTACCAGTTTCTGGGAAACACAAGGATGCTATGGTGTGCTGTCTTCTTCGTGGGCTTCCCATAGGCATCTGGATGATATTGGTGAGGACAGAATACTGGACTAGATAACTTTTTATTTGGTCCAGCACAGAGCCCAACAGAACTGTTATCACCCTTACTTAAAGTAAAGCAGATTATGGTGCTGCAGTTTTGGGTTTTTTTCTTTCCTGGGAGAACATGCTTGGTCCCATGCATCTGGGAGCTTCCATGGCCACACATATCTTACAAAATACTAGGCAAGCTAATTCAGATATACAGTATCTATGAAATCCATCCCTGTTGAGCCTCACTGCCCCTTTCACAATAAAGGGACCTTTACTACTACCAGGTTCTATTTGGTATCACATTTGGTGGACTATATAGCCCACTCTAGATTTTCTGTGGAAGGCTCCTGGAAAAGATTTTTATCTTTAGATGTTACTTTTTGAAAATATTGAGATTTTTTTACCTCCACGTGAACGTCATTTGATCAGCACTGATGTGAGTACTTAGTCTGTCTATGGGTGCTATTTTCTATTATTAACAGAAGATTGTGGGGATATTTGTTTTTTGTTCCTTGAGGTGCATTCATTGAATCCAAGCCTGGGTCTAGGGGCTGTGACAGCCTCTGCACCTTCTTCAGGTTACTCAGTTTGGAGCTATTTGAGGAAAGCAGTTGTTTTAATTTCCTGACTAAAGTAAAGGGAGGTGAGAAGCTGTTTTGTTAGAACTAATTAGTGGCTTAGTGGCAATGGGAGGACATGGAAACAAAACCACTAGCTGTATATTAATTATCTTTGGCAGGTTGTTCAGCTCGAGGAGCTTTTGGCGGTCCGTCACTCTGTCTTTATAGTGGGAAATGCAGGCACAGGGAAAAGCAAGGTATGACAACAACATGGATCCATGCTAGTCTTAATATTTCATGGCATATTTTGCCATGGAAAAAAATTATCTTCCATACAAAGTAGTGTAACACCATATGCTTCATTGCAACTAATCCATAACCTCTGGTATAAAGTGGAATGCTCAACTGTACCACATTTTTGTGACTAAATTAATTATGGAATAATATCTGATAACAATGTAATTGGAAAAGGAACCCTCCCAACTCATTTTGTCTGACTGCTCACATAAAAAGAACAGGAAATAAAATGCAAACATGACTTGTGGGGGAAATGTTAAGCATTTGGAATAGCTTCCTTTTTTAATTGGCAGTCTCAGACTGTCAGATTCTGAGAATAGCCTGGTATATTTTAATTACGGATCCCTCAATGATTCTCTGTTATGAATAATACCCTGTGTAGATCTCACTACATATTATGTTAATCCAGAGCATAGAAAATTGGTATCAGACTAAAGCTTCCAAGTGTCCCTTAATCAGTGGTGGCCATGTTGACTGGGAGATACTGGGAGTTATAATAAAACAACAACAACCAGGCTTTCAAAGCTTTAATTTCATATTAAAATTTCTGAGCGAACCTGGTCTTGCAGGTTTTTGAAGCATTATAACACATTTGGCAATTAGGATTGTGAGATTACACATGGAAAGGAGCAAAACTACAAAAATATGGATTTAGATATACTGTATGAGTGAGGTTGTAGACTTTTGAGGAAAAAGCACTTTGTTCCACAGAAAGCTTGCAGTAGTTAATGTTCTTTGGCACCCTCCAAAGCGGCACTCCATATCAAGACTCAATAAATACAACAGATGTACATAATTTTGGAAAATGGTGCGCACAGGTGTGTACAGCATTTAGCTAAAACAGTCACTATTTCCAAGAGCCTAAGGTAAAAGTATGATCCAAATAAGGGAGTCTTTTTTTTCCTTTCCCTCCCCCCCTCTCCCCCCCCGGCTGTTCATCAGATTCTGAAAACACTGAATAGGACTTATATAAACATGAAGCAGAAACCTGTGTGGAATGACTTGAATCCCAAAGCTGTGACTACTGATGAGCTCTTTGGCTTTATACATCATGCTACTCGAGAATGGAAAGATGGCAAGTGGAGGATATATTTCTATTTATTAATGTAATGTTTTACATCATCTTCATCTTTACCTGCAATATCTGAAATTATGCCTAAAGCAGATGCTTACTCTATTAGAATATATATGACCAATCTACATATGCAGAGAAACCACATGTGTAGACTTCTGGGGCTGCATTATTTCAGAAGGAAAGAGATCTTTATGCTCGAATAGTTGGCATGTAAGAAACCTAACAATACATTTAAATGTAGCATATTAAAGGGTTGTGCTTACTGTTTTTCATTGCATGAACATTTTCTTTGTCCAGGATTTTTGTCTTTACACGGAGAAGTATTCAGAAACTAATTGTTCTCTCATACAGTGGGGTCTCTACTTAAGAACTTAATCCGTATTGGAAGGTGGTTCTCAAGTGGAAAAGTTCTTATGTAGAATCTGCATTTCCCATAGGAATGCATTGAAAACCATTTAATCCGTATCTGCTCTTTTCCGTCCATAGAAACTAATGGGAAGCTGCTATTCTGCCTTCTACCACTAGAGGGGGAATTTTTTTTCCTTTTTTTCCCCCTTAGGTGAGGGAACAGTGTTAAAAGGACTTCTGACGAAGCTAATTTTGAAGCAATGGACTGAAAACCAATTAATCCGTTCTGGCTGTTTTTTTGTTATGTAGAAGTGTGTTTGTACATTGAAGCATTAGTTCCCATAGGAACTAATGCAAAGCTGGTTAATACGTACTCTACCACTAGGGGGAGAATTTTTTTAACCTAAGATGACCTAAGGTTAAAAAAAGAGCAAGAAAGGTTTTTTTCCTGTTCTTATCTTGGATTTTTGTTCTCAAGTAGAAGCAAAATTTAGCAAACGGAGCTGTTCTTAAGTGGAATTGTTCTTAAGTAGGGACGTTCTTAAGTAGAGACCCCACTGTACTTACAATTCAAAGTGGCACATCTATGGCAGTGTAGCCTGCCTGCCTGCCTGCCTGCCTGCCTGCCTGCGAAAGAGATCTTTATGCTCGAATAGTTGGCAACTATGGCAGTGTAGCCTGCCTGCGTTTGTTTGTTTGTTTATTTGTTTGTTTGAAACAAATGTGGCCATCACATAGTCTCCAGTCTGCACTTGTCACTCCTAGGCTACTTCTATGTTCCCCCAGATTCCTCCATCACAGAAATATTCATAAAAAGAGTTAGAAACAAATAAGTTCCGTAGCCCTGTCTTGTGTGTTTACCAGTCTAAGCCTCCCTTGGTTGTGGGACATATAACAGGGCCTCTAATAAAGATTACAAGATATTGGCAGGCTCACACTAGAGGAAGTAACCTTATCTAGATAATGCAGCCATACTTTTACACATTCAGATCATTGTTAAAGTACCACGTTGCTCCCACCTATTGTCTGATTTCCAAATTGTCTCTTATGCACACAGTTTCCTAGCTGCCAGATCTTTCTTGATTGTATCTGCTTGGTAATATCATGCATGTTTGCTTTCAGTAAATGGGTGCACAACTCTAACTGGATTCTTTAGAAATCAGATATAGTTTTTTCCCCAGCTAGATCAGATTGCTGCAATGTAAAGAGATGCAATCTTAGGATCCTGTTCTCAAAGTTTACTTATGCTTACTTCAGTTGGAGCAGGATGTTGTGGAAATGTTGGTGCATGCCTGAAAGGTGTTGTGGTGCACAATGGAGTATAATTTCTTTATATTCCAACTGGGAAATTATGTTCATCATTTTGAAATTCATTTCTTCAGTGCTTATTTTCATGCATTTTCCCCTCCTAGGGCTGTTCTCATCTCTTTTGAGAGAGCAAGCTAATATTACTCACAGTTGGCCCAAATGGATTGTCTTAGATGGGGACATAGATCCTATGTGGATTGAATCACTCAACACTGTTATGGATGATAACAAGGTGCATAACAAAAAGAAAAAAACATTTGACACCTTTTGATGTAACAAGTCAGTCTGTTTTTTATGTTCATATATACCTTTTTTTGTTTTCTAGAGTTATTTCTCTCTCTCTCTCTCTCTCTGATTAGTGGAATGTATATCTAGCCTAGTATCTATTGTCCACATACTAGCTTCAGAATGAAATTGAGTATGTATGATGTAACTTTTCCAATAGTTGCTAATGTAGGCTTTAATAGGGTATGGCAACCTTTATTATATAGTACAGTGGGGTCTCGACTTACGAACGGCTCGACATACAAACGTTTCGACTTACGAACCGCTCTCACATATGGACTCGACTTACAAACTTAGATTCGAGTTACGAACTCTTTTTTTTCCTTTTTTTTAAAGCTAAGTCATCTTAGGTTAAAAGGAAAAAAGAAAAAATATCCCCCTCTAGTGGCAGAAGGCAGAATAGCATCTTCCCATTAGTTTCTATGGACAAAAAGAGCCGATACGGATTAAATGGTTTTCAATGCATTCCTATGGGAAATGCAGATTCGACTTAAGAACTTTTCGACCTGAGAACTGCCTTCCAATACGGATTAAGTTCTTAAGTCGAGACCCCACTGTATTTAAGCTACATGTCAGTGAAAGATTGTCCAAATAAAGTATCTCAGTTGTGTTCACCCAAATTAGTCAAAAGGTTTTGTACCTTTCTGAAAGTTGAAGTAAGTAGGGGTAAATGGATTAATTGCCAGCAATTTTTAACTTATTATACATGTTAATTTATTATAGCAATGGCAGTTAGTTTGAAAATGTGGACAATTACAGACACGGGTACATAGAAAATGTCAACTGCACACCCGTATGTGTTAAATGTGAAGATATCTTCTAAAGCAATAGTTCCCAACATTGGGTCCCCAGATGTTCTTGGACTAAATCTCATAAAAGCCTTCACCACTAGCTGTGCTGGCCAAAACTGCAGGGAGTTGTCTTCCAAGAATAACTGGAGACCCAAGATTAGGAAGCACTGTAGGCAGCAGTTTTCTGAATCATTATCGGAATATTTTAACTATATTTTGTCAGAATAATATGATTCTGTACTATTGATGCTTAGGTGCTGACTCTCGCCAGCAATGAACGGGTTTCTTTGACTCCATCAATGAGACTGGTTTTTGAGATACACCATTTAAAAACAGCCACTCCTGCTACAGTCTCTAGAGCAGGTATTTTGTATGTAAACCAACAGGACCTCGGCTGGAATCCGTAAGTACTTTCTCTTTTAAAAACCATAATAGGAAATAAAGTAGTAACTTTCTTCCATAAACTTTAACTTTCTTCCATAAACGTTAACTTTAATAAGTCTGCCTATTATTAATGTAGAAAATAATTGGAATGTTCAGTATTCAAGCTTGACTGTCATTGTAAGCATAGATGTATTATCTATTAACCTAGGCCCAGCCACTCCACCTTATGAGTGCTTTTGGATGGCATGATGCGGCCTTGCAGCTGATACTGATCTGCGGTTGCTTTCATCTTGTGCAGCATTGTAATTCCTGTGATGTGAATGATGCTTTATTGAAATGGAAACAAGCCTAGTGTCCATACAGGCTCAAGGAGTTAGCTTCCCTTCTCTTCCTCCAGCACAGCCAAGAAATGGCAAAATCTTTCACTTCATATTAACTCACCATTTGAGTCATAAGAATAGATAATTTTGTTGAGATAATAGCAAAATAACCCTAACCCTAACCCTGGTTATCAGTGGGAGGGGGACTTTTAAGAACCAAAGGAATTCTTCATCCCCGTTAACCTATTGGTAGAGTTCTTCTTCCCCCATCTTTGGCTTGCCCCTCCCTCCTTCTTGTTTGTTTGTTTGTTCGCTTCTCTTCTTTTGTTTGTTAATCTTTGTCTCCTTTCCTGACCTTTGAACATGCAGGAAGAATGGAATGGTCTCTCCCTTATACAGAGACTCATTTTTTCCTATTTTTCTGCTGGCTGTAACTATAGACAGCAACTGTAAGTAAAGATAGCCCTAGAATGCTTCCAGAGTTATTTTTAACCTATAGAGTGCTAGTCACTGTGCACAGGGGTTGGCTACTGAGACTTAAGCTGTTACCTCATGCTTTCTCTGTGCAGAAGTTTTTATACCCGATTCTCTGTTAACTATAAAATCCTCCAATAAATTTTACAGTGGACAGTATCCTGTTCAATATTTACATATGCAGAGCTTCAACTCTGTATATGGCAATCCATTGAAGTCATATGATCAGGCACAGAGTTGTGCATGATCAGCACCTTGTCAGATTGCCATGACAACTTCTACATGTAAATATTGGTCAGGACACTGACAGGCATGTTGAAACAAACTGACTTTCTAAACCATGGTGTGAAGTTGACTTGTTTCAAACAATCTATAATTAATGTTAACCCAACTATAAGATTTTAGCAGCATCAGCATGCAACATTTACTTTAAAAAGCAATCTGCATTTCCCACCCCCACTGTCATCATAGAGGGTCTAGGAAGAGACTAAGTCAATTTTTGTGAAGATAAATTATGTTTTTTGTGATGTCCAAAACTAGTCTAGTTAGTCATATTTAGACTCCTGTGTGCTGTTGTTGTTTGCCCAAGCAAATCCAATTTGATAATTGTTTCCAACTAGCTTTCACTCATCTTTGTTCAACATGGATTGCCTGTTATAGTTGACCTCTGGTTTGACTGATAATAAAAGATGACCTTAATTATATATGTTTCTAGTCTATTCTGAAACCACTGGGTTTTTCCCCTTTTCTTTTTTAGATATGTTGCAAGCTGGATAGAACAGAGGAGTAACCAAGCTGAAAAAGCAAATCTGACTATTCTTTTTGAGAAATACGTTCCTCTGTGCTTGGACCAGCTGAGGACAAACTTTAAAATGATCACTCCCATCCCTGAGAACAGCATGGTGCAAGTATGACTTTAACTGTGCAGATGGCATTATTTTTTTGCTTATTTCATTTATAACATTTCTGCAATCTCTCATATGCCAAGTGAGATACACAAAGCAATATTTTGTTACAAATAGTATCTACCTGTCTGCATGGTATTGCAAACTAAATAAGAATTTTGCTATTTAACTGAAATTATATAAACATGTTGTTAAGATCTAATCTATTCTAATGACAAAGGAAAGCTTGCACCAGAAAAACAGTAGTAGTAGTAGTAGTGGGGTGTTGATATGTTCAGCCACAGAAAGTTGTATGGGAAACAGATTATTCTAGTAATCCATCTTGTAAAGCTGCACCCATATGCTGTTGTACTTTTATTTCATGATGTCCAGAAAAACTCTTAGGATGGTGTATACTAGTGTAAGAATCAGGCTGATTAATATAATTGGAGAGGCGTGGCTATTCAGAGCTTTGCATGAAAAAGTTCCCAGGTAAGGCATGAAAAACATTCTGTGTAAAATTCTAGTTCTAATTCTAGTAATCAAACTGATGTGGAACACCAATGAAGATGTGGGAAAATGTTTTTCTATTGAGACTTCATTCCCTTAGTGTTGATCTGTGGAAGTCTATGCTGCTACACTTTTGGTGACAGAGCCAAAACTGGATGGAGCCATACCTTTTCTCTCTCTCTCTCTCTCTCTCTCACACACACACACACACACTACTCTCTTCTATCTCTTTCTATGGGACTTTCCCCACCACCACCTTTCCCCTCTTTCTTTGCACTCAGTTGGTTCTGTGAAAGGGGCAAGTAATTCTTGTAATAAAGCTCTAAACTGATTGTTTGTAGAAGGCTTTATAAAATTAAGTTAGGTACTGGAACTGGCAAATTATATTTTGCTGCTTGAGGTGACACAAAAATGGTGTTAAAAAAACACAAAAACCAAAACAACATAAATATTGTGGCATGATTTATTGTGGAAAACATTTATTTCACTGAGAGCTTTCATGAATTGCAATCAACTTATCAGACAGAAATTCACAAAATCTCACACAGAAGTAGAAATTGTAGCTGACAAGAAGCAATAATACTTTTCTTTTTCTTTTCTTTTGCTTTTTGTATACATTCTGAAAAAGAAAGAGGCAATGGTTCTTTTCTTTTCTTTTTCTTTCTCTGTTATGTACATGGTGAAAAAGACTAGTACAGCTATCTCTTTGAAAATTCAGATGGCTTAGACCTCTGAGGCAGAACATTTCACAAGTACCTCACCTCTTTACTAGCAATAAAGATAGAACAATAGCAACAGTGTGATGTCCTTTCATTTACAGCTAAAGTTTGATGCCTGAGCCAGTTGTTTCACTGTGGGCGATGGAAAGGCCCTGACCAAGTACTACATGACCTGTGACAAAACTGAGTTAGATGCAGTAGTGATTTATCCTGTGCAGAAAAGGGAAATAACTCCCTTTTTTTCCTGTGATCAGCAGAACAATCCACATATATTTCATCTTTGTTTTAAATGTTTTTCCCTTTCTCTGTAGACTCTGTGTTCTCTCCTCGACTGCTTACTCATCCCTGAAAACGTGCCTCCTGACGGTTCGAGAGAACTGTATGAGATATATTTTGCCTTTGCCTGTGTGTGGTCATTTGGGGGAGCCCTTTTCCAGGACCAGGTAGGCAGAAGGGAGTGATCTCTGGGTCCATTCAGAAGTTGTGATAGTGTATATGCCATGGTCTGTGCAGCAAAACAGTGGTAAAAAGAATCCTTTAAGTAGGTTCTGAGACAAGTACAGGGATAAAATGTTGTCTCCCAGACAATGAATTGTTACATAATAGAGAGCAGGATGTAATATTGGTAATACCCACATGGCTAAAGGTTTTTGAATTGCTGAAAGACAGATTAAATTCAGATATCTTACCTTATCTTGGCCAAAAGATAAAGAATAGAGAAGAAAGTTTCAGAGGCTCAGGCTTGTAAGTGGTATGAAGTTCATTTTAGGAGCTGAATTGATGGCAAATACACACCAAAAAGTTGGAGTTAAATTGTAGCATCCGAGAAGCAATTGGTTGGAACCACTGGCTTTCAGTCAGCATTCTCTCCATGTGTCTTGCTCTAAAGCAGTGGGTTCTCAGCCTTGGATCCTCAAATGTTCTTGGTCTAAACTCCTATAAATCCTGGCCAGCCCAGCTAGTGGTGAAGACGTCTGGAAGTTCTAGGCCAAGAACATCCGAGGAGCCAAGATTGAGAATCACTAAAACTGTGATGGTTTTTTTGTTTGTTTGTATGTATGTATGTATGTTTTGCCACTGTTGTTCTGCTAAAAATCATCATGGGGAGGTGCAAACATTTCCTACAACCTCTGGAACATGCCCATCCTTGAGTTAGGAAAACGTGGAAACAAAGGCACAATTTTATTTGTGTTTACATAGGTTAAAGCTATATGTTGCTGCTGAAATACACTCCTTTCACATAAATCAGTTTGTAATAAATGTGAAATATTTATGCAAGCATTATAAAGTAAGTAACATTGCTGTCTTATGCAGTCCTTTAAAAAAATCAGGAGAATATTTAGGAAATGGTGTGTAAATGGAAGGTAAGAAAAGCAATCTGCAAACATTTATTAACTTTAATGTAGAATTTTCATTACCTGGTTTGCGTTTTTAAAGGAAAGAAATAGCTAAAGTTCTTTCTCCTCAGTGGCAAAATTTATCTGCATTGGGACTGGGGAAATAATCTTAATTTTGTGCAGTTTAAATAACTCTGCAAGCCTATAAGTAGCTCTCTATCTTGTTACATAGGTTGCCATAGCATAGGGCATATGTGGAGGTGTGTTTTTTTTTTTAAAAAGAAGAAATCTCTGTGTCGTCTAGTAAAGAGATACTATACAATATATAGGCACAAACAACAACAAAACTGGAAACTCATTTAATATTTTGTAGCTTTCCAATTATCAAGCTGAATTTAGCCGCTGGTGGATGAAAGAGATGAAATCAGTGAAGTTTCCATCCCACGGTACAATTTTTGATTATTATCTTGACCCGAAAACAAAGAAATTCCTTCCCTGGAGTGATAAAATTACCACCTTTCACATGGATCCAGATACAGCCTTGCAGGTACACATTTTTGGTGTAATTGGAGATAGCTGTGCATGTTTTCATTCTTTTACCCTATTTCCCCAAAAATAAGACAGGGTCTTATATTTATTTTTCCTCCAAAAAACGCATTAGGGCTTATTTTCAGGGGATGTTTTATTTTTTCATGTATAACAATCTACATTTATTCAAATACAGTCATGTCATCTTCTGGTTGCTGCACAATGTTGGAGGGCGGGGTTTCATTTAACTAGGGCTTATTTTTGGGGTGGGGCTTATACTACAAGCATCCTGAAAAATCCTACTAGGGCTTATTTTCAGGTTAGGTCTTATTTTGGGGGAAACAGTGTATGAAGATATATCTTTTAATTTCTATGTTTGCATGCAGTGTTATATTAAAGTGTGCTGCTTTATCTGATAGTAAGAGAAGAGAATAAATGAGGACTAACAAAATGACCATGCTGGGAGTTATTTCACAACACTTGAGCTAGTGAACTATTTTTACCTAGATTATGTTTTATAAAGAAGGAATTTAAACTGCCATTCACACTTGGGGGAAGTATGAAGCATCTCAGAATAGTCATATTGAGCTGAAGTGCCGCCTCTCCAACTTTGCAGGTTGTAGATTTGTGGTAGATTTGGGCAACGGCGAATTTGCAAATGTTATTCAGGCACTTTGTATGTAAATACCACTGCCAGGAATGCAAAGAAATATTTTATGAAAACTACCAGGTTCAAGTCAGAAAAGTTCTCAGAGAGATCTGGAGCTTTTTTACATAGATTACATTGCATGTTGCTTGCATGCACCTGTCATGATAAACTGCGATACGTGATTGTGATAATGGACCAAGGAAAGCCTTGGACTCCTACAGTCACAAGGGAAATGTTAAGAAATAAGTTTTCATTTTTAAAAACTAATTAAAAATTATTGTTATTTTTTTTCAACCTGGGTAAACTGTTTCTGGCTTACTGAAAGAAGCCAACTTCAAACCATAGTTTATGAACCTTGATTGCTTATTCCTATAAACTGCCATAATTTAGAGTTAAACCTTGATAAAATGGAAGCTCAGAGTCTGACCTCTTTCTTATGACTGTGCTGGAGAAGAAGTAGGAGACATTTACAAGCCCAAGGCGTATGCAGACTTACTCCTGTAATGATGACTGCCATGATAACTCTTGTTTTTCCATTAGATCTCAGTGCCGCCAACATAAAAGCTCTAAATGTTGGATGACTTTTGGAATGATGGAGAAAGGTTGTATATTGCCCAGATGGGCTGGGAAGGGAACATCACCTTCAGGCCTGCCTGAGAAGTTTCCTTTTATAGCTTGAGCAACCCATCTCTGATCAGCCAACTGAGGGGAAAGTGCTGCTGGGCAAGTTTCTAGGACTCTAGATATGCCAACCAGAGTAAAATGGTAGCCTTGCTGTTCTTGCTTGTTGTCATAGGAAATCCTTATTTGTCATTAGTTGCCAGTGACTGAAATCTTATTGTAGTGGCTGTAGCATAGTCTTATGCCTGCAGAAATTCACTGGGTATTATAACCAGGTAATCTATCTGTCCGATTGCACAACTCCTTTTACTACTCTTTACACAAGTGGTTGCTCAGCTTGGCCTAGGAAACTGCTTTCTGGATGCAATTTTTGTCTTGATGCAAATTTTGCAATGGTTTGCTCAACTTCAAGTCATGCAGGTGAAATTACACAACATTCTGGCTACAATATGGTTCTTTAACACATCCTTCCACAATCTGTATCTTTAGGCACTGTGTGGGTGAGGAATATTTGTGGCCCTCCAGAAGTTGATGTACTGGGTTTCAACCAGAGTTGAAGGGCTGTAGGTTCCTCAACTCAATTATGTAATGTATGGTTTCGTAAATGACTGATGTTTGAAAGAAGCAAAGTTAAGTCAGCAGTGAAATTCTACTGCCCACAGTTTTGAAAAATGTAATTCTTTCCAGTCTACTGGAAAGCTGCTGAAATATACTGTATGTCTGAGGATATGTGCATTATTTGTAAAGCATGTAAGATAAAGGTCTGCTTTAGACTGGTTTCCCAGTTGGTTTGTGTTTTTTTTTTTTTGTCATATTCCAGTGAAAATATCAACATAATGGAAGTGCTCATGTATTGGTTGATACTTTCCACAGGCTATTGTCATCTTTATGTTTCCAGATGACATAATTGTTCTGTTTCATAACTTTCTGTGTGTTGTCTGTGACTTCTGTGCAATGATTTCTGTGAGCCCTACACATTCTGTGTGATCCATGCACAATACCAGATAAGGCAGTTACTGAGACTTTCACTCTTAATATGCATAAAAATACCTGACCTGGCGTGTGTTCTGTAGAAGTAATAAGCCCTTTTAAATAACATGATTTCAGTGATGTACAGTATTAGCCCATATCATGTTAACATCAAATGCCTTCACTTGTTTTCTTTTGATGGCTTAGTCTGTCCTTGTTCACACCTCTGAGACCACATGCCTCAAATACTTTACGGATTTGCTCTTGGAGAAGGGCAAGCCTGTGATGCTGGTTGGAAATGCTGGAGTGGGGAAAACTGTATTTATTGGACAATGCCTTGCTGGACTTCCTGACAATTTCCTGGTGTCCAAAGTTCCCTTCAACTATTACACTACATCAGCAGCACTGCAGAGTAAGTTCTTTTTCACTGCAAGTTGGGATGGTATTTTCGGAGTCTCTGAAATACAGATATCTTTATTTTTCTATTTCGCTTGATGAAGGATTCCATCCGCAGACTTATTTTTCTCCTTCCCTGAAAATCCTCTTTGAGAATGATTGAGAGACAGGAAGTTAAAAAATGCATTAAACTGAGTTAGGTATGGTACATCTTATGCCCTCACAAAGTCTTGTATACATTTAGAAAGCTTATAGAATGTTGTATTATCTCTGATATTATATCCAGCGAGCACAGCTAAAAAGCAGTGCCGCAAGCAATGCAAACTAGTTAATACTATTTTGTGAGAACTATAATTCAAGCCTTAAGATTGTAAAACCTGCCAGTAAGGTCAGTGAACTCACTTGATTTGCCTGTGAACTCTTGATTTGCCTGCTGTTTTAATAAGATTGTTACAGTACAATAAGTACACTATATATTAAAACATCATGTACCCAATTTTAGTATTAGGACAAGAGCTTATGAAACGTTCCTCACTATGGAAACCTCTTCCCTCACTCCAATCACAGATTCTTTCCTGTACTGAAGAAGACCAAATTATATTAATGTTTACCTCACCTTATAATTAGAAATGTTACCAGAGCAGTACGACAATAGAAGAGTTCTGATTAAGTGGGGTTGAGTCTGGCTCGTTCTGCCTCTGCTTCCAGAGGATGTCCACTAACCACTGATATGGTTTACGGGCAGTGCATATTGGTAATTCCTTGTTGGTCAATAAGGTTCACCATACAATGTGAAAAGGACTCTCCCTCCCTTCTCCCTACCCCCTTCCTGTACAGAAGGACAACAGCATGAGATTTTTAAGGCAGCTTCTCTTTTACTTCCAAATCTGAATCTTGATCAGACAAGTTTGTGCCTGTTTTAAATTGTTTGTACAATGGCTAAACTGTAACCTTTGCTAATATTTCCAAATGATGGATAGTAATTAGGAACTATACACCTATCTTAGGTATACTGGAAAAGCCCTTGGAGAAAAAGGCTGGCCGTAACTATGGGCCAGTGGGAAACAAGAAGTTAGTTTACTTTATTGATGATATGAACATGCCAGAAGTGGATGCTTATGGAACAGTTCAGCCTCATACATTAATTCGTCAACATATAGATTATGGACATTGGTAAGTGATTTCTCCCATTTTGTGGCTGTGTAAAATCTCCATTCATTATGACAAAATGTGTATTTAACAGATTAAATATTTAATTTGTTTAATGATTCTAATATAAATATTATGAATGTAAACTTTATTTCAGATGTTCAGTATATATAAAGAACTGTTTATTTGCCCTGTAGCATATCATTTATCATTTTTGCTTGCAGTTTAATTTTATCTGCATGTTAAATCTGTTCCATGGGAGGGACCAGTTATATCTCTAGTTTAGCTTTATGTCATTCTAACCTTCAGTTACAATAATCTCTTTAGTTATAAATAATTTTAAATATATTTTGTCTCCATAGGTATGATAGGCAGACCTTAAATTTAAAAGAAATTCATAATTGTCAGTATATTGCATGTATGAATCCAACTGTTGGCAGCTTCTCCATCAACCCCCGACTTCAGGTATATCATATCATAGTAACCCAAGTACCTCCAATTTAAATTATATATAGAATACTTAGATTCTCTAAGCAACATTGCAGAAGACTTAGCCGATGTTGGAAAAGTGCCAGTTATATAAAATTCCAAGTAATATTTATAGGGATTTGGACTATTGTATTCCATAAATATTTTATTATGTACACACCACAGTATATGATGGCAGAAATACATACAAACCTTTCTTGGGCTGGATTATGTTTGAGGAAATCTTTCTAAACCCATTTTTTCTACAATATTGCCATCTTGCTCCCTGCCACATGGCATGAAGTAGTGCAAGGACCCAAGTATCAATCTCATGTTGTGATTGTAGCAGTTATCCAAGCAGGACAGTAAGTCCTGCAGAACAATAAAAATTTGGATTATAGATACATTTCCCAAGGTCTCTGTAATCATCTTTTGTCTACTCGAAATCTAGAGAGAAAATGCTATCATGGCTGCATCCCATAGTCTTGCCCTGTAGCATTTTTATGATGGGCACATGGATTTCTCCTGTGTGTAAAATGCAATGATGTTTGTACTCTTAATACATCTAGACAAGAAACTAGAATAACACTAGCCTATAAAAATTGATTGTGCCCCCAATCTATAAATGGAGTCATTGTGAAGATGGGCAACATATGATTTTTGTTCATTTGTTTAATACAAACAGTTTTTGCAAAAATAAATAGCTTGATATGTATCCCAAATGTGTAGTTATGCCTAATGTTAGCTGCACATCTTTATTCACATCCTCATGTATTCACAGATATAGTCACATTTAGTCATTGCTAAACTATATTTAATAATTTGTTCATCTATGTTGAAAAAAACAGTTTTTGCTCAAGTGGAAGGAAAGACCAGCATTTTTTCCATTAGCTGTGTTACCAAATAACTGTGTCTTTGCATTAAAAACCTTGTATTTTGCTTTACAAATATATCATGTGCATAAAATGTATTTTGGGTACAAAATACAGGGATTTGATACAGAAAAAACACCCTCACAAAATTTCATTAAAAAGTACCAAAACACAAATAGTGCACTGAAATTGATAATTTCATCCCCTGTGTCACTAGAGGAAACTTTGCAAAATGTTTCATTCTTGCCTGGCACAATGCACTAAGCAAAGTTTTACATCCCTTCTAAATCATGTTTTTTCCTTATGTTTTAGCGACATTTTGCAGTGTTTGCAATGAACTTTCCATCCACTGATGCGCTGACTACCATCTACAGCAAGATCCTTGATTTTCATTTCAAGCGACATAGCTTCAGTTCATCAGTGTTAAAACATGGCCCTGCCATAATCCAAGCAGCAATATGGCTTCACCAGACCATGGTTCAGAACTTTCTTCCTACAGCTATTAAATTCCATTATATTTTCAACCTTCGAGACCTCTCCAGCGTCTTCCAGGTCTGTAACATGCATAGATACTACATGCAAGGAAAATACATATGCCAATGTGTAAGCTAAGAGTTAAGAAAACTGTGTGTAGCATTTCAATTTTGAATTAAAGTATGCTTTTTTGCTTCTCAGAATTACAAGCTAAAATTAATTTAAATATATGTCAAAATGCCATAAATTTGCCTTGCACTGAGTTCATCTAGGAATGAAAAACTACACAAAATAGTGGCAGATCTGTTGTGTTTCAGAAGCAAACAACCTTGATTATATATTAAGAGAGTGATCACTATTGAAGAGAGCAATCCCTCCCTCCTTCTTTAGTGCAAGGAGAAGATAAGTAGGACGGAGGATGTCAACAGCATATCCTATCATTTCATCTATACGATAGAGGTGGTAATGGAGCAATCCAGGATCTATGGAATCATTGGGCAAGGTCAATAGCCTCCAACTTGTCCTAGTAACCCTGATGGATATTATGATTTTTAACTGCTAGTAGCATCAGTGCATTCTCTAGACTCACAAAGAGAGTATGGCTTAATAAGAAGTTGACGGCATATACCAAGATTCAAGTCTATAGAGCCTGTGTCCCGAGTAAACTCCTGTATTGCAGTGAGCCCTTGACCCTTTGTGCATAGCAGGAGAGGAAGCTGAACACGTTCCATATGCATTGTCTCCGACACATTTTTGGTATCATCTGACAGGACAAAGTTCCAAATAGAGTAGTCCTAGAACAAGCTGGAATTTTTAGAATGTATACATTACTGAAACAACGATGTCTACATTGGCTTGGGCATGTGAGAATGGCTGATGGTCAGATTCCAAAAGATCTCCTGTACAGAGAATTAGTTCAGGGAGATCGTCCCAGAGGGAGACCACAGCTGCAATACAAGGATATCTGCAAGCGGGATCTGAAGACCTTAGGAATGGACCTCAACAGATGGAAAACCTTGACATCTGAGTATTCAGCCTGGAGTCAGGTGGCACATCATGGCCTCTCCCATTTTGTAGAGACTTTTGTACAGCAGGCTGAGGCAGTCCTGAAACCAGCAAAATCAGGGAGCTGGAAAGGGGACAGATTGCATTTGTCTTCAGCGTGGAAGGGATTGTCACTCTTGAATTGGCCTTCTCAGCCATACTAGATGCTGTTCTAAATCCTCCATACAGAGCATGTTACCATAGTCTCTCAGGACTGAAGGATGCCTAATCTAGCATCAGTGCATAATGGGAAGTACAACATGCTTTGGGCTACTGAGGGAAGACTTTACTGCCTTTTCTAGTGACACCAGAATGGTACTCTTATAGCCCAACTCGTTACAGTGTGAAAGCAAGAATGGCAACTGCATCTAGATTGCTGAGAGATAGAGAATGTTTATTACATTTATTCATAAAGGATCATTACAAAACTTTGCTTTCTGGATGTGTAAGAGGTGGAAAGTAAAATAAGCTGATGACTGTGTTAAACTAAGAGTTCCGTATAAGTAGACATAGTAAGGCGAAGATCATCTGTACTGTGCTATTGCCAATTACCATGTACACATCTGAAAGCTGGACATTGAAGAAAGCTGACAGGAAAAAGATTGATTTATTCAAAACTTTGTGTTAAAAGACAGCTTTGTGGATATCATGGAAAGACAAATAAGTGGGTTCTAGATCAAATCAAACCTCAAGTGAGGTTATTGTACTTTGGGCATATCATGAGAAGGAAAAGTGGAAGGGGATAGGAAAAATGGAAGACTTAACATGAGGTGGATTGATTCAGTACAACAATCCATGACCTTTAGTTTGCAAGACTTGAGCAGGGCTGTCAATGCTAACAACTTTTAGGGCCTTTAATTCATGAGGTCACCATAAGTTAGAAGCAACTTGACAGCAGATAACATTACATATACAAGCTCTCAAGGTGCACAACCTTTTTAATTAGAAACAAGTACAATTCATTTCAAAAGTGTGCTTTGTTTTTCATTATGGGGAAAAATAATAGCAGAACTTAATTCTGCTGTTATTAGGAGAATCTAGATTCACTGAGTTTTGTCCTTGGAACGTATTTGGCAGTGTCCAGTCTCTATGGTACTATGGCAGGTACTACAAAAAACCATAAGCAAAATGACTGTCTTTCACCACCAAATAACCTTTCATAATGTGTCTGGGACTAAGAGAGCAATGGTTACAAGTCAGAGCAGAAGCAGACATTATAGATAGGTCATAATTAGAGGTTAAAGCTTGTTAATGGTGGGTAAGAGTGATTGAGACAATTTTGTGTGTTTGTGAAGCCAGGCTTCAAAGGAATCCTGTGCTTGTATTCTGAAGACCAATCTTCTAAGAAAGTGAGCCAATTTGCATACTCCTAGAGTTTAAGCTACTTTTGCTACAATACTCAGATACTTTCATTAGTTGGGTGAGGAAGACTTCCACTTCCTCCTCCCCATAGCAAGCTTCTGTAGCTCCTTGGAAATGTAGCAAATGATTGCAGGACACAGCTTGAATAGAGTGAGTTGTGCTGTGTGTGAATGTGTTTGAAGATCCATAAAAAACAAGTGGATGACTCTTCCGTGAGCCTATTTCTTTCACTTTAAGAGAGATCCACCACTCTGTGTCTTGTTGAATTTTAACAATTGAAAAAAACCACATTCTTTTTAATTCATAGGGAATACTGTTTGCTAAACCAGAGTGTCTAAAAGATCCAGATGATCTTGTACGTCTGTGGCTTCATGAGTCTTCACGTGTTTACGGAGATAAATTGGTGGCAGCCAATGATTGTAACATGTTTCATAAAAAGCTGATCGACACTGCACATAAATGTTTTGAGGTAAAGTTGCACACTGGCTTTATTCAGTTATCAGCACATCACCAAAAATGTGAAAACTGTTTAGCAGGACAACACATGCACACAAACACACACCTGCTGTGGCTTAACAATCGACTTTCCTTTCTGAAACAGAAACCATGTAAAGGGACACAGAAGAAAAAAATACATCCCGTTGATGGGGAGCATAGAAGAAAATGCACAACAGAGAGTGATTGAGACAGCTCAGATTCATACTTTAATAAGAAAACCCTCTAGTACTTCAAAAAGTTTTTAAATGTACAGCATTATTTATTTAGTTAACTATAAATAGTGTTGCAGTCTTTGCTAGATCCACAGCCCATCTTATTGTCCATATTAGCACATGCTTCCCTTTGTAGAAATAAAATATAAAGATATTTGTAAATAAAACTAGCTTTCCTTTTTCTTTAAAGCTGCAGCAAGCCAGAGAAGCCTTAGAATATTAAATTAAATGACAGGTAGCAAGTCAGAAAGGACATTAAACTGACTAGTGATATAGTGGTTTACATGATCTCATGTAAAAAAAAAGCATTGTCCTATAAGTACTAACTCTTTATCCCCCGAGCAACAATACCATGCAAATCCCTCTGGCTAGTTTTAATTTTCCCCCATATGCTAGTCATAAAAAGTGAGCATGACTGGGCAACAGCATCCCTGTGGTCCAAAAGATGGTGGTTTCAGGAGATAGGTAAAACAGATCTTCCACCTCTCCACAGAATTTTTGTCTCCTGCAAGAGCTTCCCTACCCTGTATTCCTGTTATTGCAGCAAAGATTTTATTTGTCCTTTTAAACAATTTTATCCTCTTTTTCAGACAAAAAGAGTAAACTGTTCACAATCTACAAATTAAAAAGACCATACAGAAGGAAAATGGAAAGGGATGGGGAGCCAGAAAATGAGGGTGGGGAGAGAACAGTCTTCTTCTGCTGCAGCCTGCTGAAATGGCTGTGGATAATGACAAGGGTAGCAACAACATACAATAATAACTACATGCCATCAAGTCAATTCAGACTTATGGTGACCCTTTTTAGGGTTTTCCACTCCTGAGTATTCTTAGAAGTTCCAGGGGCATCCTGAGACTGTGCAACATCCCTGTGGCCACAGCGGCTGTCTCTATTCTCTACTCATAGGAAGCACGGGGGGGGGGTTGAAACCCCCAACCTCTGCAGCCAGATACCTAAAACCACTGGGCTATCCAGCCAGCAGTAACAACATATTTGTGTATTTTTATTTAAAATATTTTTCCTGCCTTTCTCTCTGAAAAGGACTTGAGGTGGCTTACAACATGAGCCTCGTGGCGCAGTGGTTAAAACGCTGTACTGCAGCTAAAACTGTGCTCACGACCTGGGGTTCAAATCCCAGGTAGCCGGCTCAAGGTTGACTCAGCCTTCCATCCTTCCGAGGTCGGTAAAATGAGTACCCAGCTTGCTGGGGGGGCAATGTGTAGCCTTTATAATGAAAATTGTAAACCGCCCGGAGAGTGCTTGTAGCGCTATGGGGTGGTATATAAGTCCAATAAATAAATAAAATAAATAAATAAATAAATAACATTGAAAGATAATATTTAAAGTTTAAAATGAGTAGACAACGGTGGTTAACACCATTAAAAGACAATATTTGAAGCTATAGGATTTGACAATGCATTCGCCAAGAAATTCTCTCATTCTACTCCAAGGGCAGAACACACTCATTAGAGCTAAAAGCATGATTGTCTCAGAGAGAAACCTTTCATTGTTTGAGAAATCAGACTTCAATGGGATCCTGTTTGTTTTAAGTCCTAAAGATCAACCACAAAACCATAGAAGCTAATTTACAAATTCAACAAAGTGAGGAAGCTACTGCTGTGATATTTGCACACAATCCTGTCTTAAGGATTTCTTTCATCTAATTATGGTCCATCTTCAAGTCCATTCTATTCTAAGAACCTGCCTGTTTGGATCTCTTTTTAAAATTGTCTTTAAAGATGCATTTGTTCCACTGAAACCAATAATCCTAGATTTAGCCCACAGTGCACACTGATCTTGAACTAGACATGGGGGCAAATATAAAAACAATCATGGTATTCAACTAATATTGCTGAGTCATCAGATATTTGTTGCTTTCCATTCTTAAGGTCCGGAGACCCTAACAAATACAAAGCAATGAATATAACCCTTTTATATTTGTCCCTTTGTCTGTCCTCTTATTATGCCCCCACAGATCAGCTGTTCCTTGAGAATTTAGGCAAAAATGGGTTTCCCCTTCAGGCAGCTTGCTAAAGTCTGCCCGAAAAGAATCTCACCCCACCATTTACAAAGATAGGGGTAGTATCACTTCACTCAGGCTTCCCCTGCCTTTCTATGCCCCTGCAACATCATGTCAGAGTTCAGTAGGAGAGGCACTAGAACCCAGTCCAGGGTAAGACTACGAGAACAAGGTAGAGCCAACCCCACAGCCCAGAGACCAACCAGCTGGGATTTTGAGTACAAACAGTAGCCAGATAGAAGAATGATGCAGATCATGGTCAGATAATCCAGGGGTCAAAGCCAAGAGAAACCATATCAAGGCAGCAGGGACTAGGGATGCAAGAGAGCTAAGGGAGGTAAAGCATCACTAGGCAAGGCAAGAGTATTAACGCAACCAGAAACCTTCGTTATTGAAACAAAGACCTACAGGGAAGGGTTGTTCTTATATTACCCATTCCTTAGCTTCCCCAGGTGGCATTCCTAAGGAGCTGGGCAACAGCTGCATGGAAAGGGCCCAGTCCTGCAATCCTTAGAGCAGTTCTCTCCAGAGAGATGGGGCTGATCCTGCCTGCACTTAGGTTGCCAGGTTCCAGCAAGGCCCCAGTCCTGACACATAGACGGGAAGCCTGACTGAAGGAATTCCTCCCACTAGCTTTGCAAAGACAGCAGGGAGGGTGATTGCTTTGGTCAGCCTTCCCCAGCATAGACCTAGACTGGGGAAACCTGACCAAAGTGATCATCCACCCTACAGTCTCCACCGGGTTGGTCTTTCTATGCCCACATCAGGCCACTGGGGGGAAATTCGTGGTTGGAAATGTTGGCGCTTCGTCCCCATCTCTATCTTGGACATTTCTTTAGTGATTACCAAACATAACCAGGGTTTTAAAAACAACTGGCATTCTCTGTAGATTTAATGTGAGATAAGCTGGAGCGCATTTATGCTTTTCTTAAGTTTCTCCTTTTGATTCTATGTCGCCAACTCACTAGGATGTGGAGGATCACTTCATTCTCCAGCAGCCACTTATTTACTGTCATTTTGCAAATGGTGTGGCAGAACCTAACTACATGCCTGTCAAGGACTGGGGAGTACTCAGGAAGATACTCTCCGAGGCTTTAGAAAACTACAATGAACTGAATGCATCCATGAACTTAGTTTTATTTGAAGATGCAATACAACATATGTAAGTAAATGTTTGTTTGTGGTCCAGGTCAGAGATGGATGTAATATTTCACGTCTTCAGATACTTTGACTCAGGATCATCTGATTTCTTTCTTCTTTTTTTATTTTTATTTATTTAATTTTTTTTTGTATAGACTAGGGAAAAAGCTCTAGAATACTACTGTTCTGTCATGGAGGATTTTTAGTATACCATGTTGTTAACCTCATGGGACTGAAAATACCTGGTTCAAATCATTCCCTGGAGCATGAATACACTGAATAGTTTTAGGCAACCTACAGTCTCTGTGTTTTGGATAGTCTTGTGTTGAATCATAACTAAAATATTAAAATGTTTGCTTCTTAATGGCTGAATTCAGTTGTTCATTCCAGATAGAAATTACATAATTTTTGAGTTAATGAGCACCTGTTGATTCAGTGGGTCTATGGTAGTTGGGGCTAGCAGTTGGATTTAGTCAGCATTTTCATACTGTGCTCAAGCTAATGAACAATGCATTGCAAGCACTTCTGCTCACTGTTTTAGCCTAGATTAGCATGATCCAGTGAGTCAGAGGTGGGCAGCCATGACGTTTCAGATCTAAGTCCCTATGACCCTTCATTATGCTGGCTATGGCTGATAGGAGTTGTAGTTCAACAACATCTGGAGAGCCACAGTTACCCATCCCTGCAGCATGTTGTGATGCTGCAGATTAAAACCTCTCATAACCATAATTGGAGAAAGTAATATTACTTTTGTGAGTAGTTTTCTGCTTTGAGTTCCTCTGACTACCACAAACTGCTACTGTTTCTACTTTTTTATTCATATGATTTTATACTTCAAGATGGCAGGGATAGTGAAACATTTCATCTGTAACTTTTGCAACTGGCATGGCATTTCAGTTTCAATATGTTCCACTTTATTTATCATATGATTTTATACTTCAAGATGGCAGGAATAGTGAAACATTTCATGTGTAACTTAAGTTTTGAATTAACAAGACAACATACAACACAGGACTGTCTGGTGTGGCATCTCAGTTTCAATATGTTCCACTTTATTTCTAGACATGTATTCTGCTGACGTGTCCAGTGATGTCTTATTTTGTGGGTGGACTCTAATCCTCTCTCTACTCCACTCACCACCCTAGATTCAGAAACAGTCTTCTATTTCATATTCTGGTCATGATTTTTTATCCTTCTTAAAGGACTTACAGTGAAAGGAACCACAGTCATTGTTTCTCCAGGCCTTTCTTTATATAGTGTAAAAGGAAACTTTCACTTTCCCCTGATATTTTTCTGCACTGTGTTGAAATGCCTTGATGCCTTGCTTTGTGTCTTTGTATACCATCCAGTTGATTCACCACTTTACTCCCTGGAAGAAGCAGGCACCATTATTTAATATAAACAGAGTGAGATCATCTCTGTGTTCCAAACTAAGGCATCTACAAAACTTGATTTCAATGTATTTTCCCCTTTCCTAATGCCACCTACTCCTTCATCAGACCTTTCCATCTCTGCACTCTTAGGTCTTGTGTGTGTTAATATGTGGATGCAATAATCTCATTTCTCAAAGCCCCATTCCATGATAAAGATGCAGAAGATCTGAAATCTTAGCAGGAAGAAAGATGAAATATACACATCAGCAGGTGGAATTCCACCACTGAGCAATAACACACAGAAAGTTTTTTTAAACTTGGGCAATTATTTGCATCTCAAAGAAAGAAAGTTTTAAAACAGGAAGCTTGGAAGAAAGAGTGAAATATCTTCTATACAGGTGAACAGATAGATTTTTGCTGTTGTGTAATCAATCTCAATTTAAAAAAGAAAGAAAGTGGAAATAGTGCTTTAGCGACTTGGAACAGTTTGGCACTCCATGGAGCAGAAGAACAAAACCTGACATGTGATAACATAAAAATCTGCAGTAACATATTTCACTCTCACACACACACACACACCCGCGCTGCAATAATCAGTGTGCATTGCTGATAGGAAATGATTGGCTTGCCAGTGGAAGGTACAGGAGATAAAAGAGGACAATAATGCTTGAAAAGTTGGCAGGGATGTAGACAGGAACATGCTACAGATGGTGATGTCAGAAATTTTTAAGAGAAAATACCATTATCTCCTTTCAGTATCTGTGTATACATATCAGTACTGTATGGCATAATGATATGAACGATCAGTAATGCAGTTGGAAAATGTAGGAATGTTTGGAAGTGAATGCAGAAGCAACCATTGTTAACCATCATTACAAACCATAAAACAGTATACAAAGCCAGGAAAGAACTGTGGGAGCCTCTAAACTGTATTAGGTTCCTAAATTATTCTCCACACTGGGGTAAAAATGAATTGAATATATTTTCTGAGTATGCTGTTCAGTTGTACAATGATTGTTTCATGTGCTGTTCCTCTTTCAGCAATAATGTTCAGGCTCTGAATCCCAGTGAGCTGTAATGGGTGATAGTAGTGGAATGGGATTTGGGAAACATGAGTTCAAACCCTGAGTGAACCATGAAACTTGTTATATAATTTTGAGACCGTCACTTTCTTCTCGGCTTGACCATAGGATTGTGAAGGGATTGTATGGGGTAGCTGTGAGCTTATTGGAAGACAAGTGGGATATATGTATATTAACCCTTTCAGGAATGAGTTTGAAATACTGTTTTGCAACCTTGCCTTATTTTTGTCATGATGAATTGTTAATTGCTGGTGACCACTGACATAAATCACAGCAATCGTGTCGGGCACAGCATTTGCAGTAGAGCAACCTCAGAGTTGCTGCCCTATTCTGAAGTCACGACATTTCTTTACCACTATCAGATGCCGTATCAGCCGAATCTTAGAATCCCCTCGTGGTTTTGCACTTCTCATTGGGGTGGGTGGCAGTGGAAAACAAAGCTTGTCAAGACTGGCTGCCTACATCAGCTCTCTTGAAGTGTTCCAGATTGTACTGAAGAAAGACTACACGATCCAAGACCTCAGGGTAAGCACAGCTATTGCATAGTTGTGTGGGAAATTGCTGGATTCAATATTATCCTTTTGTGTGTCTGTCTGTGTATATGTACATCAAGAGGGAAGTTAAAAGCAGGACAGGAAATATTATGTCTCTCTTCTTTGATATGCTTCACCAAAACCTTCCCTCTTGTGTTTGGAGAAATTGTACTTGTGCACCATTGTGCCTGCCCCTTCAACATTCAAGCAAATTAGTGAAGAGATATATTAAGCAAGTTATCAAAATGCATGAAAGAACACCAGAACTACAAAGAGTGAGGAGAGCCTCAAATAAGTGGCACAAAGCTTTGTTAATACTACTGCAAAAGCATTTCTCACGAGCTAGTAAAAGATATAATTTAGGATTTCTTTGCACCGTAGACTATCACTGGTCTAATCTTTAAAATGTTGGTCTGTTTGACATTCACTGTATTTGTAGTTGACCATCTGCTGTTCTGCTTCTTTGAGTTTTAGAGGAACTTCGGATATCAGGTTGTGGTATCTGCTTATCTTCAGAGAGGAATGCAAAAGAAATTATCGTAGGGATAAATATGCAGTTACATATCCTGTAATTCATGTAATACTAATGTATCTTTTAAAGATACTTTTTACTGTGTAGTGTATTACTTTATCCCTTATCCATGAAGTTGTGGATACCATGTAGAAAGAAAACTGCATCCAAATCTTTCAGCTACTGGTTCAGCTAATTAAACAATCAGCACCCCACCAGGTTAGGGTATACAGATTCTGTGGGAAAGACACATACAGTTAAATACATCCATGTAGCAGGGCAATTTACACATTTTCATAACTGCATGGGATATGTTTATATTCAGCAAAGTATTCCCATACAGCTCAGATAATGTTTAATGGACATTTGCACAGATATCCATCCCCAAGGATTTGTGCAGGGAGCCTGATTGGGTACCTAGACCAGCCCGAGTGCTGCATACTTGTGAATTTAACTTTAGCTTTGCCCCTCAAAATAAAATTAGTGTCTGAAATCCTGTTGTGCAGTTATGCAAATAATGTACCATTTTTGGTTAAGGTTAATAAATTTCTGTAGGCATTATTACCTCCGTAAGCATTATCACCAGTAATTCACCTCGAAAAGTGACGCCTTTTGCAAAGCTGCACAAGAAGATTTCGGCCAGTGTGTGGCAAAAGATACGGCCAGTATTGATTAAACAAAGGCATTATTGACAAGCAATAGTTTGGCATAGCATTCATATCCGTTTTCAGAATAGTAAAAGGAAGATTTCCGTGTCTTGGTTCACTGTTTGTATCATTTTCACTCTGCAATCATCCGGTAATTTTATCAGATCACCTGTTATCTTTGGGTGGGTAGGGGGAGCCTCCAATTTTTTTAAAGGTCCTCTGGAAAAAGCTGAATTATGTTGAGGGTTTGGAGATGAGAAAATAAAGTTCAGAGCAGCAGTGTGTTACTTTCAAGTTACATGCATTTCAACCCTGTTACCTCTTTGCCCCTTCATGTTTTGATATTTTACTGTAACATGAACGATTGCCTCTTTTTTTAAAAAAGGTAGATCTTGCCAATCTGTATATCAAGACAGGAGCCAAGAACATTCCCACTGTGTTTTTGCTGACAGATGCTCAGGTTCCAGATGAACGCTTTCTTGTGCTGATTAATGACTTGTTGGCATCAGGTGATTAGACCTACACATTTCTTGAAAGATCCTTCCAATGACAAATTATCTGCTGTTTCAATGAACTTTAAAAATTGGATTATTTGTCTTTGCAATGTTTTCTAATGTGGGTGGAGTGTCCTTTGGGGAAAGTGTGTATGAACTCTTCCTTAATTTTAGCACTGCACTTTGTTTAAAAGCAAACAGTGTTGCTTCCAAGAAGCTGCTATCAAAGGCGTGTATTACACAGGCATAATTGCTGTTCTTGGTGTTTCTTTAGTATTAGTTCACGTCATTTACAATGGAATGACTAACGTAACAGCTGGGGAAAGGAAAAAGTAGCTCCTATCAATACATTACATCAATCTATCTGTATAACACAGTATATCCATAATATATCTGTATCATAGTATGAGTGGTGATTTCAACAGATTTTCTCCTTTTATTTGGAAACTAAGTATATCCGTATACTCTTTGCTAGATTGTCATAAAAGTAGAGGAATCTAGAGTAACATCAGTTTTTAAGAACATTATAGATAAATATGTTTTGCAAGCTATAATGGTGTCTGCATTTGTAATTTGTGATTTAGGATTGTGTGAGACCCTTTAATTTCTAAAAGGAAATGGGACAGAGTGAGTAATAGAGTTCCTTTTACATTTGGAGGAAGTGGACGATTACTTAGCATATGAGATTTTGGAATATATTTCTGTGCTGTCTTATTCTTAAAGATACAGAGAAAGGCTATCCATAAAACTAATAGAAAAGTTTATAAATATAGTGAATTGATATAATGTTTATGAGTTAACCCATAACTAGAGTTATTAGCTAAATTTTTGCCATTCAAAAATCAACTCAAATGTGAGTTTAAGCCAAAATAGAGACTGATTGAAGCTTGTGATTCATTTGTGTTTATTTTGTAATTACAGAGGTGCCCCAATCCCTCCCCTTTTAAATCTTTTTTTTTTAATGCAGGAGAGGTTCCAGACCTATTCACTGATGAAGACATGGATGATATAATTGCAGGAATTAAGTCTGAAATACGAGGGCTTGGTCTTATTGATACCAGAGAAAACTGTTGGAGCTTCTTTATAGATAGAGTACGGCTACAGCTGAAAGTAAGCAGCAGTATTTTTGCAGTTACTAATGAATAAACCTATGTTCACCTAGTGATGAACAGTTGGTTTGTTTAAGATGTAAACCTCCAGAATTATTGAAGACCATATTTTTCTCTTCTGTCTTTGACAACCTATAGCTTGTGTTTAAGACATACTGTAAGTCTTTTTAATTTTAAAGTAACAATTTAACTTTAATGTAGAACTCTTTCAGCCTATCAGCTAGCAGTTGAATTGCGTTTGCCAAACTCATGCCAATTACATGACATTTCATTGCATACTGTTGAATTATGCTGATAATCTTATGGACTTTATGTAGACTTTATAAAAAATATTTCCAAAGCCTATAAAGTTTTGCACATGTAGTAAATATTCCCAGTGCATTTGACACACCTTCATAAACTGTGCCTTCTAGATATACTATTCCCAGTCTTTTCACTTTGTCAATTTTTTTCTCAAATTCTATTGTCAAAAATAGGCATAATGTATTTCAGATTTAAAATATAGGTTGGTGTATTTCAGATTTAAGAGTGCTAGAAGACTAGTGTGGATTCATGTTTATTCAACTGCACATGAAAAGCTTGCTTATTTTTAAAATGGATATACTATCTTCCATATTGATTGGCTTTGTGCGCAGGTTATGTAACACTTTCCTCCTTTCAAAGCTGGGCTATCACTTACATCCCTCGGTTCTCCTATTTCTTGCATTGTTATTTCAAGCAGAGTAGGCGATGTGTAAGATTTTTCTTTCATGATATTTGGCTGTAAAGCATAAATCATGGCACACCCTAAATCTCAATTCTAAAATTATTTCTTTTCCTTCCATCTTCTTTTCTATTCTCTTAAATTTCACCCATGACTTTGTTATTTTATTTTTAAAGCTTTTAAAAAATGCTTTCAAAATTGTGTTGGTGCCTTGCCTTGCTGCTTCTTTACAGGTGTCCCACTGTGCAAAATTAGTATTTCCAGAGGCAGCAATGGGAAGCATCAATTCAGTTATTTAAGGGACTATGAAGCAGACACCACATGCTGTAGAAGATATTAGTGAACACATTGGAAAACATCTGCAAGATAACCAGGAGTGATGTCACGAGACAAAGTCATATAAGGCTTCAGTTCTGAGCCCACTCACTCAGCAATACATTATTTTAAACATCTATTGGACTTGTTTCCAAGTAATGAAGCTCTGAGAAATGGTAGTCATAGTACTTATGTTGACAGCAAATCCATACCCAAAGAGGAACAAAAATATTATAATTTTCTTTATGTTGAAACTACAGAGGATCAGACCAACGAAATGGTATTATATGCAACTGAGCTACTTTGATCTGAGTTTTGTTCAACGCTTGTATTGCTGGTTAATGCTTATGGGGTTTATTAACTGATACTCAACTGCATGGGGAAATGACCCACAATTGGGCAGAATTTGGTGAAGCACCAACTACAAAACACAGTGCAGTGGACAAGAAGTCCCCTTTTCTGGATGTAAAATCCTAATTTGACTAAATTCTTAAACTGCAAGGTAGATTGCATTTTGGTTTGTGAACCTGATTGCAATGACTCACTGCTGGCACCGATGACTGCATTCTTTTCTTTGATCACAATGTAATGCTTCCCTTTCCCTTTCTCTTTCCTTTACTTTCTTCGTTTGTACAGATCATTCTGTGTTTCTCTCCTGTCGGTTCCACGCTGAGAGTTAGAGCTCGGAAGTTCCCAGCCATAGTTAACTGCACAGCTATTGACTGGTTTCACGAGTGGCCGCAGGAGGCCCTGCAGTCCGTCAGCAGGAGGTTCATTGAAGGGACGTCTGGGATTAAGGTACAGAGTTTCAAGCTCATCAGTCATATGCAAAACAGTATCGCTCTCTGGAAGATAAATAATGGAACAAGTTGGAGAGGGGGTTCCTTTTTGTTTCTTCAAATATTTGTCCTCATTTTCACTTTGCCAAGTTCACTGTGGTTACTGTATTCCTATAAAAACAGTGCAGCCAGTTCACCAGCCATCGTTTTAGAGAATTTGAAAAAAAGAAAAATCTGAAAAGTTTTTTGTTTTGAAAAGGCAACATGTACAAGGACCCTAATTTCTTTTCATGAACTATTAGAGCTCCATTTGAAACCAAGTAATTTCTCTTGAGGGGCTTCAGTTATGCTTTCCTATAAAATTAGATAATTACATCGGCATATCAAAAACCAGGGGTGTGACTTTGCAACACGGTTCTACAATCTGGATTTACTTACTTTTTCAGTCTTTAAAGTTTTGTACAGGTAAAATACGGTGGACAAAGTTCAGCCACTAGGTAAAAATTTGAGTACTCAAACGGTCCTTTAAATAGGCTCTTGAATTCTGAACATTTTCTCTGTTTTCTTTCATATTTTTGTTCAGATGGATGTAGGGAAGATATACAGCTCAGTGGTTTAGGCATCTGGCTGTGGAGACAGAGGTTGGGAGTTCAATTCCACACTGTGGCTTCTTAACAGGCTGGACTCAATAATCCATAGTAGAGATAGGGGTATTTGTATCTATATATGAATATGAATATCCTTCCCAAAAGTGGAAATAACGAGGGTCCACTCACCATTCCGCTGCTGATGCAAGCTGGATACAGCTCAGTGGTTTAGGCATCTGGCTGTGGAGACAGAGGTTGGGAGTTCAATTCCACACTGTGGCTTCTTAACAGGCTGGACTCAATAATCCATAGTAGAGATAGGGGTATTTGTATCTATATATGAATATGAATATCCTTCCCAAAAGTGGAAATAACGAGGATCCACTCACCATTCCGCTGCTGATGCGAGCTGGACAGAGCATTCCTATTGCGCCATTGTCCACAATGGATTAGCCACTCTGTGACCTGGCAGAGGCTTGTCATCACACCTCCTGCCAGGAGTGGCTAACCCTCGTTACTTCCACCTGTGGGGGGATATTCGTATTTGGGTATACAATTATGAATACACCCATCTCTAATCCATAGGGGCCCTTTTAGCTCTGCATTTTAGCTCTAAAATGATAACAGAGTTCTAAATATTCACATGCTAATTGCTGACATAGAATAACTAGTAAGTTTCATGAACTTGAAATTGTGTACTGTCATGATGAAGGCTTAGAAAGCAGCTCAGCCTTGTGTTCCATAAAGTTTTCTCCGTACTGTTGCTCAGTTCCTATTTTAGCTCAGTCTTTTCCCAAAGGGTGGACTATGACCCTCAAAACAAATGTGAACTGCAAATGGAGGGGACAGCACTGCAGCCAGAGACTGATAAATGAATAGTCAAGGAATGCCTTGCTACTTTGAATGAGTTCAGATCTCCAGGGCCAGATGAACTGCATCCAAGAATATTGAAGGAACTGGCTGAAGATCTCCCAGAACCACTGTCCATTATTTTATTGAAATAATGGGAAATGGGTGAGGTGCCAGATGCTTAGAGGAGGGCTAAAGTTGTCCCTTTCTTCAATAAGGGCAGAAGTGAGGAACCTGTGAACTACAGACCACTTGGCCTGACATCAATCCCAGGGAAAATTCTGGAACAGATTCTAAAGCAGTCACTATGCAAACACCTAGAAAACAATGTAATAACTAGAAGCCAACACAGGTTTGTCGAGAACAAATCCTTCTAGACTAAGGCCCTGGTCACATGAGGGAAATGTTTTCTCGTTTCGTTTAGTCGTGCCCGACTCTTCGTGACCCCATGGACCAGAGCACGCCAGGCCCTTCTATCTTCCACTGCCTCCCGGAGTTGTGTCAGATTCATGTTGGTTGCTTCGATGACACTGTCCAACCATCTCATCCTCGGTCGTCCCCTTCTCCTCTTGCCTTCACGACACTTTTGTAATTGAAAAAATGAACATCGTTAAGTGAAGCAGGGGACCTAAAACAAAAAACGTTAAGCGAAGCATGGTCCCAAAATCGCTATGTGAAAATCGCCCATAGGGAAAAACATTATACGAAGCACAATCTGACTCTGAAAAAATAAACGTTAAGCGAAAAAAACGTTAAATGAAGCAAACGTTATGCGAGGCACCACTGTATAATATAATATAATATATAAACTGATATTTTTGATACATTGATTTATCAGAAACAAGATTCCCTCTAAGGTGCGTGACTACATGGGCGTGCTTGACTTTGCACCCCTCCCCAGACAGTTTTTCTCCTCCCCTGTTCCCTGTGCACCTACAGCAATTGTTTCAAGCCCCTTTCATTCTGGTCACAATGGAACCCCACATGGAAGTGGGGTGAACTCACACACAGGGTCTGTGTGGAAATTAGAGGGATCATTGATTGGGAAGGGATTTCGGTTTAGGAAAGTGTCCCTCTGTTGTACTGACTGCTCCTGCAGAAATGCACTGCACACAATGAAATTGAGATATTTACGCAGTAGTACTGGCAATCACACCCCTGTGACATTGGCATAGCAACGTTTCAATTCTTTCCATAAAATTAAAAAAAATTATTTAGCAATAATCTAATGGCAGCCACCTTCCTGGCTTTGATTCTGAAAAGAAGTAGGGAAGGGTGTGCACATTGGCAATCCCAGTAAAGAATACACCAGTACAACAAAGGTACAAAATAACACAATCCTCCTGGAGATGGGGAAATGTTATACTGCTGAATAAGAAAATGTCTTGATTTTGGCTCTGCGTCGTGTGACCAGAAAAAAAAAGCAACAGGCTAATTGGGGGATAACTAGAGAACATTCCCTTCATATGATCAAGGCCTAACATGATCTCATTTCTTGATCAGGTAACCTCCCTGATAGACAGAAGGAAAGCTGTAGACATAGTATATCTTGACTTTGCAAAGCACATGACAAAGTGCCCCATGATATTCTGATTAGCAAGCTAACTACTTGTGGGCTGGATATAACAACTGTCAGGTGGATACACGGTTGGCTACAGAATTGTATTCAGAGGATGATGATTAATGACTCCTTTTCAAGTTGGGTGGAAGAAACAAGTGGGGTACCACAAGTCTCAATTTTGGGCCCAGTGCTCTTTAACATTTTATTAATGACTTGGATGAGGGGTCAGTGAATGTGGATGACATAAAATTAGTTGGAATAGCTAACATCCTAGAAGACAAGAACAAAATTCAAAATGATCTGGATAGGCTCAAGCACTGGGCTGAAAACAACAGAATGAAATTTAACAGGGACAAGTGCAAAGTACTGCACCTAGGAAAGAGAAACCAAACACACAATTACAAGATGGGGGATTCCTGACTCAGCAATACTACAAGTGAGAAGGATCTTGGAGTTGTTGTACATCACAAGCTGAATATGAGCCAGCAGTGTCATGTGGCTACAAAACAGGCAAAGGTTATTTTAGGCTGCACTCAGAAGTATAGTCTCCAGACCCTGCAAGGTAATCGTTCTCCTATATTTGGCTCTGGTTTGGCCTCATCTTGAGTATTGTGACCAGTTCTGGGCACTGTACTTCAAGAAGAATGCTGACAATTTGGAACAAGTTCCGAGGATGGTGTCAAGGATGATCAGGGGGCTGGAAACCAATCCCTATGAAGAAAAATGAAGGAACTGGGCATGTTTAGCCTTGAAAAAAGAAGACTGGGGGATATATGAGAGCACTTTTCAAATACTGTATTTTTTCATTTATACCACACACACCTGTTTATAAGACCCCCCCCCCTTTACTAGCCCAAAAATTAAGAAAATCTAGCTTTGAAGATTCAGCGTCTGGGCTCAGAATATCAGACATTACGAGTCTGAGCCTACAGGCTCCACCTCCAAGGAGGTGTGTTCCAATTGGTTTGCTCAGATTCAGCTGACATCAGTTCCATAAGGCTCATGATTGGAAGAAGCGAATTCTCCTGACTGTAGGAAGCTAAGCCTAGTAACTAAAGGAAGCCTGTTTACAGAGGCAAGGTATGTGCTCTTTTGTTCTCTCCTTGGCTATCTCAGCTTACTTCTGTGTAAAAGACGCCCTTCAATTTTTAGGGTAATGATTTTATGAAAAAGTAGTGTCTTATACATGGAAAAATACAGTACTTGAAAGCCTGTCATTCAGAGGAAGTGCAGATCATCCCAGAGTGCAGGACATATAACAATGAGCTAAAGTTACAGGAAGTCATATTTTGGCGGATATCGAGCTCAAGTTACAGGAAGTCATATTTTGGTGGATATAATTTTATTTTATTTGTTATTTGATTTATACCCCGCCCCTCTAGACCGAGTCTACTCGGGGCGGCTTACAAGGGATTGTAAAACATCGTTTAAAAGTCATTATAAACAATCACATAATTAATCAACAAATTAGAAGTTCAAGATGGGGAAAAGGAAAACTAAAGAGAAAAGAATCAAGTGTCATGAAAACTTCCTAATTGTTAGAGCTGTAAGGCGAAAAGAGAAAAGAATCAAGTGTCATGAAAACATCCTAACTGTTAGAGCTGTAAGGTGATGGAACCAATTACCTTGGAAGGTGGTGAGTGCTCCAACACTGAAGGCATTCAAGAGAAAATTAGACAACTAACTGTCAGGTACATTTTGAATTGATTCCTGTGTTGAGCAGGGGTGTGAACTTTATGGCCTTATATGCCCATTCCAGTTCAATTAGTCTATGATTATATGGATGATTCCTAGCTCTGCTGGTCAAAAGGCAACCACCTGGCAGATATCCTTTGATTTGTATTCCTCTACATTGAGAAAGGGGTTGAACCCAATGGCCTTATAGGCCCCTTCCAACTTCATTAGTCTGTTATTCTATCAGACTGATAAAGAGCCAAGTGGATAAATGTTAATAAAAGAAAGGCTTTTTACTATCCAAGGTGGTGTGTCTGTGTCTAAGGCTTTTTACTATCCAAGGTGGTG